TCTTCAATCTACAAGTCATTCTCTAATTCCCCTCTGATTGCACTTCCAATCCCAGAGGCAGCTTCATGTAAACTACTTCCTCTAAATCTCCATGTAAGAAAGCATTGGAAACATCCAACTGCTCCAGCACCCAATGCTTCACACTTGCAACTGCCAAGAAAGTCTTTACAGTATTGATCTTGGCTACTAGTGAGTAAGTGTCTAGGAAATCAATTCCATAGACCTGTATATACCCCTTAGCCACTAACCTGACTTTACTTCTTTCCAATGACCCATCCTGGTGAAGTTTTATCTTGTAAACCCACTTGTTCCCTATTTCCTTTACTCCTGGGGGTAGTGGTACTATGTCCCACGTCTGATTCTCTTCTAAAGCATGCATTTCCTCTTTCATGGCTCTATTCCAAACATCAGATTTCACTGCTTCATAATAAGATTTAGGCTCCACCAGATTGGTAACATTCAGTGCATAACATCGATCTTCTTTGCTCAAGGTATTCACATTCAAACAGACTGGATACCTAGTGCAAGAATTAGCACCACCAAATGCTCCAAACTTCAAGGAAGAGTCCAATTCATAGTCACCATATTTAGTTGGCAGTTTTATGTGCCTTGGAGGCCTTCTGTTAACTTCTGTGCTAGGGTCATCAGGATCTACATCAGCTTGAGGATGAAGTTCCTGCTCATCAGAATCAAAATAGGTATAATGATCATTCCTTTCTGCATTACTTGGCACAGATGAGATCTCATGCTCAGAGTTCCCCCTTTCATCTATGGATGAACTAGACTGAGGAGGAGATTGATCAGGAGTAAGGGAAAATGGGATTGTAAGAGATGGGGCAGTATTGGGAGGTGAAGTAGTGGGACTAGAATTGGGTGGAGGAATTGATGGATCATGAGATTTGAAGGGAAGAATGGTTTCATAGAAGGAAACATTTCTGGAGAAAAACACCTGCTTGGTGTGAATATCCAGAACTTTATAACCCTTGAGTCCAGTAGGAATCCCTATGAACACATTTGTCAGAATGGAAGTGTAAGGAATAAGGATTATCAAGGGTATGCTTACTGACTGAAATGAGATTAAAAGAAAATTGTGGCACTAGGAGTACATCATGTAATGTCAAACCACAATCCAGGTTCATTGTCCCTATGCAAGTGACAGTGACTTTTGTGCTATTTGGAAGGTAAACAAAGGCATCCTGGACAGTTCTATAACTAGAGAATAGTGTGAGACTACAGGCTATATGATCTGATGCTCCTGTGTCCACTATCCATAGAGCAAGGTTTTGTGTTTTACAGTTTTGAGAAGAGGATAAAACATGTTTACCTGAGAAGGAAGGGAAGGAAGTGGGGAATTGGGAAGCTGAATAGGCTTGATGATTAATGGATGGGGAAGTAGGTGGGGAAGGTTGAGTGTTAGCACCAGTTTGCAGCAGATACCTGAGGCGATTCATTTCTTCAGGAGTAAAACCAAGGGGAGCTGAAGACTTACTCTCAATGACAACACTGCCTTCTGATGCACTCTCATTCCCACTGCCCTGTGAGATAGAACCAGCAAACCTTGGGGGTGCTGGAGCTTGAACCTGAACTGGAAGAACCCCCATTTCCATGACCATCTCTTTCTTGTTTCCTCTTTAGCTTCCAACAGTCTTCTATGTTGTGATTGTTCATTTTGCAAAAGCAACAAAAATTCCTACCTCTTGCTTCACCAGTCTCTCTTGTACTGTCACCAACTGCCAAAGCCAGGCTTTGGCCCTTCTTTCCTCCCCTGGTATTGTCTGCTTTCAACTTCTGCTCATGTTGAAGCAAATCATCCACTGTTGTTGACACAGTAGGCAGTGGCTTTTGCATGAGAAGCTGGGTTTTAATCACTTCATACTCAGGGTTCAGCCCCCTTAGGAACCTCACCAGATAGTTTGTCTCCTGCTTCTATATAAAAGCAGCTACAGATGCACAGGGTATGGGATTTCCAGGTGCACAAACACATGGAACAATCGGACTGAACTCCACATATTCGTCCCAAAGACCCTTTATGGCTGTATAGTACTGACTAATAGATCTGGTACCCTTCTTACATGCCTGAATCTCATCTTCCAAGTTCAAAATCCTAAGAGCATTGGGTTGGCCAAAACGTTTTTTCAATTCATCCCATAATGCCTTTGCATTAGTATGATTCAGCACAGACCTCCTAATTTCCTTAATCATCGAGTTCTGTAACCAATAAATAATCATTGTATTACAGGCATCCCACAGACTAAACAGATCTGCATCTCGAGGAGGAATTGGAATTGACCCATCTATAAAACCCACTTTGTTCTTCGTTTTCAGGGCTACTTGTATAGATCTACTCCACATCACATAGTTTGTTCTGTCAAAAGACTCAGCAACCAGAGATTGAGACATATTTTCATTGGGATTGAGATAGTATGGATTACCAAAGACAACTGTCTCCGATTGCAGCTGGTTTTGGTTGAAAGTTCCAAATCGGAAACCTGCTTCACCTATAGTCGTTGATGAGGTACTGCCACCGGTGTCGTTGTTAGACGGCGTGTTGGGTGGAGTCTGAGTCCCCGACATTGTGTCGTAGGCGGCAGAAAACCCTAGAGCTCGTTAAGCTCTGATACCATAACAATTTGCAAATGAAAATGTGGAGAAGAAGCTCAGCAATCTCTGAGTCTTCCTTAAGCTTTTATAGCTGGAAATTGATTAACCAAAGCTTGACAGTTGTCCTTACACGATTGGTCCAAATTAAACTTAAATAGTAAATTTAACGGCAAATGGAAACTAACAAAACAATGTCGTCTCTCCAACACGTTGCCGTTTCTTCTCTTCTTTTCCTTTGAGTCACGAATCCTTCCCCAATCTGGATTAGCAATTCTGCAGCAACTCTTCTGCAGCATCTCCAGCTTCTCTTCTGCTTTCCTTCTGCACTTCTTCAATTCTGTCAGGATCTGAGTAGTGATAACCGACCAGCGACAACAACGACGATGGTGGTTGATTGGCACAACAGAGACGATGATGGGATGACCGGGCTGCAAGAACTGGGTTGATGGCGGTGGTGGAATCGACTGTCGGAGGTTTGGGATCAGGGTGGTTCTGGCCGATCGGCGACAACGACGATGGTGATTGTGGATTGTCACGGCTGGCGATGATCAGAAGGCGGCTACGGCCTGATGACGGTGGTTATTTTGGCCGACGAAGTTGGAATTTTGGTGGTGATGTCGATCGCCGACAACAACGAGGTGGTGGGTTGCTGCGACGAAAGTGTTGCCTTTGGTTTACCATGGAAGGACAACGACTGAAAGGGAAACGACTGTGCTGCGTTTTTTTTTTTTTACTTTTTTATTTCCTTATGTTTTATTAATTAAATAACTAAATCAAAGCTACCCAATAAATCAGAAACCCAACCATCTTAGTCGGTTAGTGTCGTCGCTGGACAACAGAAGTCCTCCAGCAAAATATATGTTTTTCCCCTTCCTAGGCGCTAGGAACAAATATATATGGATACGACTTGTATGCTCCAGACGCATAGTATACTCCAAGGCTTTGCACCATGGATCTGATCTAACGCTTTTTATTAAATCTGATTTAATTAATTAATTATTAATTAGTATTAGTACCATTAAATAATTATACATACATTATTGTCCTTGAACAATTTTAATCATTAATTTTACTATTAAGTACCTTCTTTCGTACCTAAGTAGATTATTTAAGTACCCATATTTTGTTTAAGTTTGTCCATTGGAACTGTTTTCGATTATTCCCAAAAGCCAAAACACATCAGCATCTCCAATTCCATCTGGGTTTTTAATATGCAGAGTTTAAGTCAAGTTCCGGCAAATCGAAGAAACATTAACACAAACATAAGTGGAATTGAATTGAATCTCAAGCTCTTGCGAACAAACAACAAGCTTCCTCTTCTTCCCTCGTTCAAATTGAATAAATAACAACACAATACCAAAGGAACTGAAAAGAACCCTAATCCCTATTTCAAACATGCATTGAATTCCATCTTGGTCGAATCAAACACATATACCCTAAACCCAGATATCCTCGTTCGAAAAACTTCCAGCAACCATCAGCAACAACAATGGTGGCACCACCTCCTCCCCCTTGTTTCCTCTCGATTCAGGTGCGACGACTATGCTTCTTCCAGACAATCTTCCCTTTTCTTCCCCCCCCCCCCCCCCCCGAAGCATCGGTGAGGCCTTGTTATCAGTCAAAACCCAGAAATCCCAAATGGACTGCCTGGAAAGCGTAATCGATTGACTGACGGATCTCCTCAATTCATTGCCAAAACCCAGAAATCCCAAGCAGATGAATCCGAAAGCCCACCAGTGTTTCTCCCAAACGATGGTGTCGCGCAGATGGAGACAAACCATCGGTTCTCATAAGCATAAAGCCGGGAAATATTCCCACCGATGGACTCCAAAGTCACGGATCTGATGCAAAACAACAAAATCATCATCAGTGGTGTCGTGGTGGCAGAACTGGCTACCAATTTAATTTCTCCATCTTCATATTTCCTATCGCCATCGCCATTGATTTCATCTTCAGACTTTTTGAGCATAGAGTTTCGTCGCCAACACGGCCCTTCCCTCCAGCTCTCGAGTACGCAAAGTTCACTTCCTTAATCCAAGAGCTGAAAGATACGGTAATAAATTAATCTCTTAATTTGCCAGCAGACTTTCAACGTCGAAGAGAGCGGCTGCATGTGGGAAAAATTGAATTATAGTCAATGGGCAACGACTAGACAAATTTGATGATGTTCAAGGTGGAGAGGAGAGCGATCGTCAATTTGACGAGTGAAATGTTATCGGGTTGGATAAATAATGTGGAAAGAAACAACAACAAAAAGGTAAAAGAGGAGTAATGTCACCCGAGATCTTGTAATTTTTGGGTGTTTAATTCAGGATTAGAAGAAATTAGGTAGAGATGCGAAAAAATTATTTTTGGGGACAAAAAAGCACGTCTATAAATGTAAGTGGCCTAATTAGTCATCTTTGAATTGAAATTAATAAATTAGTTAATTATTATTAATAATAGTCGTTAGATTAGATCAACGGTTTAAAAAACTTAGAGCATACTATGCGCCTGGAGCATACGAGTCTGACCCATATATATATATATATATATATATATATATATATATATAGAGGTAATTACTAGTGATGCGCGAGGTTGTCGATGAAGGCCGGGGACCTAACTCTTCGTTTCACGCGTCCATTTGCAGCCGGGTTGCAGTTGTTCTCGACCGACATGGCGACATCGCTGGCCGTCGACGCCTTGATAAAGGGGCCGAAATCCCTAACTCTTGATTCAGTTTTTTCCCCCCTGCTTCTAGTCATCAATCTGCATTCTGCAATTGATAGTTATGTAAGGCCTGCTTTGAGTGCTTTCTTTCCTTGTCCGGCTGGAAAACGGAAAAGGAAATTTCGGTTTAAGCCTGTATTATTTTGGTTGTGTTACGTCGTCGTTTTGATGTGATTTGCCTTAGTTGTTCAAATTTTACATTGAAAGGGGTCGACTTGTAATTCTTGTCATTGCCATGCACGTAATCTAAACCCTAGCAACTGTTGTTGTTAGATCAGAAATTTTGATAGAACATTCTCTTGTCGTCGTTGTGTTGCAAACAACTGTGCAGTTACATACACGGCCAGAAATTTTGCCGGCGAGGCCCAGGCCCAGGCCCAAGCCCAATCGCTAATCCAAATCCGACAAGTAGAAGGGAAAATCGCACTTTTCGATCCCAGTATAAATAAAGCAGGACTCTGTTTCTTTCCCAGTACGTTCTCGGTCTCGCACTTTTCGATCCAATCCCTAGCTTTGAAACTCCTCTGCCTCCCGCTGCCATATATATATGGCGACGAACAACGATTCCTCCATCGGCAAACTCGGAGACGATCTCCTCGCAGAAATCCTCACTCGCCTTCCGAGCGCCAGATCAGCATTCCGATGCAGATCCGTCTCCAAGCGATGGAACTCACTCATCTCAATTCCCTTCTTCTCCCGCCATTTCGATTCTCGCCTCCACCGGTTCGGTCACGGCGGCGAACCCGAACAGCCGATTCTGACTGCCTCCAAGCTCCGGGAATCGCTCGTGGACTTCCTCCCCTTGACCGACTCCGGCCGAGACCATCTCTCCATTCTGGACTGCTGCAAGGAGTTGCTCTTACTCGGGTTCACGACCGGCGGCGGGAGGCAATTGGACTCGACGCTATTGGTCTGCAATCCGTTCACAGAGCAGGGGCTCGTCCTTCCCGTTCAAAGCTGGCCGGCAGGCGACGATCGCTCCTTGGCAAGATTAGTATGCGAGCCCTGTAAACCGATCGCCCTGCCGGATCCGAACAGCGACGACGAAGAAGAAGCGGCGGCATCATTCACGCATCATCATTATTGCGAGTATCGATTCCGCGTGGTGCGTCTGTATTCGCCTGAAGACACAATACTGGACGTGTTCTGCTCGGAATCTGGTGAATGGATGAACGTGGGTCTCGAACTTGGGGACCAATTTAGTCTAGATACGAAATTGCTGCCTAGCAGCTGTGTGGTTTCCGTCCATGGGAAGTTGTATTGGAAGAATTCGGAGAGGACGATTGTTGGGTGGAATCCATTCCGTCCGTACGATCCACCGCGTTCGATTGCGTATCTTCCCCGTAGGTTCAACTTGGGATCCCTTCTCTCGTTCTCGCAAGGTGCTCTGCACATGATTCTCGTGCCCATCTTAAGAACGTCGGACGAAGTAAGTGTTTGGAGGCTCGAAGAAGAAGAAGAAGAAGGAGGAGGAGGAGGGAACCGTTGGAGGGAACTTTATCGAGTTTCATGGAAGAAATTACTGGGCAATGCTGCCAGTAGCAAATGTCGTTTCGAAAGAGGCGATTTGGAGGCTGGTGGGGTTTGTAGCGTAGTTGGACACCACACAGAGAAGTCGGAGATCGTCTTTTTAAGATGTTATGGCTCTGCTTCTGTCGTCTCTTGCAACCTTAGGACGGAAGAGATAGGGTTTTTATTTGACGAAGGAGAGTTTCAGTATGATTCGATGATATTACAGCCCAGGGTCCATTTTTGGACGCCTCAATCAAGAAGTCGATGGAGTAAATGCCTGAATCTCAGATGCGAGGAAACGTGAAAGTCATTTCTAATAACTTGTTTTATTATGTTTTATAGTCGATGTTTATCATTCACACCTACATATTTTTAGTGATGGCAATCAAATCTATTGTTGCGGGTATCCTACAGCTCTCGACCTAGTCAACGCGCGGGAAATTCCCGTTTTGACTGGATATGAGGTGGATATAGGTAAAACTCGTAAAAAATTTGATGGGTATGGGGCGGGTATGGATTCAGCCTCACTCGTCCCATACTCATACCCATAATCATCCCACCAAGAGAATTTCTTCGATATAAAAAAATATGTGGATCAAATTATAACCTATCATTGATAATGCAGGTAACTCATGAAAATAAATAGTAGAAATGCAATTGAGTGACCACCCTAATCATTCTCAAAAAAGTGATCATTCTAATCAAAACATAATTCATTTCCCTCAATTCTCCATTCACTCCTTCAATTTTGTCAACAAGATTATGTTAGTTAATTATTACTTAGTACATGTGTGAGAGTTAGAGCATAATAATTTGGAAAATATTGTATTCTATATTATGTATTAATGAATATTTTTGGATCATACTCTTTGAACCGTATTAAGAAAATGATTGTATTTTATTGACTTCATGATATAGTAGCTCCGTTTAGCATTATAATTATGTAAATAATTGTGTAAAATCTTATGTATAATAATGTTGGATGTACGGGCCGGTTATTTTCCATGAGTACCCGAAACCTACGAGTATGGGGATGGATTTTCGAAACGTTCCTTGCATGGTACGAGACGGGTATGAGTTTGGATATTTGAAAACGGGATTGGTATAGTTTAGGCAAACCCGCCCCATTGTCATCAGTGGCGGAGGGAGAGGGTAACAGGGTGGGTCCCGGGACCTACCCTGGTTCGGGGGAAATGGTTAAATTAGGTACGATAATTAATTGATATCGAAAACTAGGTCGCGTTTAATTGAGAATAGTTGGTCGAAAAGTTTTGTGTTTGAATCTTGGCGACCTCATTTCTTAAGCATGCGGTATACAGATTTGTGCAAACATCAATTTCGTATAAGTTGACTTTCTTATAAGGGATCATGGTAGTAAATTGTATAATATATTATTGAAATCTTCCAAAAACTCGATTTATTGATACTGAATATTTTTTTTGTAAGAACATCATTCGAAAGCGAACGACTAGGTGAATCATGAATTATTGGTTGCTATAAATTTATTATTAAACCTTTATCAACAACTCGAAGTATTGATACTAACGATTCTCAACAAAGAACACCATTTGAAGCACTACGAGTCTACGAGACTACGATTAACTAAATCAATGATTGTTTGGTATATATGCAAAGTGATATTCTTGATATTTTCGACTGCAAATGCATTTTAGTTTATCAAAAGTTTTCAATGTAAAATTATATTAAAAAAAAACTATTTTATCATATTTATTTTTTTGAGTTGGACTCACCTTAAACGGAATTCTGACTACACCATCCCTAAGATCAATCTTGTGTTTTATCAACTATCTAATTTTTTTTCAGTTTGTTAGTTTGATGAGTTGAAATAATATAAATTTGCATGTGTATCGTGATTTCTCTTAATATAAAATTGCAAGGCCCAGGCCCAGGCCCAATCTCCAATCCAAATCCGACCAGTAGAAGGGAAAAGACTAGAGTCTCTCGTCTCCGTATAAAAGCAGGGCTCTGTTTCTCGCTTTCTCAGTACGTTCTGGGTCTCTCTCTTTTCATTCCAATCCCGAGCTTCAAACTTCTTTGTCTCCCGCAGCCATGGCGACGAACAATTCCTCCATCGCCAAACTCGGAGACGATGTCCTCGCAGAAATTCTCACTCGTCTTCCGGGCCCCAGATCCGCCTTCAGAAGCAGAGCCGTCTGCAAGCGATGGAACGCATTCATCTCAACTCCCTGCTTCTCCCACCGTTTCGTCGCCCACCACCGCCAAATCGGCTCAGCGGCCGAACCCGAATCCGAACCCGAACCCGAACCGCCGCTTCCAAACCCCTCCAACCTGCGGGAATCGATCTTGACCTTTCTCCCCCCTGCCTATCGTCGGCCTATCCCGTTTCACCGTCTTGGATTGCTTCAAGGACTTGCTCTTGCTAGGGTTTCGATCGTCCGATGATAACGACGAGCTGGAACGAACGTTCTTGGTCTGCAACCCGTTTACAAAGCAATGGATCGCCCTCCCTCTAGCCGCTCAGAGTCGGCCGAGAAGTTCTGGCACTACTACTGCCTCCTTCGCAAGATTAGTGTGTAGCAACGACGAAGAAACATCGTTCACTTATCGATTTCGCGTGGTGCGTATGTGTAAAAACACAGCTCAGCATTCAACAACGTGTCCAATATTGGACGTCTTCTGTTCGGAGTCTGGAGAATGGACGAGAGTGGCTCTTGATCTTCACGGCCAATTTGGACCGCACGTGGACCTACTCTGTTTTGCGGTTCCCCTCAATGGGAAACTGTATTGGATGAATGGGCTAAATCAAGTTGTTGAGTGGAATCCTTTCCGCCCGTATGATCAAATGCGTTGCAGTTCAAGTACTGATGCCATTGAGATCAGTAGATCGCTCTTAATCTCGTCGTGGCAAGATTCGTTCTTAATCTCGTCCTCGCAAGGTGTTCTGCACATCGTTCTTCTTCGAGCGTTTTCGAGACTCAGGAAAGTTCTGATCGTTTGGAGGCTTGAAGAAGAAGAAGAAGAAGGCAGCTGCTGGAAGAAACTTTACGAAGTATCGTTGGAGAAATTTATGCATAGCACTAGGTATAACGCTTCCAAATATACGTTGCAGTTTGAGGCGTGTGATGTAGTTGGTCACCATCAACAAAAATCTGAAATCGTCTTTTTAAGTTGTCATCATAAAAGTTCTCTGCGTTTCTATGTATTTTCATGCAATTTGAGGACGGAGGAGGCCGAGTTCTTATTTTATCACCATGAGCTCCTGTGCGATCCGACGATATTCCATCAGCCCAAGGTACATCTTTGGACGACTCGAATTTGTAGTGAAAGATCATCACTATGTGCTCACAATGGAAGCTATTGTTTTTGGGTTTGAACCTAGCAACCAATAAAAACTTATATATAGACAAGGATAAGTAAGGACCTTTTTTTTTTATGCGAAGTACATTTTGTATCGCTTTTCATCGTGTAATGAATCTTATTATAAATGTGATTCGATCATCTTATTGACATTTGAGTTGACATCTGTATCATTCGAACATGAACAATTGTACTTTTTTGTGTGAGTTGGTTCGAACGTCGAACACATTGGTTGAATGTGTGAACATGTTTTGCGGTCTAATCTCTAAACCTTATAAAAGGGTTAATTGCATGGTTAGTCACTGAGATTATAAAAAATTACTGAAACCGTTTACGTTTGGTCACTCTCCGTCCAACTCCGTTAATTTTTGCTTACGTGGCAGTCAACTTTTAAAGTTGATCGTTAAGTGAGTGATGTGTCAATTAAAAAATTAATAAAATAATAAAAATTAATCTTTTATAATTTCCACCTCATTTCTAACTATTAAAAAGATAAAAACAAAATTATAAATTATTAAAATTGAGAGGAAATTATAAAAGATTAACCCACAAAATTATAAATTACAGTCTTCTGCACTAAATCGACTTTGAGGAGTGGGTTGGGTTGGAGAGGTGTCGGGCTCCCCAGGTTATGCCACCAACACCACGACAGCTGGGTCCGGTGGGGGTGGGGCGGATGGTCTGTATGTGGGATGGGGCCACGAGAAGGGGATCACATTCGGCGGGAGGACTGATTCTGGCAAATCATGCTAGGGAGTGCCTCTTGGCGAGAGGGGTTCAGTTTCAAGCTGTTGATGATCCCATGGTCGCGGAACTGCTCGTGCTCAGGGAAGCTGTTGTCTGGTGTCTGGAGCTGGGCTTCTTCAACGTTAGTTTTGAGGGAGATGCCAAGGTCATTATTGACAAAATTAATTCGGCGGACACAAGGGACAACAGGTTGGGTGCTGTTCTGGTGGAGATAGTGCAGTATTTTAGAGCCCACACGGGATTTAGTATTCGGTTTGTAGGTCGGGAACACAATAGGGTAGCCCATGTAGTGGCTAGAAAGGCCCTCTCTTTGTACCCGGCTATAAGCCGATCTTTTGATTTTCTTGCCTGGCTGAGTTCCAGGGTGTAGCTATCTTTTTGTTGAATCAATATATGATTATATTTTGTAAAAAAAAAAAAAAAATGACTTTGAAGTTTAATTAGGGATTGGCCTCGACCTCACCCTCCCACCCTTCATCACATCGAGTACCTCCTCCGCCGGCAATGAAAACCCCCTCCACCACAACCGGCAACCACGCCGCCGCCTCCTCTTCCGAATCGGCCACCGACCACCGTCAACTCAATCTTCAAGCTCATAAGAGACCAGCTCAACGCCCTGAAAGCAAAAGCCAAAGAACCCGACAACACCATCAGCTACAGCTCCTACAAGATCCTCGCCGACATACAATTATACCGAACAAAATGAATCATACAATTACGTCATAGAAAACTACAGCAAAATGAATATTTAGCCTTTATCCTCTAACTTTCAACTCAATGACCCAAGAAAAAAACACATTAATGTTAGTCTTTTTTTTTTTTTTGGTGAGAAACAGAGCGCATGGAACTTGTTCTTATCTGCCTTCCGGACCCTAGATCAGCCTTCCGAAGCAAATCTGTCAGGAAGCTATGGAACTTGTCATTAAACTAGTTGGTCCCAATAATTCGAGTTGTTGGGAGAAGGTTATGCTGGATCTTATACCACTCTCTAACACTTATCTGCCTTCCGGACCCTAGATCAGCCTTCCGAAGCAAATCTGTCAGGAAGCTATGGAACTTGTCATTAAACTAGTTGGTCCCAATAATTCGAGTTGTTGGGAGAAGGTTATGCTGGATCTTATACCACTCTCTAACACGCCCCCTCAAACGAAAGCTGACTCATGGGCTTGAAGTTTGCACAGGCCCGCCATACCATGTGCTTGAAGACAACTGTTAATATTGGGGGTCGTGGAGATTCGAACACACGACCACTTGGTCAAACCAGCTCTCTAACCATGTCATGAACCGGTTGGTCCCAATAACTCGAGTTGTTGGGAGAAGGTTATGCTGGATCTTATACCACTCTCTAACAGAACTCCCTCATCTCATCTCCCTGCTTCTCTCGCCGTTTCGTTTCGCACCACCGCAAGATCGGTCCCGGTGGCGGCGGCGAACCCGATCCGCCATTTCTAACTCCCTCCAAGCTCCGCGAATGGATCCTCACCTTTCCCCCCCCCCTGCCCATCGTTGACTGATCCCGTCTCTCCGTTCTCGATTGCTTCGAGGACTTGCTCTTGCTCTGGTTCCGATGGACCGCCGTCGCCGACTAACTATGTCGAACTTTCTTGGTATGCAATCCGTTTGTAAAACAATGGGTCGCCCCTACCTCCTTTACCAGTTCAAAGCTCGCCGATTTGGTTGTACGCAAAGTTGGTGCGTGAGCCCTGTAACTTGATTGCCCTGCATTCCGACGACAACGGAGAAGCATTTACCCATCACTCCGACCTTCGGTTCCGCGTGGTGTGTCTCAGAGATTATCGGCAGACATCATCCAATTCAATATTGGACGTCTTCTGTTCCGAATCCGGAGAGTGGACAAGAGTGACTCCGTTTGATATTTTCAGCGAATTCAGACCGCACCGGAATTTTGATGTTTCCCTAAATGGGAAATTGTATTGGACGAACAAGCCAACGCAAGTTGTTGAGTGAAATCCTTTCTGCCTCCAGGATCCGGCTCGTCGGACTACCATGGATGATGCCCCCTATCCCTATTCGGGGTCCTACTTTCTCACGGGCTCCCAAGGTGCTCTGCACATGATTCTCAAGTCTGATTGGAAGAAACCGGAAGGTATGAGCCTTTGAAGACTAGAAGAAAGAGAAGGAGAAGAAGGCCGGTCCTGGAGGAAACGATTTTTGTTGAGGTACTTATAAGTTATAATGGAAGACTTCTGCATTTGTGGCGTGGACTATTTTCAACGATTTTTGTTGAGGAAACCAACAATTAAATTTTTATGTTAGAGTCAATTAATATTTGACCGCATGAAAAGTTAATGGTATTATTATTATTTTTTGTCTAATAAATTGTATTTACTCTTATTATTGTTATTATGAGTGGAAGGACAATAAACAAAGGTTTACAAAAAATTAGTGGGCAGCCGAGATATGACTGTTGTTTTATTTAAAATTAAAAAAAATGGCTAATTTATTGCATATATCCGATAAAGAAAGCGGGAGAAACGGAAGAGTATATGTGTGAACTTGAAGCCGTTGGTCAGTTTCCACCCCAAACTTCCTCCACACTATCAGGATCAGGCCCAACAATACCACCGAGAGAAAAGCCCAATCAACCTTCAGTAACATATTCACATTTCATTTCACACACAAAAATTATTCCACAGCCAATGAAACTTCGCCACGACGAACGGACCCCACAATAATTTATAAATGAATTCCATTATTATCTGCTTCCACCGGCCCGGCGACTGAACGGCAAGTCGTTTCTTCTTCCTGCAGCTTTGACTCGCCGGTTCACCTGAGCCCCCCCGCCATTTCTCCATCGTTTCTTCTCCAAAATGCTCTATTCCAATCCAGCTCAAAACTAATTCCGCCTTTTCAAGTTTGATTTTTAAACTACCCCTCATTTCGCTTCTTCGTCGGTAGTCGTCTCCATCCGTCAACAGGTAACCGAGCAAAACGGGATTTGATTGTTTGCTGTGCGATTCAGCAGCTAATTCAAGCTTCGATCCCGTCCTAACTTCGTATTAATGTCAATACTATGCGGGATCCCACTGCTCGAGTGCGTCTACTGCCTAGCCTGCGCCCGATGGGCATGGAAGCGCTGTCTCCACACAGCCGGGCACGACAGCGAGACGTGGGGGGTCGCCACCGCCGACGAATTCGAGCCCGTCCCGCGCCTCTGCCGCTACATCCTAGCAGTCTACGAGGACGATCTGAGGAACCCTCAGTGGGAGCCGCCAGGTGGGTACGGGATAAACCCAGACTGGGTCAAGCTGAAGAGGACTTACAATGACACTCAGGGCAGGGCGCCTCCTTACTTGCTCTACCTCGATCACGACCACTCCGACATAGTTCTCGCCGTCCGCGGCTTGAATCTGGCGAAGGAGTGTGATTACAAGTTGCTGTTGGATAACAAACTGGGGAAGAGGAAGATTGATGGTGGGTATGTTCACAATGGGCTGCTGAAAGCTGCTGGTTGGGTTCTTGATTCGGAGTGTGGGGTTTTGAAGGAGTTGGTGGAGAAGTATCCGAGTTATAGCCTCACTTTCTCCGGGCATTCGCTTGGTTCCGGTGTGGCTGCGATGCTGGCGTTGGTGGTGGTTCTGAATAGTGGGAAGTTGGGGAATGTGGAGAGGAAGAGGGTCAGGTGCTTTGCTATTGCTCCTGCTAGATGTATGTCGTTGAACTTGGCTGTTAGATATGCTGATGTGATCAACTCTGTTGTTCTTCAGGCAAGTGATGATGAGCTTACAGCTCAGATGGTATCAGATTAAGTTGATGAATGATACATGTGTAGGAAACTGAATTGTATTCGGATTTGCTTGACTAATCCCATTTCCAGATGTTTGAATGAACACAGGATGATTTCTTGCCCCGGACGGCGACACCGTTGGAAGACATCTTCACTTCACTTTTCTGGTACAAGTTTGTATACCTTTCCCATCACCTTTGCCGTGTCTGTTGTTTGCAAGCTTGGACTGAAATGGGGTTGCTATTATGTTTTGATGTTGCAGCTTGCCATGCCTGCTATGTCTAAGGTGCATGAGGGATACCTGTATATCAGAAGATCAGATGATCAAAGATCCAAGGAGGCTTTACGCACCTGGTCGCCTCTATCACATTGTCGAAAGGAAGCCTTTCAGGTATAATATATCCTCTATTCAGACTTAGCTACCAAACATATACTACCCAACATAGTCTTTCGTAGGTTCCTAAGGAGTTGGTGGTCCATTGATGTGGTAGAAATGTTAGGAGTTTGTCATAGATGTAGATAGGGGTTCGTCCTAGTGATTCGAGTTGTTGGGAGAGTTTCAATAACTCTTAATCCCATTTTCTTACTTCTCCCACGAACGAATATGAACCCGATATAATGTATCCTTAAATGCTAAATATTGAGACTTATCCCGAATCAAACACAAACCTCTTAGATTTAAGTTTATGATATCACGTTGAGTACTAGTTCTTATAAGTGAATCTTATACCAGTCATATATGTGTACAACTTTATGCAGAATGGGGAGGTTCCCACCGGTTGTCAGGACGGCAGTGCCGGTGGATGGGAGGTTCGAGCACATAGTTCTTTCCTGTAACGCGACTTCAGATCACGCCATCATATGGATTGAAAAGGAAGCCACGAGAGCTCTGAGTGTAACTGATTCAGCTCTTTTCCCATCCCATTTGTTTATAATGCAAAAAACCTGTCTCTTAATATTTGCTGCTTCTGAAAAATAATCAGCTTATGTTGGAGAATGATGGAATCATGGAGATCCCAGAAAAGCAGAAGATGGAACGACAAGAGACATTAGCTCGGGAGCATAGTGAAGAGCACAAGGCTGCATTGCAGAGGGCTGTGACACTAGCCGTGCCCCATGCCCGTTTCCCATCTCAGTATGGCACGTTTGATGAGCATGTTGATGAAGGGGAAGAAGAAGAAGATGATGATGAAGACTCCCATAGATCAAGTTCAAGTGGACAATCTTCTGGTGATAAAAGCCCAGCCATCAGGTGGAATGAATTGATCGAACGTCTCTGTGAAAAGGATGGATCATCTAGGCAGGCTGTGCTCAAGAGATCACGTACAACTGTTTGATGAACTGAGAATCATATGAAAGGAGAACCAAAACACAGATTCACGCGTATAGCTTGCAACCAAGTCACATTTACCCCCTTTGGTTGGGGGAAGAGTTAGGATTTCTTCATTCAAATTTGTAATTATTTTCTTGTGATATATGTATTGAGTTTGGCTGTAAATTGGTTTTGTGAACTTCTGTATTTGAGCAAGGCTTTACTTTGTAGGCTGAGAGAGGTCTGTATTCTAGCTAGGACTACAAGTCTACAAGCTTGACATTGACGGTCCATAAAAGGTCATATTGTTAGAGGAAATTGATACGCTAGCTTGTAATAGTATGGATGGTTTATTAGCATATTAATAAGAAGATTGGTTTCCTACTGTTGAACAAATTATGAGGAAGGAATAAAGTTTTGGTTACCAAAGATTTTTCTTACAAGCTCACCTAAGGATTTAATCCATACATATTTTGCTGTCAAGAGCTCCAAATCGAAACGGAGAAAGTGAATCAAGAATTCCACCATCATCGATATTTTTCTTATGACATGGGAATTTGGTGCAAATTTTGCAAAACAAGTTATGGTAAAGCGAGAAAACTATTCTTATCCATCATTACCAATCATGATTCATGACCATCTAGAAAAGGGCAAACATTGCAAGATTTGATTATTGTTACGAAATCAAACTAGTAATGGTAGCCCTTCTAAAAAGTGATTGGTTTGGATTGCTTTGGTGGATAAGAATGGCCTTCGCTCTGTCATAATCCTCATTGGTAATTCGTTTGATGATTCACTTTCTACTCCGCATCCAAGAGCTTTTCAAAACAAAATTTGCATAGATAAATCTTGATTGGTTGCACTTCGTCAGTGTGTTCTCAAGCCTTTTTTTTATAATATGATAAATAAGGGGATACAATTGTGAACAATACAATTTATTGGTACCATAACCAGTTTGAGGAAATATGAGAGGGTAAAGGACTGGAAATCAAGATAGGAAGAGGGGAAAGAATAAAGGGGAAGAAGAAAAGGGTTTCAACGGGAAGTAGGAGTGTCATCTGGGTGGTTAATCCGTGGTCTGATATCAATCCACCGCAAATAACTCAAATCGTAATGGGTGTGTGATTGTTTTGAGTGGATCTCGATTAATAAAATCTCCTACCCGCATTTATTCGGGTGGGTGGTGTGGATTGTGGGTCACCCGAAGTGATTTACACCATATTTCATATGACAAAAAGTTGTTTCTTGTTTATACTATCAAATAGTCATCATATTTCCTAATCACACTATATATTGATCATCGATTTCTAAAGGTGGAGAATAAAGAATATTTTTGGACTATTATTATTGGTACCATGTTGTGTAATGTCCATTAGATTTTGGGATGCACATTATAAACTATTAATTGTATCAAAGTCGCAAAGCATGTCAATTTTCGCTACACAATTGGTTGATGGAGTAATGCAAAAATTTGTTGCCAAATACTACACGTATCCACTGGATACAATGTGAGAAAGTGTCTAAATTGATAGTCTTGCTAAATTTGTGAGAAACTTACTATAAATATTGGTCAAGTTTCTTTATACCTAGTTGGAGAATTGTTTTGTGGGTTCACTCACAACCCAATATCCACCCATTGCTCACTCCTAATGGGAAGCCATGAAAGGGGGAGAAATTATCCGAGCCATTAATGGAAATTTGTGAAACTTTCTTTAAAAGCGTGCTCTCTTATTAAAGCACGATAAATTCGAAGGAGAAAGCATGCACTCTGTTTTTGGTGGAGAGTTAAAAATGAGGAACAGGCAAGAAGGAAAGTGGATTGGGGGGGGGGGGGGAGAGAAAGATTCCAAGCTTACGAGGGCGTTTGAGTTTTGTGAAAAAACAAAATCTCAAAAGAGAGGAAGAAAGAAATAATTTTGCCTCATAGTATGCGGAGTAGGAGAAGAATAAATAAGAAGCGAGAGATTGAAGGGGATAGGGTTTGGAGCAGTGGAGTTCGGGAGTTGTGGATTCAATGAGAGAAGTGGAAGCAAGGAATAAGAAAAAATAGTGGTTGACATGATAAGAAGAAGAAGGAGAAGCGAAGGAGGTAAAAAGAAGAAAAAAAGTTTGTCCGTTAGGTTTGAAGGCTCTGATATCATATGATAAACCAATTAGTCCCAATAATTTAAATTGTTAGAAGAAGTCCATGTATGATATTTAATCACTTTCTTACTTCCTTATAATAACAAACTTCATGCAAATCGCATGTCCTTCAATATATATCTCCATTTACATGATTATGTATAAAATAAAACTGTAAAATTGGTTCATTTGCATGATTGTATATAAAAATGATAAATGTTTCAAATAAAAAAAAAGTATATACAAAATGGTAATTTGCTGAGAGAGGATAACAACTCCACTAAAGTTCAGGCCCAGTACAATTGGGCTTTTATTGAACGAGGAGCAAAGCATCAGCCCATCATCTCAGTCTCAGCCCGCTGACTGCTGACCATCCTCTCGTCCATTAACCGATTAAGTTGCTCTTACTAAGTTCGTTCTTCGTTGATCGGAATTTGCCTCCATTTTATGGAACACTATTGAAGAGTATGGAATCGATCGATGTCGAATCGGTGGCATAATTCTTCTCCTAGTTCTTCGATCTTCAGACATTGTTGGCTTCCAGTTTGATTCTTAAGCAGCGGGCATCACCTTCTCAATTCATCAATGGCGGACTTGCTACGCTTCCTCCTTTTCATTGCCGTCATCGGTCAGCAGTTCAACTCTTTCGCCGAGAGGTAAATACGGAACCTCATTTCGATCTCGCTATAAGTTCCAGCTTCTTTTCCTGTGATCGCTTCCCTCGATTTCTTAGGTCTCGTTAGGTTTTGTGTTTGTCATTGGAGAATACGCTCTCGAATTTGATCTGTTTTTTATGCTAAGAAACAATGTCCATCTCTGAAACTCGGCGATTTCTTGACCATGCCACTACGGTAGTAAGGTTAGGGGGTTCAATTGCTGAGAGAATTTTCTCTTCTTGTCGGCTGATATCCTTTTCTTTCTTTTTTCTTGCTGAATTGGTTGCTTCTTCCAGCTATGTTGGTTAACTGTCTTCTACTGAATAGTGCTTGTGGGAACTTCCACACTCTGTTGCCATCTCAAAGATTAGTTTTTGTTAGCAATAACATATGCTGTAGGTAGTAAATTTTGGTAGCCTTATGTCAATTCTGTCTGTTCGGTATCTCGTACCATAGTTTCATCTGCTGGGTTTTGCTTGGTTCAGCCGGAAGGAGTTGAGGGGTAAGGTGGATTTCAACCATGAAACTGTCATTCAATTAAGAAGCTCCACGCCATTGAATAGGGTTGACCCATCACGCGTTATCTCGCTCTCTTGGCGACCAAGGTCAGGTACTTGATTTAACTGCAAATGTCTTGTTTCGTTAACAATTGATGAGTTGTGAATGTTGATCCTTGTCTGCTTGGGATGTTGATGTGCTTTTGTTGGTTTTGTGTTGCTGGGTCAGGGTGTTCCTATATCAAGGATTTCTGACAGACGAGGAATGTGATCACCTTATTTCTTTGGTACACATTCTTCTCCTTTGACTCCCATTTAGTCTTCATTTGTGGAACCAGATGATTTCAAAATGCTTGTAATGGGATTTAGGCACAAGATCCTCAAGAGGCCATTGTGGGAAATGGTGATAATTCCAGGCAGACAGTGAAGAAGAGGATGTTAGCTAGTACAAAGCTTCTTCCAGATACGGATGTAAGTCCCCTTTTCACAATGTCAGTAATTTTGCTTACTCTCTAGTCTCTACCGTGCAGATCGCTGTTCAGTTTGCTATGTAGAAGCTCAGTCAATGCTACATGCCCTTTCTGTTTTGCAGGACAATGTTATAACAAGGATTGAGGAAAGAGTTGCAGCCTGGACTTTGCTACCTACTGGTGCTTGCCTCTTACCCGGCTTCATCCTACTGTCACTTGTCCTTTGTTTTACCAGTTACAACCCGGTTCAGTGATCGATCTCACTTTTCCTTATTTCAGATAACGGGCAGTCATTACAGGTCACACATTCTGGGGTCGAAGAGGCCACCGCCCAGAACCTTAGTTACTTCAGCAACCAATCCTTATCAACCTCAAAGGAGCCTCTGGTAGCCACTCTTGTATTCTATCTCTCAAATGTGACTCACGGCGGGCAAATTCTCTTCCCTAATTCAGAGGTTAGCTTTGATAACATCCCGAAACCTCACACGCTTCCTTGCCTCCCTTGGTTTATCTTTCGAGCTCATGGAAAACCGACTTTTGACAGGAGAAGAACAAGATTTGGACCGATTGCACAAAGAGCAGCGAGATTCTACGACCGATAAAAGGGAATGCGATACTGTTCTTCAATCTTCACCTCAACACTTCCCCTGACCCGAGCAGCTCCCACTCTAGGTGCCCAGTCCAGGACCCTGAAATGTGGGTCGCCACCAAACTGTTCTTCCTTAGGCCCACCATTGCCGGGAACCCTCCGCCTCATCAATTGGATAGCAGCAGCGATGAATGCTCCGACGAGGACGACAACTGCCAATCATGGGCTGCTTCAGGAGAATGCGAGAAGAATCCGATTTACATGATTGGTTCTGATGACTACTTTGGAACTTGTCGGAAGAGTTGTAAAGTCTGCTGAACATTAATCTATCGCCAGTTTGATGGTAAGCTAGATTTTCCTACCAATCTAATTGTCGAATGCTCGACTGTTCTCGAGCTTTTTGGGAAAGACTTGAATTAGATATATATATCATTGGCAATTCGAGCTTTTCAGAAGTAGCGAATCAAGCAAAGAGATCAAATTGCCATTAAAATAGTTCAGCGACTGAAAATTTCACTGCATAATTTCTAGTACGAGTGCCAAAACAAGGAAAAAGAAAATTCCTATCGATTCTTCTTATTGGATTCTTGTTGATTGAATTCAACACCAGAAGGACGGAGAAATAGAGCGGCTCTGACCGTTCTACACGGTGGCTGCAGGTTTCACGACGACGGAGTTGGTTTCTTGACGGAGCACGACGACTTGAAAGCTTCGATCTGCGATTGACATTTGGCGTAGTTCCCCTTGTTCTCCTCCAAGCACTTCTTCAACGCTTCCACATCGCACGCCGGAGAAATCTTCTTCTTCCCGGCGTCGGCGCCGTCCCTTCCCGCCGACTTTTCATCCATGCTAGCCTCTCTCTCTCTCTCTCTCTCTCTCCCCGCCCTCTTCTTCCTCCCGCCGATTTTGTTTTCCTGTAACCGATTTGCGAGAAGGAGAAAGAAAGAACGACTCGAGAGATGCAAACGGCGTCGTTTAGCCTAGAAGTGTGCTCTACACTCTTCGTACTCGACACACTTCGTCTAATGACGATAATGCCCTCTAATGTGGCAGGTAGAAGACAATTCTACCACCAGAGGAGCGCCAGACACTTCGTAATTTGAAAAACCGCAGCCAAACGTCTCATTCCTTCCTTTCCATAAAACAAACGAGCAAATCCCAAACTTCCTTCCAAATCCGCTTCCCTCACTCACAAGCATTTTCACCGTTGAAAATCTCTGTACATCTTCAATCTTCCATGGCTGCTCCGACTCCAGACCATCTCGATAGATCCGCGGCGAGGACGGTCCCGTCGTTGAGCGGGAAGGTTCGTGTAGTGGCCAAAATCCGGAATTCAACGGATTATGAGGTCTTGCCTGGGATGAATGCTCCGGCGCCGTGGATTTCAGTCAACAAGCCTAATGGAGATGATTCTACCCGCGTGTCTGTGACCTTGGGAGAGCAATCTGGCAGGTGAGCACACTAAGTTCTGTGAATTTTCACTTCCGTCGATCTTCCATATGTCAATTTCACTTGAATTGGTTCTACTGGCTATATAAGATATTGTGCTGTTACTCTTCTTCGTTAAATTTCTGGGGTTGCAATTTTGGCTTCATATGTGACTCGTTGAATCTGAATCCAGAGCACTATACCTAAATGTGGATGTTGCTTAACTAGTTTTGAAGCTGGAAATGTGTGAATTGAAAGCAAATGTTCAATGTATTCCAACTGTTCTGAGAGATTATGATTATGTTTGGCAGTTCTAGAGAGTGTTACGAGATTGGTTACTGCTATCAAGAGACTGAAGGCAATGAAGAAATGTTTAGAAGAGAGGTGCAGTGTCTATTATCCGAAGTGTTCAACGGTCGCAGTGTCACTGTTGTGGCTTGCGGAGCTAGAGGTTCTGGAAAGACTCATGTCATTCAGGTCAAGGCTAGCTCTGCTTGGTTTGCATCATTTGCGTGTTGTATTTGTTCGGAATCTGTGTGTATAGGAGAGAGAGAGACTGATGAGTTCGAATGGTCTTTTATTTTCCTCACAGGGCACTGAAGGGGATTTGGGTTTGGCAGCCTTATCTATGGCCGAAATACTACGAATGGCTGAGGAAAGTAACAAGTTCGTCGGGATGTCATGCTACGAAATCGTTCAAGAGCATGCTTATGATCTGTTGGAACAAAAACCGCAGGTAGTATCAGTGTTGAAAGATGGCCAAGGACGAGTGCAACTCAAAGGACTATCTTGTGTATGTGTTTCAATCTTTAGTTTCCAGTGGATTTGATGGAAGGTAATGAAGTGTTTGTCCTAATCTTGTTATTGGTTCTATCTTTTCAGGTCCAAGTGAAGTCGTTGTCTGAATTTCAAAAACTATATCGTAGGCAAAGCAAGACCATGCGTAAACCAAATCAAAAGATAACTCAGTTACTCCCTCCAAGAAGCACAAAAGGGTTGATCTTTTACATATCATCAGAAGCCGATAAGTTGGCCAGTGCTCCTGTTGGCAAGATCAATTTTGTGGAGTTAGCAGGTTGAAGACCTTAGCTACAAACCAAGTGTTTCTTGTTTACCACTATCATCACATTTAGTTCCCTAATTCCTGATTGCATTTTGTTCTATCAGGTTATGAGGATGCAAAAAGAAAAAGTGACGTGAGTAACTTCGGGGAGAATGCGCAGATTAACAAGTCCATCCACGCATTCATCAAAGTGGCGTATTCATTACATGTCAATGAAATTCATGTGCCATATCGAGAGAGTAAGCTTAGTCGGATGTTGGAAGATTCACTTGGAGGGAAGAGTAGCATTCTGATCTTAACATGCTTGGTTGGTTTCTCGGTTCTATATCTCAGTACATTCCTTACTAATTCTTGTAAAAGGTTGTTTAATAATTTACTTTTATTGAATCGCAGAACCCCTTCTCCTGCCAAGACTCGATGAACATGTTAAAGTTAGCTTCTCGTTGCTCCCAAAGTAATACTACCAGGATTGTGGTGGATTCTGCAAGAAAAACAGACAGCACGGCAAGATCCAAGGTGTTTGCTTCACATAGAAGCAGGCTACCTGGGAGTGCTTCCTCTATGAGGAAGCAGCCAACTCCCTCCCATTTTCCTACTCCTGGTAAGAAAACCAGTGGAAATGCTTCTGCACTGAAAGCAAGGTAATTATTAGATGCCACTGATTCTATATAGAGGTACTTTATATTCTTCCTCTCTCTGTCTAAGGTTCTTGATTTTCCTGTTCTCAGGAAATTGTTTGCTGACAAAGGTCATGAGAAACCTAATAAGGTACTTGTTTTCTTTGACCAAAAGAAAGATAGATTATGAATTAGAAGCTTATTAGTATAATGTAAACCAACAACAGGAAGAGAGAGAATACTTATTTAGTTCATCTTAAAGACGGAAGACCAATGACTCATATGCTGTGCAGGTAAATGCCTCTGCAACTGTTTCAAGAACTGGTTCTTCTCTGCCAGAAGAGGTAAGTCTCTCTGAAGTTTTGCTGTATCTCAAAGCCTATTGTTCAGATAGAGCTCTGGACCTTCAGGAATTTCCTAACTATAGTCTGAATTGAATCCCAGACAAGTTCTTCCATTGGCTTGAACACTGGGATTTCTGCACAAGAAGAGGTAAGCTTTTCATATTTAAATACGCTACTCGCTTATAAACTACTTTATCAGTATTTAAGTCTTACTGGAACTTTCAGTAATCTGAATAAATGTATCTTCTGTAACTCACTAACTCTGTCTATTATCTCTTTAGGAAGAGCACACTTCGAATTCCATCAAGGATAATGTGGTTCTGGTTTGTGGTTTATCCTTCCTCTCCTTGCTTTGTGTTTGCATTATACTATGGCAGATGTCTGAGACTTTGATATGGTTTACAGGAAGCTTCATCATTAGAACTAGAGAATACTCCTGTTCCGTTGGAAGATGCTCTTGCTTCCCTTGAGGTACATACGTGTGTGAATAGGGAATTTTTTTTCCATGCAGAATGGCTAGTGCTAGTTATTTTGATTGGAAAATCAGCAGAAAAAATGTAGTCCAAGACAGCAATGGAACAAACGAACCTCTTATTTTAGAACCAATGATGCTTCTATAGTTGGTTTTGTAGTCTTTGAACGGGGTTGCTTAACAAGAACATAACTCCATGGTGTCTTAGGTATCAATGGAGCTTGCCGAAGAAGACGAGCATGTGAACATGATAACCCCGGGCACTACGACATTGCCTGTGGTTGATGAAGGTACGAAAGATAGTGAACGTTATTAGGGTCTAATTTTGCTTAACATCTTGGCTTCTCACTTTTTGTTGTCTTTCATGAATATGTTAACCTGTTTCTCTCTATTAGTAGGTCAAAGTCTAGACAATATAACACCAGCCACTACGACGTTATCAGTGGTTGATGAAGGTATGAAAGATAGGTGACCTTATTAGGATCTAATTTTTCTTTGCATCTTGTCTTCCCACTTTTGTTTAATCTTTTAACTTGTTTCTCTGTATTAATAGGCCAAAGTCTAGACAAGGAGAATGACATATCTCTTGCTAACGAAGGGGGTTCTCCGCCAATCAGCTTGCGGCTGAAGGAGATCTCAAACAATTTGAAGCAGCTCTACACTTCAACCCCAAAGCAGCTCTATACGTCAACCCCATTGTGCACGGTGATGCCCCCAACCAATGATATTCCTCTCCAAGATCAGTTTACAGCTGCTTCCGCGGAGCCAATGACCCCTGAATGCAATATAAGAGAAGTGAATAAGAACTTGGACATTGCAAGCTTATGCAGCCCCTGGGAGAAGTTGAATAGAAGCAATTGCGGAGTGAAGGTTGGTCCCAACACCTTTCTCCTCCATTCCAACATAGCATAAGACTGCGATCTGGTGCTTACATATCATTGTTCAATTTCAGAACTCGGTTCTTACGGAATACCTTAAATTTTTCAACACAGCGAACAAGTAAGTGTTAAATCAATCGTGAGCATCTTTCTCGGTCCGTAAATGTACTTGACAAGGTGGACTGATTTGTGGCTGTTTCTTTTGTCATTAACAGGGAAGATCTGAAGAAACTAAAGGTAACTAATGGCTTCAATGGTGTCAAATTTTCTACTTCTTGTATGGGTACCTTAAAATTTGTAACTAACATCGATCCCTCGGTGCAGGGGATCGGAGAAAAACGTGCAACATACATTATGGAATTTCGTGAGGAATCGCCTTTTAAGGATGTAAGTTAACACCGTTATGTCGACGTTGGTTCTTGACATAAATGCTCACTATCAGATGTACTCATAATCAATCTAACATGTTTGTTCAACAGCTTGACGAGTTAAAAGATGTAGCTGGCCTCTCAGCTAAGCAGGTAATGACCATATCTACTTCGTTTGAATGGAAAATGACCACATTAACTCGGATATTTCGATTCATCCTCTTCTTTTTTCCTCTTTCTTGTATGGAATGCAGATCAAGGACATGGTGAGCAAGGACGTATTGGGAGGGCTGTTTCACTAAACTGTTGGCTAAGTTACTCATATCTGTTGTAGTTTTTATTGGCAATGCATAAAGTTGCCCATTCTAGTTTATGTTGCTTGAAACAAATGGAACTACTTCTGCCCATAAGCATCAATATTGTCTGAATGTCATTTCTCATTTCCAATCATGGAAGTGCTTCTACCCGTATTTGTCGTCCAATCATAGAAACAAGTTTGTGTGCATTTCTTTAAGAAACACAGAGAGAATGAGAAGCCTTAAGAGAGCAAGGGTTGCATTTCTGGGAGCCTCCTGCGTCTACCGTTATTGTTTGAGCCATCTCTCAGACCACTCCATGGCCAACAACACCTATGCCTCGCCTTATGACGAACTCGATCTCTGCTTTCTGCTGCTTCTAGCTGTCTGCTTAGCTCTTCCATCCTGCTACGGAATTGGTTCGCCCTGCTATCAGCTAGCTGCAAAGACTGCTCGGCTGCTGCTTGGGCCGCCATTGCTGCACCTGCAAGCTCCTCTTTCATCTTCAACTTGCCATCAGATATCTGCAGAGCAGCCCTTGTCTTCTCCAATTCTAGCTTCATGATCGCAATCTGCAGGAATTCAAGCATAGAATAATCCGAGGTAAGTATCTGTCTCACTCAGGGTTAAGTACATTCATTTCTGTAGAGCAAGTTAGGAAAATGGTTCACCACTTTATCCCGTTCTGCAACCTCTTTCTTCCCAGCTTCCACTTCCAACTCACAAGCTTCCATCCATCTCCCTGCCTCTGCCTCTGCTTCTCTGATTTCTGCCATCAGTTTGTCTATCTGAAACAATTATTAAGTCAGCCCCCCATAGAAAAGATCATATCTTTTTGTCGCATCATTTCTTAGTAGGATTGTCCATTACATTATGTGCTGAAACCCTGCCCCTATCCTCCAGCTCTTGTACGTACACCGCGTTTTCGGCAATGCTCTGAGCTTGTCTCTCCACCAAGCTCTGCAGCTGCTCGCAGTCTGATCTGACAGTGTGGGATAGCAAAACCAGCAATCAAGCCAAAAGCACATTGTCTAGCTTGATGAAGATTACTTCGCTTTCTCAGCTTTACCTAGAATCCTCCAGTGATCTTCTAAGCTCCGCGATCTCCAGCCGCAAGTTCTTCATCACTCTTTCAACAGTCGAAGCCTGAGAAATGGATCATTATCAGTCAAATCTCAAGCTGGACAGCGAAAACAGAGTGTGTTTTTTTTTTTTTTTGTGACTTCATACATACCAAACTAACGCTCTCTTCTTCGTCACCATCGCCGTCGTCTGATCTTCTGTTGACTTCAGATCCAGATTCCTCCTCTGCTGTCTTTTCATCGCTGTTGCTGCTGCCGATGATGAAACCAAACCCCACCCTCTGCAAACCCCGTTCGGCGATCTGGAACAGAGCTGCCTTCTTATGCTCGGTGCTGCTGCCTTTCAGCTTGTTCAGATTCCTCTCCGCGGCCTCCTTCTCCATTAACGCGACCCTGAGAAAGGTGTTCAGGTCGCGATTCTCTTCCGTCAAGCTCACGATGCTGTCCTCCAGCATCTTCTTCTCCTTCTTCTTCCTCTCCTCGAACTCTTTCGTCACAGATTCTGCCTCGCTTGCCAGTCTCGTGATCTTCGAGAGCTCCCGCAGTGCTCGTTTCAGTTCATCCTCTGCTTCTCCGATTCCCTCCGATTCCTTCTCGAGCTGTGAATCAACGGTCTTCCCGTCGTCGTGACAGCGTATTATCTTGAGTAGATGGTTCTTCGCCGCCGGGAGCAGCGAGACCAGAGATTTTAACAGGACCTCATTCTTATCTTCAGATTGTTTGATATTGAATTCTAACTCCTTGATCCTTGCCCTACATATTTCCAATTCGGTTTCGAGCTCTGTTCTCCTCGAAATTTCGCCTCGCTCAATTTCGCTCTGTTTCTCGCGGCAGAACACCTCCAGCTGCCCGATGAGCTCGCGAAGGAGGTCCAGTTCGAGTGTGGTCTCGCAAACGGCCATCTCTAGATTGCAATTCTGCTCCAGTGCCTCGTCTCTCTGTTTCTGCACAGTCGCGAGGCTTTTCTCCGCGGCCGAATATTGGTACTGAAGCGCCTCGTGGGAGCGGCGCAGAGATCGCAGCTCTTGGAGGATGACGACGACATTCTCATCGGATTTCCTTGTTGCTGAATCGGCATCAGGTGGCGGGGAAGTGATTCCGCCGGCGGCTTCCATTGTCCATAAGGGAATCGGCAGGTAGTTCTTTTTCCTCTGCGGAAGATTATAGCAGGAAAATTGCTCCTGTTCCATAGTACCTGCCCGTCAAGAGAAATGGAGGGAAAGCTCGCGAACTAAAGAATGTTTGGTATCCTTAGATTAATTATTTGGTAATCAACATTTGTCAACCGTATGATCTCTGAGACCACGTGTCGTCATCGTTTTTTATGCGACTAAACCCTATACTTTAGAAGGTCGGATTTTATAACGTGGCGGGTCAAAATTCGGTGAAATCAGCGTTTCGGTTAGCCGTATAAGTAAAACAGTGATGATTTTAACGGAGGTTGACGAAAACTAATGAAAAGTGACCAAATTTGAAACATTTAATTACCTAGTGACCCTCAATGAAATAAAAAAAAGTGCAATGTCTATTTTTTATCCAAACCTTTTTTAGATTCTTTTATATTATCCAAACTTATCGATATATTAAGAATTAGCCAAATGTTAACTTCCAGTTAGCAATTTTGTTAGTAATATTGACTTGGCAACATGATATTGATTTGGAAGAGACTCATGAAGGTCAACATTCCAAAATTTTAATATTTTAACTAAGAAAAAAGTTACAAAATTATTAACGATAACATAAAATGGCTAATATTTTGTTGCATTATGAAAGATTTGGATAATTAATGAAATTTTATTAGGTTTGGATAATATAAAAAAATCTGAAAAAGATTTGGATAAAAAATAGACATTACCCTACAAAAAAGTGACTATATGTGAATTTTTCCAATAATTGCAGTGACCAAACTTGCAATTTATCTCATAAAATGTAATAAGTTTGACATTTTAGTAGTTTACCATTAACTTCACACAAAGGACAAATGTGAATTGACTCATACCAAAGGTAAGGTAGATCCAAATGAAGTAATTTCATCAAAATCAGTCACAGCTAAAATAAGCCATCTCTGAAAAGGATCAATATACCTAATTGTCTGATTTAACAATTATTAATATCCAAACGAACCCTACAAAAATTCGTTTCTCAAATAGCCAATTATTAAATTATAAACGGACCGAATCGGCCAGTAGGCCGAACCAGTAACCAAAAACGGTTGCACAAGTGTTGAAGCGGGTTCTATTAAAGGTTCAAAACCCCACTCACTCACTCTACTTCACTACCAGCTAAACAAGCTTAAGCTCGCTACTTGCTTTTACCAAAGCTCTCTCCCATGGATTCCTTCTCCACCTTCACCTTGCTCTTCTTCCTTATCCTCCTCCTCCCCGCCGCCCCCACGCACCAGCAACAACAACAACCTCCATTCTCCTGCGGCGCACAATCAAGCACCACAACCTCCTTACCCTTCTGCAACACCAAGCTACCCATAACCCAAAGAGCCAAAGACCTCGTCTCCAGGCTGACCCTCGACGAGAAGATCTCCCAGCTCGTGAACACCGCCCCTGCCGTCCCGCGGCTCGGCATTCCGGCCTACGAGTGGTGGTCGGAGGCCCTACACGGCGTCGGATGGGTTGGCAAAGGGATCCACTTCAACGGCACCATTTCCAAAGCCACCAGCTTCCCTCAAGTCATCCTCACCGCCGCCTCTTTCGATGCCTACCAGTGGTACCGCATTGGCCAGGTAACTTCAATTTAACATCATCGAAGCTCGATTGGGTTTTGATTGATTGACTAATTGGGAAAGTGGGAGTTGTTTATTTAGGTGATTGGGAAAGAGGCGAGAGCACTTTACAATGGCGGGCAGGCTTCAGGGCTCACGTTTTGGGCTCCAAACATCAACATTTTTAGGGACCCAAGGTGGGGGAGAGGCCAGGAAACCCCAGGGGAGGATCCTCTGGTTACTGGGAAGTATGCCGTCTCGTATGTGAGAGGGGTTCAAGGGGATAGCTTCCATGGCGGGAAGCTTACTGGGCATCTGCAGGCTTCCGCTTGCTGCAAGCATTTCACTGCCTATGATTTGGATAACTGGAAGGGCGTCAATCGCTTTGTGTTTGATGCTCGTGTAAGTTTTTTTTGGCAAACTTTACAGAGTCGCTTCCTTTTTTTAGTTGCTTTTTTCATAAGCCTTCTGATTTTGTGTGCCACTTTTTCCTCTGCAACACAACAAGAAAAAAAGTTGACTCACTCACTCTTCTCCCTTGTTCTTATGTGCTTTACTGGTCTTGAACCGGTTTCCCTGGTTTTGAGCTGCATTGGTTGAGGGTTTTCTGGTGTGTCATTGAATAATTCGAGACTGAGTAAAGCTACTTTTCTGGTCTAGTGCGTCTCATCGAGCACTATTTCATTACATACTATTCCTTTATGAAATGTCCCTTAAATGAAACTCAAATTTGAAGTCTGCACAGATTCGTCTTAACCGAATCATTAATAACCAGAGACTGTAGAAGGTTAAGACACAGAACAGATACAAATGCTCTTGATCTATACTATTTCCCTTGCATGTCCCGTGTGAAAATGACTGAAAGGGGAGCTTTTTCTAAGTTTCTTTTTATTGTCCATGATGCATTATTGTGTTCATTTCATGGGCTGATGGGATGTTCTGAATCTGATAATAATGATATCCTTTTCTCTTTTTGGATTTGATTCCAGGTGACTAAACAAGATTTAGCCGACACATATCAACCACCATTCCAGAGCTGCGTTGAAGAAGGGAAAGCCAGCGGGATAATGTGTGCTTACAACAGAGTCAATGGGGTTCCGAGCTGTGCAGATTACAATCTCCTTTCCAAAACTGCAAGAGGCCAATGGGGATTTCATGGGTAATGCACTGATTAACCATTCCTCTAATATAACCTGGAAAGAGATTTTCAGACAATGCTTGTTGCTTCCCTAACATTTGAACCTATCTACCTACTTCCACTGAAATCATTTCAGGTACATAACATCAGACTGTGATGCTGTTTCCATCATCCATGATGCTCAAGGTTACGCTAAGCAACCAGAGGATGCTGTTGCCGACGTTCTTAAAGCTGGTACATTCAGATGTCCATTTCCCACCATAAACCCTTGTCTGTCCTAGCTTGTGCAGATGGACTTATTGCATTTGTCCATTTGTTTCTTTTCACCGAACCTTATCAGTATGGCATCAACGCCATTTTGGTCTCTTCTTTGTCCCACCTACCCAGTGGAGCCCTCTTCTCATGGGCGTTTTCCCTTCGAAATCCAATCAATGGCTAAACCCAATTGGCAAAGCCAGTCCCGTTGATGATGGCTTGCTTCTTGTTGCGTTCCCCAAGTTTGATGCATGCAATGTTTTGTCCTCTTTACCACTTAAATATTGTTGCCTTCCATTGGTTGTTTAAGAATGATACCTTTATTACCTTTAATGGTAAATAGAATATGGTATTGGATTTCTCTAACATAGCCAGCAAAATGCAGGGATGGACTTGGACTGTGGATTATACTTGCAGCAGCACAGTAAAAGCGCAGTAGAGCAGGGGAAATTACCTGTATCCCAAATAGACAGAGCACTTCATAACCTCTTTGCCTTAAGAATGAGGCTCGGCCTCTTCAATGGCGACCCAAAGGAACAGCTTTTCGGCAACATTGGTCCGGACCAAGTCTGTTCACAAGAGCATCAGATGCTAGCACTTGAAGCCGCACGTAATGGCATTGTTCTCCTCAAGAACTCAGCTAGACTCCTCCCTCTCCGGAAATCCCAGATCAAGTCTCTCGCAGTGATCGGCCCAAATGCCAACTCGGGGCAAACCTTGCTTGGAAACTACGCTGGACCACCGTGCAAGTTGGTTACCCCGTTGCAGGGACTTCAGGGCTATGTTAAGGACACAACTTATGTCCAGGGCTGTGATAGTGTTCGATGCTCGTCAGCTGAAGTTGATCGAGCCGTGGAGGTAGCCAAAGGTGTTGATCATGTGGTGCTGGTGATGGGGTTAGATCAATCGGTAGAGAGGGAAGAGCTCGATCGCGTGGACCTGGTGCTTCCTGGGAGGCAACAAGAACTCGTCACCAAGGTGGCGAGAGCTGCAAAGAATCCAATCGTCCTCGTGCTTCTCTCTGGAGGTCCAGTCGATGTTTCATTTGCCAAGTATGATAAGAAGATAGGAAGCATTCTGTGGGGTGGTTACCCTGGTGAAGCTGGCGGGACTGCACTTGCTGAAATCATATTTGGTGATCACAATCCAGGTGAATCGATCGCGACTCATCCCTTTCAATCCGATCCTAATGTGTTAACTTCAATCTGATTCTGACGTTTTATGTATCGGGTTTGTTGCTATGCAGGAGGGAGGCTGCCAGTTACTTGGTACCCACAAGAGTTTGTGAATGTACCAATGACAGACATGCGAATGCGTCCTGAATCATCTTCGAGCTACCCTGGCCGAACCTACAGGTTCTACAAAGGCCACAGCGTGTTTGAGTTCGGTCATGGCCTCAGCTTCTCCAAGTATTCCTACGAGCTGAAGCACGTCTCGCAGGACAAGCTCTTCCTGAACCAGTCCACCTCAACAAAGCAAGCAGCAATCGACGAGTCAGGTTCAGTTCGTTCGACACTGGTTTCCAGCGTTGGAGCAGACTTCTGCGAGCAAAGCAAGTTCCAGACCAGAGTTGGGGTGGAGAACCATGGTGAGATGGCTGGCAAGCATCCCGTGCTGCTGTTTGCTAGGCAGTCGAGGCATGGAGATGGAAGGCCCAGAAAACAGCTGGTGGGGTTCAAGAGCGTGGTGCTCAGCGCGGGAGAGAAGGCGGAGGTCGAATTCGAGGTGAGCCCTTGTGAGCATTTCAGCAGAGCTAATGAAGATGGTGAGCTGATGATGGAAGAAGGTACTCATTTCTTGAGTGTGGGAGGTGATAAGTACCCAATTTCCTTGGTACTATGAGGTGGGAGGATAGGAGAGAGAACTCATGTGGTGAATAAGAAGGGGGAGAAGAAATGTTAATTCTCTTTTTTACTGAGTGAGTTTGTTGACTTACTCGTCTCAATGAAATGAATCCAAGGCCAAATTTAGAGGAAAGGTTTAACTTCCCTGACGAACTTTCTCAATCGAATTGGCATGAAAAAAGAATCGGTATTGGTGCCTCGAACAAATATTGGGGTTGCGAAAGAATTCAAATATGGCATTTAAGAGGAAAGGTTTAACTTCCGTGACGAACTTTCTCAATCGAATTGACATGAAAAAAGAATCGGTATTGGTCCCTCGAACGAACATTGGGGTTGCGAAAGAATTCAAACACGGCATGGAAAAGAATTGGTATTGGTATCTCGAAGAACAAATGTAGGGGTTGTGAATATTCAAATACAAAACTTCTTGATATCGTGATATAAAAGTTATGAACAATTTAGTTTCAATAACCTGAATTGTTTAGAAATACTTAATTAAGTATGGATCTTATTGCTTAGTTGATGAATTTATGAATATGATCGTCACATACACAATTGTTTACTCATGGATAAACAAATTTATGAGATTCCTAAAAGTGGTCCACATAAACTTATTAGTCGCTCAAATGTTGAGCGTATCCCCCCCCCCCCCCCCCACCAAAAAAAAACTATCAAAAGTACTGATCATCGATGCTTGTTTTAAATTAAAAACCCTAAAAACTCTCAGTCACTCCAACGAAAAATTGAGTTGAAATTGCATGTTTTAGAGTAAAAAAAAATGCAGCATTTTGACATGTGTTAATTTAACCAGTCAATTGGTTCCAACAACTGAACCTTCCATCGCAGGTAGTAACCGCGCAACTTTTCGAAGCTTGGAATTCGAGTAGGCCATAGAATAACCCTAGGCTGGAACACACTCTGCCCTGCGATAATCCCTCTTCGTCTTGTATAAGCAAAGAACTCCGTTTCTTTGCTTCTCAAATTACAAGTGAAGAGAGCAACGGAAAGAGCAGACCCGCCGCGGCCACGACCACGACGACGAAAGCCCAGCAGGAACACAACTTCCGATTTCCATGGATGCCGGCCAACCACACTAAGTTTTCTAAACTCCGAGCCATTCGTTTCGCGATCCTTTAACTCACCCAACAACGCTCTGTAACTTCTCCGCCAACCCCTGTTCCGGTCTCCTTCTTCTCCTTCTTCTTCTTCCTCCCATCTCCAAACGCTGAATGCATCCGGGGAATCCGAGGAGATCATGTGCAAGCAACCCTGAGAGGTGTAAATTGACGAGCGGTGGTAAGAGCCGGCCTCAGGAGCATCAATCAAAGCAGTGTTTGCGTCATCCAGTGATGGGCCGAAGGGATTCCACTCGACCAATTTCCCGTCCCAATTCTTCCAGTACAACCTCCCGTTGTGCGAAGCTACAGCTTCGTCCCTAGGCGGGAATCGGCCAAACCGTTCAGTAGGCGTCGAGGTCCAGATTCCAGATTCCGAACAGAACACATCCACCCGATCGCTGTACAAACGCACCACGCGAAATCGGTGATAAGTGAATGCTCCTCTTCTTCTTCTTCTTCTTCTTCTTCTCCGCCGTCGCCCAAATCCAGAGAAACAGAGCTGCAGGGCTGGCACACTAGCCTCGTGAGACAACAATACCAATCCCCAAACCTTTTGGGCGCTAAAGGGAGGCAAACCCACTGATTCGTGAACGGGTTGCAGACGAAGAATGTCCCGTGGAGTTCGTAGTCGCTGCAGTCCTCGAATCCCACCAAGAGCAAGTCCTTGAAGCAATCGAAAACGCGGCAATGGGATCGGGTTTCGTCGCTGGGCATGGGCAGGACGCTACAGATCGTAGATCGCTGTTCTTCTAGGTAAATCAGAAGAGGCGGTTCTGCTGCGGCGGCGGACAGGGCCCGGTGGTGTGAAAGGAGACGGCGGGAGAAGTAGGGAGCAGATACGATTGAGTTCCATCGCTTGAAGATGGATTTGCATCGGAAGGCGGATAAGGATTTCTTCGAGGAGATCGTCGTCTCCCAGTCTGCCGATGGAGTAGCCCTCGATCGCCATGGCTGGCTGCCGCCGGCGAGCTCTTGATTGGGAGAAAATAAAAACAGAAGAGGCGAATGACAGAGTGAGGCACACAATCCACTAATAATAATCAATAGCTTAAGCCTGTTTTTTCTTGGGCCTTCTCCTCGTTGGAATATATATTATAGCATTTTATAGTGTTTTGGGCTGTTATACATATTGGGCCCGGGCCCGGGCCCAGCATTGAATAATTAAAAAGATGGACCAAGAGGCAAGAGCTTAATAATAATAAGCCGTTGATTTATGCTCAATGCATAATTAGAAAAGGACTCGTTGACTTTGTTCGCGGTTTCCTACCAAAACGCTGGCGTATACGAGGAATGTTGTTAGGACTTAAGGACGGGAAGCAAAAGTCAATCAAACGTTCAACGACCTAGCTAAGTCGCTCCTCCTTCCTCCTTCATACTTCCCAATTCCATTTCCTTCCTTATTCTCCGCCACGAAGCGCCAGCTTTGGTAAAGGATAGAGATAGCTTGTAAACGAAGGTTTTTTCCTCTTCTGAAATAACATCGGAGAAAGACAGGGAAGGAAAGCCGTTTCCATTACTTTCCACAGGCGCACAAACTCTGATGCAAAAGAGCTAAAGATTCCCCCTTCTCCTTTTCCCCTTTTCAAAAAAGTAGGCCATCCTCTCTCTCTCTCTCTCTCTCTCTCTCTCTCTGCTGAGTCGGAGCAACTGAGCTTCAGCTGGGAAGACTGAGAATTTCGAATGCTGATTGCCGAATTGGTCGCTGATTCGCGGAGCTGGAGCATGGGGAGTAGCAGTGTTGAGGCGGAATCAGGCTTCGATGTGGAGGAGACCATCTTCGTCGCCGTGGGGAGGAACGTCGAGGAAAGCAAGACGGCGCTGCTCTGGGCGGTCCGCAACTTCTCGGGGATGAAGATTTGCCTCCTCCACGTCCACCAGCCTGCTTCAAATGTCGTCGTTCCGTTCAGTGAGTTTCCTTCCTCTCCGATTGTTCTTCTTTTGGTCTTCGTCTTTTACCTGATTACGCTTTGTTTGGTCGTCGGGGAAACGAGGGAAATTGGAGTTTCAGCCGTCGTTTCTTGTGTGTCGTCTTTGATGGCGTTATATCTGCGGAGTTCAATTATTTACAGTTTGTCGGTTGTCCTGTAGTCGCTGGTGTTTTCTGATCAGGGCTTTTTGGATCAATATTGAATTTGTCCGAGGGATTTGACTTCAATTTTAGCTCTAATGGCTATGGCTTTTGTTTGTATTCTGCGCAGAAGACAGGCTCCTTGCTGCCAACAAAGCGAAGAAAGTTGCTGCCGAGGGATTTGAAGAGTTGGAGAGGAGAAAGGTGGCTGATATTTTGACTCAGTACTTCCTCATTCTTGGGCAAGAAGGGGTAGTGTTTCTTTGCCAAACATCATTTGGGATCAGTCTAGTATTCAACATTACCTGATGATGATGTGTGTGATTAACACTCTGTAGTTAACTCAATTCCATAGGTTAAACCTTATGAAGTGTGGATTGAGGCGATGAGCATCGAGGAGGGGATTGTCGAGATTGTTGATCGGTACTATGTGAAGTGGCTGGTCATGGGTGCAGCAGCTGATAAGCACTACTCAAAGTGAGAAGTGTATAAATGAATTATCTTGTTTGAGACGTTTCATAGTTTTGATTGGCAAGATGCTTTATTTTGTGTCCCTGTATCTGGTTATTACAGGAAATTAGCAGAGATTAAGTCCAAGAAAGCAGCATTTGTATGGCAACATGCAGCTATGTCTTGCCATATCTGGTTTCTTTGCAATGGTCGCCTTATCTACACTAGGTACAGTTTCAGGCTTCCGTTTGCCTCTTCTGCCATGATCCCCGATCAGTAATTAGCAGTTTCTTGTTCACTGAGCTGTTATTTATGCCTTCAAAGAATTCAAAATTCGTTTGCTTATTCAAGTATTGAAACAGGGAAGGTAGAGATGACATATGTGAATCGGAAATTGATGATCTCCCGTTGCTCCTGACTTATTCAGATTCAGTATCTGAGAAACCAGAGGATTTGCAATCAGGTTTTGCTGCATTTGATGTTTCTCCAGGTAACAACATGATATTTATGCAACATTCATCCAAATCTTGTAAGAAAAGCTTGGTAGATTGACAGTGTTACAGAGTTGTGCAGATGCAGTTGACAATGCTGATGGATTTGAAGCTTTGTTGACGAAGTTCGATAATGATAGTAGCTTGGACGCCAGAGAATCCATTGAAACAGCGATGCCACTGCTTGAACATAAGGTCAGAAGAACTGAATCTCCCATTAAAGAATTATTTTTTATTCAAGATTTCAGTGCACGAAGCTCTTCAATTACCACTTGCACATAGAATTTCCGCATTAGATTTCTGATGTCCATACTGGAGTGTAACTTTTTGCAGGCCGTGGAAGTGAAGGAGCAAACAGATGCATCGAGTACGAGTAGCTTGGAAGGATCTGCTGTGGATGCTAGCGATCTAAGCAAAAAGGCGTTTGAAGAGGTAGTTAAGCGATGGAAAGAGGAAGAGAATGCTATAGAAGCAAAATGCAAGGCACGTTTTTGTTTGACTGGGCAATTTGAGGAGTTTGCTTTGTCAGTGTTGATTGTTGGAGCCCATGATTTCAGACATTTCATATTGTACTATTTGGAAAATATAATAACCAAAATAACTGATCATCCTGCGTCAACTATTCTGTAATGTGAAATTGTTTCTTTCACAGGCTAAAGCACTAGAAAGCTTGTGCATCAAAGAGATTAGCCTGAGAAAAGAGATGGAGGAAGTTTTGGCTAGAGAGAGGGACTCGGTAGAAAGGATGGGGAACCAACATGATGAACTCTACCAAGAACTAAAGCAGGTCAAGGAGCAGAAGGCTGTACTCGAAAAGCAGATTGGGGATGCAAATCGTGTGGTACAGGAACTGGAGGAGAAGATCGTTGCAGCCGTTGAACTTCTGATTAGTTTCAGGAGACAGAGGGATGATGCCAAGGTGGAATGTGAAAATGCTGTGAGGGAAGTGAAAAGGCTACAAGAGTTGGGGAAACTTGGCGCTACAAGCTTTCACGGGTCAGAAATTCTTGAATTCTCTTTTGAGGAGATCATAGAGGCAACTAGTGAATTTGATCCAGCTAGGAAGATTCAAGAAGGAAGATATGGAACTATATACAAAGGTCTCCTTCGCCATCTCCTTGTAACCATAAAGATGTTACCCTCCTATGGCTCTCAACTCGAATTTCAGAACGGGGTACAGCATTTCTCGAACTCCATACAAAATTTTCAGTCTGCATAAAAAAATCACCAAAAAGACCCTATATGCCTCTTGATTGATTGGTTAGCTTACTAAACTGATTGCTTGATCATCTATCACTTACTATGGAACCCAGGTGAAGATTTTGAGCAAGGTGAGGCATCCAAATCTGGTAACAATGATTGGAATTTGCCCAGAAGCCAGATCTCTTGTCCTTGAGTATGCTAAAAACGGAAGCCTGGAAGATCGTCTTGCCTGTAAAGGTAAATCGCGCCCACTTACTTGGCAGACTCGGTTGAGAATTGCTTCTGAGATATGCTCTGCTCTCATCTTCATTCACTCCAACAAGCCATGTGTCATCCATGGAAACTTAAAACCGTCTAAAGTCCTCCTTGATTCAAACCTCGTCTGCAAGTTATATGATTTCGGCATGTCTCACTTGATCCCACAAGGCAAAACTGGTAATCTCACTCCGGAGTCGGATGTCGACTCTTTTGGGATCATTCTTCTCCTTCTGCTTACTGCTAGACCGGTTTCGGGAATATTGAAAGATGTGAAATGTGCATTAGAGAACAATAAGTTGGAAGCCGTTCTGGATCACAGTGCTGGGAAATGGCCAGATGAACTGGCCAAACTGCTGGCTAACATGGCGTTGAAATGCTGCAACGGCGACAGATTGATCCGGGCGGACCTTTTGTCAGAAATCTATCCTGTTTTGGATCAGATGCTAGTGCTACCTTCTTCAACTGATTCACAGCCACCATCATCATGCTTGGATGCCAAGGAACCTCGCCGAGTTCCATCCCATTTTGTATGCCCCATTTTCCAGGTACCACCTAAAGCTGTATGCTGGGTTTGGTCACCTAAGTTGTTTCTACATTATCCTTGAAGCTTGATCAGTTGATCTGATAATGTTCGGCTCGTACAGGAAGTGATGAAGGATCCGCAGATAGCTGCAGATGGTTTCACGTACGAAGGCGACGCGATTAAAGGCTGGCTGAAGAGTGGGCACAACACTTCACCCATGACTAATCTGAAGATGGAACACTGTGATCTGCTGCCTAATCATGCTCTGTATCAGGCAATTCAAGAGTGGCGCGAACAACAATGGTGAACTGAAACCCAACTTAAGCAACTCATGTCATATGTATATCCTTTTACTTTGCATCTTGTTTGTACATAGCTTTTCACAATATATTGTGAGTATATATAGTACAATCGAATTTCAAATTTAATTTTTACAAAAAGAATTAACTTTAATTGCTAATATTTGTTTAATATGATAACGTTGGCTGAAATGTCAAATACAATATACAATGTATTTAAAAAAAAAATTGTCATTATCGTCAGATAAAATTTTGAAATCATATTTTACAAGTTTCAACATTTTTTCCAATAAAAAGTCAGATACCTACAATCTCTTAATTCGTATTAGTTTTTAAATGTTTTTTAGAAATACCCATGACATTAAAATGGATCCAGTAACTAAGACATGGATCGTACACAGATAGGATATGCACCAAAATACAAGTTATAGTCCTTATTGGCCAAGAAATCAGTTGTGCTATTACAGTTCAAAACTATATATCAGTCCAACTAGTTCCATTCAGAATTCCGTTAAACACAACAATCTGCTAGAAACCTAATCGATGTGACAGCTAGGGATGACAATGGTTAGGTTTAGGTTGGGTTTTGCCAAACCCAAATTCATAGGTTTATCCTTTACAAAAACCAGGGTAAAATTCAATGGGTTTGGAAAACTCAAACCCACCCCGTTGGGTATCGGCGGGTTCATGGATACCCAGTGGTTTTTGTGGTTAAATATAACAAGTTCCTATCAAAACAAAAGTCAAACATCTATATCTCCATACAAATTATCCATACAAAAAAATAAAAAACAAGTCTAGAAAATTCAAACAAATCACAAATTATCCACTCAAAATGTAAATTAGATTGTGAGAAATTAGAATTATGGTAGAATTTGAAGAGAGTAGGCGACGGAATAAGTATGAGTGAGTATCCAAGGGTCGAGTATCCCTAAACCCAAATCCAACCCAATCCAGTGAAAGTATAACGAGTTTAAACTCGAACTCGATCCAAAACTCCTCAACAAGAGTTTTACCCGTATTAACCGGATTGAATCGGATAGAGTACCCGTGAGTTCGGGTTTTGTTGCCATCCCTGAACTAGACTGATCGCTTCCGGTAACTCGAAACTTTAGAGAAACCATAATGGCAGGCCCGCGTGCGTGCGGTGGCGCCATAAACCTCGGCCCAATGACAATTCTTGGGTAGGCAGGTCTACCAAGGGCCCAATACAGGGCGTCCACGTTAGGAAGTCCAGGTTGCCCTAAACCCGTGCGTGCGACAAAACTTCATGCTATATGTCCCTGAAACTCTGACTCTGCAAGAGAACTGGAGAAGTAATATATTTTCGACCAATAAAATAATAAATAAATACTGTTCTTATTTTTCTCCCCCAACCTCCATTTTTTTTTTCTTGCTCCCCAATTCACTTGATTTCATTTTCGCGTTGCTAAAAGAGGATTTTCCCCAATTTCCCTCGAATTTTTGTTTATATGTTTTTTTCCCTTCTTTTTTGGCTCCAACCCTTCTGATTTTTTTTTACCTCGAAACTCTCTTTTTTTTCTTTTTTTTCCTCTCTTTTTCTTCCTCTACTAGTTCTCGGCCGATCACCTTTCTCGCACTTTCTCTCCCGATTTTCGCTCCTTTCAAACACTCCGCTTCTTCCCCTCATCGGCCAGCCCCCTACTCCCTCAATCCCTCCGATCGCCGGAGATTGTTCTTTTCTCCTCTCTACCGATCTCTACTCCCTCCGCGCCTCTCACTTTTTCCAACTGGTACGTATCACCGATCACTTCACTTACTGCTCGTGCTTTTCCCTTTTCATCCTTAAAAAGGCTCAGGCGTATACGTTCCTTCAATCCAGTCTAGCCTTTTCGTAGATCACGTCACCGGCACGATACCGAACGATTTTCTCATTTCCTTTTTTTTTTTTCATTAGCATTCTTCCTCGAGGTTTTTCGCCATTGATTTCGCGGCACTGCGTTGATTTTCTCTTTCGATTGGTGGAGGTGAGAAAGAACACGAGGGTCCTGATGCGGAGAGATTTTGTCTCGTTTTTTTGAATTGGTTAGGGTTGCAATCTCGACTTAATTGAATTAGGTCGGTTGAAATTATGCAGGGTATGGGGAAGTTCTTTTGGTTAGCGATGGGAATGGTCAATGGGGGGAATGGGAGATTCGAAACTGTAATTTGTTGTAGGTGGTATCTAGCGAATGAAAATACCAGTTATCTGACTAACTTACTAAGTTGGTGTTTTTGGGAGCAATGGGTTGTTTATTTTGCTCGTTAATAACCACAATGTGGAGTGGAGGCGATTCAGATGATTCCTATTATGCATAATTAATGGCACATTTATTATTGTCTTTGGAACTGAGATTGCTAGCCGATTCGTCTGACGATTCTCTCTTGACATTGTTCTTCTTTGTGCAGTGCCGTTTTTGGCGGGTTCATTATATCCTGGATCGATCCTGTGTTCATAAATGCCAGTTGCGAAACTCAAAGGGTCCAACACTACAGATGTGATGAAATCGGAAGATGGGAATGATTCCCTAGACACGTTCATCAGGCAAGCAATGGGGAAGGAGCCTCTGCTTTCCTTCCCTAGGACTAACGATAGCCCCGTACAGTGGATCCAACTGCTTCAAGCTCTGGACCAGCAAGGTACTACTAGATGTTCTTTCATCGGACATTTAATTATGTGGCTACATTGTCTGCATTTGTTGCTGTAATTGCATTTTGTTCTGAGATTATGTGTTGTTGATTGTTGCAGATGGACCAGGGTGGCCTTTACTGACCCCTTTGAAGGTTCAGATGCAAAAATGTGACAAGTGTTCACGAGAGTTTTGTTCCTCCATAAACTATAGGAGGCACATACGTGTTCACCATCGACTGAAAAAGCTTGACAAGGTATCTTTTCCTTCAATATTCAAATTTCTTTGTCGTTGTTCGCTCAACTGTTATAAGTGTAAATGTTCGAAACTTCCCTTTTGGCCCTTTCTATGTCATGTCACTTATGTTGATTGGAAGTATTCTGAAAAAGCTTTTTTCCCTTGGTCAGGATACCACAAAAAACAGGAATCTGTTGGGAGCCTTTTGGGAGAAGGTAAAGTGTCTGTCTGAAGAGGTTGTGATTGCTGTGGCTTTGTCTCTATGCTGATCGATAAGTGTATTTTGCAGCTCTCTGAAGATGAAGCAAAGGAGATTTTGTCATTCAAGGATGTGGCGTTAGAGGTATGTTGTTTGCTATTTCTTGTGAGGATGTCACTGCTTGCAGACTTGTGTTGGTCATTTGTTTGATCTGCCTTTAAAATCAATGCTGTTAGGACTTAGGAGCCATTCACTTTCCCACAGCTCTCCCCATTTTCTCCAATTTCTTGTTGTGTCGTAATAATGATTTGTTTTCAATGCATGTCTCATTTCCCTGTAAATCACCAGGAAGTGTCGGGATCTTCAATTATAAAGTCGTTGATGGCTCTTAACCGGAAACAGGGATTTTCTCCACTTCCACAGTACTGTTTGAGGGCTGGTACTGCTCTTCTGGTGAGACACAATTATTTTATTTTTCAAGATTACTGCTTGATTCAGTTCCTGCTCTATGATTAAGCTAATGTGATCTGTGACTTCTGTGCAGGATATTATCCAGGGGAGATTTAGGTATCCTTTATCTTCAGAGGAATTGTTTAGCATTCTTGATGATGCCAGTGAAAAGACATTTCTATGTGGAGCAGCAATCTCAATGCAGAAGTATATTTTTGACGGGGAAGCTGCGAAAACTGGTCTCGAAACAAAGAACATAGTTGCATGCACCAGCTTCTTGGTGGAACAGAAATTGGTTAGTTTTGCTAATTGTAACTATCAAATGAATTGGTGTATGATTTAGCAGAAGTTTGTGTTCTTATTTCTCATTCTTGTGATGCATCTTGGTTACTCTCCATTCAGATTAAGGCATGGCTTGCAGACAAGGATGCTGAAGCCCTGAGATGCCAGAAATTGCTTTTCGAGGAGGAAGAAGCTGCTCAGAGAAGGTGCCTGCCAACCTAAATTTCGAAATAGACTTTTCATACTATGCTTTGAGTACCATTTGTGTTTAATCCCAACATGTATCGTGAATGCTTATAGGCAAGCGGAACTGGTGGAGCGGAAAAGGCAGAAGAAACTCAGGCAGAAAGAACAGAGAGCTAAGGATCAGAGGCTGGAGGAGAAACCCGACATCGAGGAGCACAGTGATGAGACGTTGGAGGAGCCCTCAGCTGAACTACCCTGCTCAACTGCATGTAGTTCTAACTCGCATGATGTCGACATTCAGCCAGATCCCTTTCCGTCTTCTTCCGAGCCTCTCCAACTCGCATTTCAAGACGAAGAGTTGTTTGATCTGGAGAGTCAGATTCTATACGATGCTGGAGCTGCTTGTGATCCTGGCAGAGATTATTTTGTCGAAAGGCACACGACACTACAGGGAAGCAACCGTAATAGGCACGTAGGTCGGTGGCACATGCCTCCGAAATCCCAGTGGAATCATATTCCTAATGGTTATCACGGAACTTACAGGGAACCGAAACAAATCCCAATGGTTAATGGGAACAGAAAGTGGAGCAGGAAACCTAGAGTAGAATATGCCACCGGGGAGACCTTGAAACCCAGAATCGAAAGGGAAGTAGCTATAACAAGCCAGCAGCCAGACCATCATGCCAAGAAACGCGAAGTTCTGATTGGCTCCATCTCTGTTGCACTTGGGAATTCTAGTCAACAGGATTGTCAAGCAGACCAACAGCAAGCACCAAAGAAGAGCAATAATATTCAGGACAAACACTCGAATCGTCCGACAGTGAAGCAGCAGTGGAGGCCTGTGAGCCGGAATGGCAACAAAGGCCAACCACCAGACGAAAGCGTCTCTCGAGAATCCCCATACGAGAGCCTGCCTCCTCCTGGGAGGTTTCAGTTCTCGAGCCAGGCGGCTAAAGCTTTTCTTGCAGAGAGTAAGCTGGACTAGTTAGTTTACTACATGTCTGTACCTGTTTTTTTTCTTCCACATGTCTGAGAAATAACCATGAGTGTCAAATGCAGGGTGGAAGGAGGCCATGGCAACCGAGCATGTGAAATTGGTTCTGGCACCAGAATCACTCAAAGCCAGCAACGGTGTACAACAAAATGGCTGTTCCGCCGTAACATCTGAGTCATCGGATGTTCGTAGGGGTCCGGAGCTCGGTACTAGAGGATCGGAGGAAGAGATGGTGGTTGAAGCAGGTGGTGGTGTGAAGGCCAAGTTCAGATCAAAACCTGAGAAAGGCGTCAAGCTAAAGTACATACCGAAACAAAGAACGTTGAGCTAATAAACCAAAGAAGAGGGAAGGAAGGAGGAGCAGAATCTTTTTTACATCGTTTTTGGGGGGTTTCTCTTATACAAATGTGCACAGCTTCTGATTTTTCTCATTCTTAGCAGATTGTTCCAGTTTTACTGTCAGGACAAGAAAATTGAAAGAAAAGAAATCGAGAGTGATCTGGAAAAGAAAAGGGTTTTTTGCAGGAAGCCATTTTTCAGTATCGTCCCTTTTTTATTTATTTTACAACAGAGTGTCAGTAGCAACATCAGGAGGTTTGGTTGGTATTATTATTTAGCAGAGGCAGAGCATATAGTAGGCTATCCTCCTTTTTTTGGTTCAATTTTGGGGTTGGGTGGGTCTTTGTTTGCTTCATAGTCTCAATTGTTTTCCCTGTAATAATAAAGTTTTGGTATCTCTTGTAAGCTTTTTTTTCCTGATTGACATGCCACACATAAAATGGCAAAGCTCACCTTTCCATTCTCCTACCTTCCTATTTCTCAAAGTTGCACATAACTAGTTTATGACAAGCTAAACAAATAGATGGTGCACCAAGCATGTTTAAGCAGGAACTTTTGTGTTTGACCAATTCTTCTGTAGTCTATCGGTAATCGATTATATAACCACCTAGTATTCGAATTTAGTAATATTGATTATAATCTCATATTTGCTAATTAGAGTTTGGTCTAATAGTACTACTGCGGTACGACCTACTATTGGTTTTTATCCTTATCCTATTCATCTAAGTTACTACTTTCCACTATATATCAAGGTTAAAAAGGTGCTAGCGCGAGCGTTGAGGCTTTGCCTAGCGCCTAGCTCGCATAGGCGTAGACTAAGCGAGCATAGGCGGTGGAAGAAAAATAGTTATTCGGACATCATGATGAATGAAATAATAATCTACAACACTTCCTTACTTAAGTTAAAATGATTAATAACTTACTCAACACTTAATCATAGAATCATAGCTCACGAAATCATAGAATCATAGCTCAATAGCTCACGAAGTTCTTCAACTATTCAAAATATTGATGTAGAGAATTGATTTCATAATTAACGTAATTGTCTCCTTCTGTATTGACTTCCCTAGCTCCATCTATTAATGTTTAGGAGATACTTATATGTCGCCCAACTCCATTGACGTGATTCAATATCTAATTACGCATGAAACCCCTAGGCGAGGCGGTTTGCCGTTGCCTTGTGCCTAGGCGTGCATAAGCGTAAGATTAAAGGTACCTTTTTGAACCATACTATATAGTATGTTACATTATTTAACTCATTACGTCGAATATCCAAACTAATCGTATTCTTTGTTATACTTCTCCAAATTCTCTATCTTTGTGTTATATTTCTCATATTCTAATCCCTAATTCTATTTCAACACACTCCATTTCCTCTTAATTCACCTTCTTATTCTCGCCTGCCTGAGTACGATTTCTCCAGCACATTCACTCATTCCTACACCGGCGGATAGGAACTCCGACTCGCCGGGAACCGGAACATTAACCCAAATTGACCGGACTTCCTCCTCCACTCACTTCTCCCTCAGAACGCCGATAAGACCCCTGAAACAGGTGTCCTCCCACTTTCCCCTCCACGTGTCCCCTCTCTCCTCAAAACAAAAACAAACAAAAGATAACACTCACTCACTCACTCACTCACCAAGGTCTTCTTCCCCATCCGAATCCCGAAAACCACAGAAAACAGAGCCACAAGCAAACCAGAGAAAGAAGAAAGAAGAAGAAGAAAATGTCAGGAGGGGTCGGGCCGAGCGCAGACATAACCCTACCCAAGGATCAACAAGAGGAAGAGCAAGGCCAAAAGCTCGTCGAGGACCAAAAAAAGACCCCGAATTCCACCGCCGCTGCTCCAAGAAACAGAGCATCCCTCCTCAGCTTCTACCAGCTCAACTCCCTCGCCGCCATCATCATCCTCGCCGCCAGCGGCCTCGTGGGCCTCTCCGACCTCGCCTTCGTCGCCTTCTCCCTCGCATACATCTTCCTCCTCTCCCGATTCGCCTTCCCCCCGCTCCCCCTGCCGCCGCCGCCGCAAAAGCCGGACGACGGCGACAACAAGATCCTCGACACCAAATCCAAAACCCTCCGCCTCTACGTCTTCGTCAGCGCCCTCCTCGGCATCTTCCTCCCCGTCGCCTACATCTGCGAGGGGTTACTCAACGGCGACAACAAGGACGGGATCAATGCCGCCGCGGCGTCCCACGTTTTCTTGCTCGCGAGCCAGCTGTTCATGGAAGGCGTCGCCTTAGGCTCCGGCCGATTCTCGCTCCCCGTCGGGATCTTCGTCCCCGTGTTCTACAACTCCCGCCGCATCTTCACCCTCGCCGACTGGCTCAGCTGCGAGTTCGCGGAGTCCGGCGGCGGCGGCGGTAGGAGGGTGTATTTCGGGAGGGCTCTGGCGGTGGCGAACATGGCGTTCTGGGGGTTCAATCTGTTTGGGCTTCTGTTGCCTGTCGCCGTCCCGATTTGTCTCAAGAAGTACTACGCCGCTTCTGGGAACAAAGTCTCCAAAGACTGACAAAGCTAGAGCAGGAACGAAACGAGAGGAAATGAATGAAAGAAACGTTTCGGTGAGTGCAGCAGAAATGTCTGTTCCTGTTTTGGGCTTTTGATTAGGAGAGACACCATTTGTTATAAGCAGCTTCTTCTTCTGCCCGCTAAAGGGATCTCTCTGCTTTCACGTCGCTGACTCGCTTTATCTCATTCTCATGCCCTGTTCTGAGATCACCCATGTTAGTATTGTTAAAATTTAGTTTCACAATGTTGATTTCAAAGGGATGGATTGGTTGGTGCAGATGTTTGAAGGTGTTATTAGTCTGATACTTGCCTGATTTCTAATCAAATGTTCAATTCTAAAATCAAAATATGATCAATCAGATAGATTGATATCCGAAAAAAGTTGACAATAAGTTCTTTCAGAATTAACTATTTGTCCCCTCTGTTAGAGATGTTTCGGAAACTTCTGTGATCGAATAAATAGCTTTACGAACGAACGGGTTGGAGCTGGAAATTATGTGAGAACCGGAACTGATGTGAGAACTGAGGTGGTATCCACATTATGAGTGTGTTGGAAGTGGAACTGGTGTGAGAATTGGGGTGGTATCCACCTTACCGTTATATTAACATGATTGAAAAGAGAAAAATGTTTCTAACAGAGATCAACTTCTTAATTTTTTTAACATTGTCAGATGACCAAGTTGAATCTAGCTATATCAATGTAGTTATCAAAAGTTGGTTTGTTGTTGTCATAAAGTGCAAAGTTATGACGATATATTTCGATCAAAATATTGCTGACGGAGATTTGGAGCTGGCCAAATTTCAATGGGAATGGTCCTTTACTTCTTTTGCCATGAATTTTAGCAATATAAATCCAATTTTTCACTACCTAGCTACAATGAGGATGACGAACGGTTTGAAACTATGGAGTATGGACACAAATGCAGCCAATTGGGCAAAATGGTAAAATGAAAGTTGACGGAGATATCAATGGATAAGATCTCTGGTCGAGAGATGCCGGCCACAAAATTTAGGTGGAAAACGTAACGCAGGAGATAAATTGAGAGATTGTGATCAACAGATGATCCTTTACCTAACCTCTATTCACCCAATTTTTTTCTGCCCGTCTCCGGCAAATTCACTCCAAGTGAAGAAACCATGTCGGACGACAACAAGGGTAACCCACCCCGCCGGCGAACCTCCGTCCTCCTCAACCCAATCCAACTATTCTGCCTCCTCGTCGCAGTCCTCCTCGCCGGAACCGGCCTGGTGCCGCTCGAACACGTCGGATTCGTCCTCTTCTCCGCAATCTACATGTACTTCCTCTCCCGATTCTCCTTCCCGGCGGGGAACACCCCGACGGAATCCGTCTTCGACCGGAACAACAAGATCCTGGCGAATTACGTCCTCACCGGCGGCGTCGTCGGCCTCTTCCTCCCCGTCGCGTACATCCTCCACGCCCTCCTCCTCCTCCTCCCGGACGGCGGCCACGAAGCGGTGAGGGCGGCGGCGCCGCATCTCTTCCTGCTGTCCAGCCAGGTGTTCATGGAAGGGGTTTCGTTTGCCGGCGGGTTCTCGATCCCGGTCCGGGCTTTCATTCCGGTGTTCTACAACTCGAGGAGGATTTTCAGCATCTGGGGTTGGATTCAATTCGAGTTCGCGAAGGTGGAAGGGTTGGTGATTGTGGGGAGAATGCTGGCCGCGGCGAATTTAGGGTTTTGGGTGTATAATCTGTTTGGGTTCTTGTTGCCTGTTTATCTTCCTAGAGCTTTCAGGAAGTATTACTGCTCCTCCTCTGCTTAGAGAAAAACAGGGGAAGAAAGCAAATTACTCTCTGTAGTGTGAACTGTGATGGAATGAAACACTAATTGTGTTAAAAAAAACTACCGAAAATACAAATCATTTGTTCTCCATTAGACAATTCTTAGCTCCAACTTTGGTTAGACAGCTCTCACTATCTAAGGTGTCAGTTTGTTATTGATGGATTTACCTTCCTTTTTTTAATATTCAATTATGCGAAGTAAATCAAGAATTAAAATATTAAAAAATATGAAATCACCAATTGAAAACTAACAAGTGGTTGATTGGAACTTCCGCGTCCAACCAAGATTGGAGCTAAGAATTTTCCGTTCTACATTGACCAGTGTTGCAAATAGTCACATTATGATATTGCTTTTGAGCTGATGGCCTGAAGATGAGCCGTTGAGTTCGGTTCTCGAACAGGGCCTAATTATTATATCAATAGGTATATTTGCTTCTCAAAGTAGTATTAATTTATCGGTTGCAACTACAAGTGTTGAAACAATATTTTTTTTCAATTTGGGTTACATAAAAAAACAAATTTCGGAATTGAATAGGTAAACAATTCGTCAACAATTATCTAATAGGTTATATTTTAAGAGATATGTTGAGTAGTGTAAACATCGAGAGTATTTTAAAATTTTCAAGAATATGAAACACATCATGTGCTTTTGTTATTACTTGCACTAGTGGGATAGTTTTCATTAGTGAAGTATTTAAATTTAAATTATTTAATTATAATTTTAGAAAGAGAACATGCTTATTTAAAATCCATGGGTCTGTCACTATTTATCTTTAAAAATGTTAAAGGCATTTAAGATTCGACCCCCATGCCACGTACCCCGCACTGAAACGCGAAGGTGTCCACGTAAGCCACTTCTCTTTCTCTCCCTGGACTCATACTCCACTGTTATTTGTAACCAAAATAACAAAATACAAACAATTCATAAGAAAAATCAATTGACTTTGTAAAGAGAAGTCATTTGCATCAATAACCTTAACTCACAAATTAACCCGCCCATCGAGCGAGCTTCACACTAGTATACACATAATAACCATTTGAACACCCTAGATGTCCCTAACCAAGTGCCCCCATAGTGACCCTGGGCTTGACTCTTCAAATGATCTTCCCCGGGCCCATTATGGTTTACTGTAACTTACAAACAGGCTGAGACCGTCTTTTATGGGCTATTTTCAATGGAAAGCCCAAAAGAGAAATGCCCAGAAAGAAGAAAAAAAAAAGGAAAGAGTATTTTCCCGGCGTAATATACGGTCTAGAACTCTCACAATCCATGTCGCGTCAGGATAAGTCCCCGCCACTTTTGAAGGTTGTTAAGTAATAAATTACGGAGTGAGGGACGAGACGACGCTCAACGAAACAACTCTTCAGTCTAAGTGGAGTGAGTGAGCCCCTGCACCCTGCCTATAAAGGTTGGCGACGAGGATTGATGATGATGTTTACGCCAGAGCATGACTGAGCTCCTGTGATCGACGAGCGTGGTCTGAACAACCCAGCGCATTAAAAAGGTCAGGAGACAGTTGACGAAGCATTAGTGGGTAAGGGCAAAAACACTTTAATGGCGTGATTAAGAGAGGGAGGGAGGGGGAAGATGTGGCTGTGCGCAGGAACAGAGGAAGAAGGTCCTACGAAGATGGGGGGGCATGGTCCCAAAATTTGGGGTCTCGATGTTTTTAATAGAATTAGGGTTGGGGATTTGGGGGTTGCCAGTTGGGAAACGACGGAGGGCCTTCACTACTCTTACTGCTGGGAGTTGTACCAGAAGAAAGCAAAGCCAGCCTGCCTGGCTGGCCCCTGACACATAAATATTCAACGCTCTACTTTTTCTTCTTCTTCCCACTATTCTTTTACAGTTTGCTTGACTGATTGAACGGAGGAGACTTCGTCGGGGCGAGGGGGAGGGAGGGAAGCGGGATGTGGCTGTTTAAGAAGAATGGGCCTTCTGGGTTCTCTTCTTCTTCCACTGCCGAGCAAGTCACTTTTGGGATTGATGCCTCTTCCCTCACCGCCATTGTTACAGGTTCTTTTTTGTTGTTCCCCGTTTCTTTTCATTTCCCAGGTGTGTTTGCATATTCGAACTCTAGTAATAGAAGGAAGGAAATACGAATTGGGTAAAGGGGTTTGTCGTGTTCGATGTTTCTCGTGGTAGATTCATCAGGTTGTGAGGGGGAATGGGTAATGGGGCCTCTTGTGGGTTCGGTTTCTGCTGGCATGGTTCTGTTGCTATGTTCATGGTGGAAAGTTATTCCCCTTCTTTTGGAATTGTTGCCTGCCCATTTCTGGAAATCCAGCATCATTTCTGGGCTGACACCTCCCCATCTGAAGTTATGGGTAGAAGTATGTATGAATGTTGCTGGCAAAGAGATCTCCTACTCTGGGTTATACTCTGTCTATAAAAAGTCCACTTTTCAGGTTGCTGGTTGGTTTTTGCCTTTTTGGAATCTAGCATTCAGGGTTTTTTTGGTTCTTTCCTCTTCTGACTATCACTGCTTGCTGGTAGTACGATTTTGATGGAAAACAACAGTGGAAACTCAGCACAGTTGACTTGGAGCCTTTTAATTCTCTCATGTGCTGATAAGGAAATTATGAGTTTGTTTGTGCTGACTATCGATTTCGTTTGTTCTCATGTTGGTTAATATATAGGTGCATCCAGTGGGATTGGTGCTGAAACAGCTCGTGTTCTGGCAGTGAGGGGAGTTAATGTGATCATGGCGGTAAGGAATATGGATTCAGGTAAAAAAATGAAAGAAGAAATTGTTAAACAAGCTCCCTCCGCCAAAGTTGATGCCATGGAATTGGACCTCAGCTCTTTGGCCTCCGTCCGGAAATTTGCCTCAGCTTTCAACTCCTCTGGTCGTCGTCTCAATCTTCTTATGTATGTGAAGCATCACTAGTGTTAAAAAGATGTTACCTCATTTCCCTTTTGTTGTAGATGGATTACTGAACTCTCCATTTTGGTTTACTTGAAAGTAACAATGCAGGCGTCATGGCGACCCCCTTCACACTTTCCAAAGACAACACCGAGCTCCAGTTCGCAACTAATCATTTGGGTATGCTTTTGGTTCATAATCTAGTCTAGTGGTTAGTTTCTGGGGGCTTTCTGTAGTAAAGATGCCTCACACTGCAGGTCATTTTCTCCTCACCAATCTACTGTTGGAGAATATGAAAAAAACTGCTGTCGAAAGTAAGAAGGAAGGAAGGATTGTAGTGGTCGCGTCAGAGGCTCACCGCGTTACATATCCTAATGGCATTCGTTTCGATAAAATTAATGACAAGTCAGGGTAATTATTCTGTCACTCAACTGCATCAGTTTTCCATTGTTCATCTCTCACCAGGTGTTATGCAATTTTATTGTCTAATTGTTTTGTTCAATTTAGTTCCAGTTTGTGCATAAGATGTGTACTGACCATCTTGTAATAATTTTCTCAGTCAGCTTTGGATTCTGGAATGCACTTTAAGTTATATAGTGTATATCCGTCCAACTACTCATGATTTTTGGCCGTTTGGCTGCAATTAGATGGAATTCTATTCTAAATTAAGCTTCATGGGCTGTAGATTCTTAGCTTTTATGCAAATAAGTTTCCAAACAGCCATAGGGACAGTGAAGACTTTGGTCATTTTGCTTAACATTCCGAATCTAGTGCATCATTTTTCATGCACAGTTCAATATATTGACAGAGTGAAAAGAAGTCATTGTTCTATTACCTGTGTACAGATATTTTTCTTACCTTGCATACGGGCAATCAAAGCTTGCTAATATATTGCACGCAAATGAGCTTTCCAGACGTTTAAAGGTACAAGCTTGTTAGTACCATCTTTCCACAAATTGCTGTGAATTGCTCTGCAATCGAATCCCTGTTCAATTGAAATCATATCAAGAATGATCACCAGTTGTCTTAATTAACAGGAAGAAGGTGCAAATGTAACTGCAAATTCTGTTCATCCAGGAGTAATTGCCACCAATCTTTTCCGCCACATGACTCTCATCTCTGGTAATTGCCTTAATACGAGTAATCTCTTACAGATTCCTTTCATTACATGGTCTCTTAAAAATCATAAAGTACCTACAGTTCCTATGCTTTCAGGCATAATCGAAGCAGTTGGTAAGCTTGCATTCAAGAATGTGGAGCAGGTGAGCCATCATTGATCCTCATTGGTTAAGTTTGAACCCCCATTAACCCGAACTGTCTTGGTATTCAAAATGGTTGATTCGTTATCTGCAGGGCGCAGCTACAACCTGCTATGTCGCATTGCACCCACAGGTGAAAGGGATAAGCGGCAAGTATTTCTCAGACTGTAATTTGTCGAAACCAACTTCCTTGGGGCAGGATGCTGCCTTGGGAAAGAAGCTGTGGGACTTCAGCATGGAGTCAGTCAAGTAATCATCCATGAAAAAGCCACAGATTGTTACAGGACCCTTCAAAAAATAAAATTGTATTTCACGACAATTATTTATATCCAATCTCTCCCTTGTTTATCTTTATTTTATAGAAAAGCATGAAAGATAGAAACGACTAGTGAAGTAAATGTCTCGAAGCACCAGAGACTTTCAGCTGACCTCTACAGTTCCAAATGTATATGGTAATGGAAGTTGCTGGCTTACGAGTAAAAAGTCAAGATTTTTAAGTGGACAGGTGTTTGTAGGTGTTCATGAATTTATTGAACATCTCAAGGTCGTGTAAATGTAATGATTTATGTAGTTGGATTCCCGGTATTGGTCTAGCTTATGTAGTGGCCTTGTGCTGTGATACTTGAGACCCAAGAAACACCTTTGTTCTAGTCCACAATGATCTATCTCAACTGCCTGTAGATTGAAAGAAAATAGCAGAAACAATTGCAGAATCGACCACTTTGCATCTTCATTATACTAAAATTGGTGTGTACATACAACAACAAATTCAGTTTCCAACAGAAAACAGAGTTCGGTTGTACCAAAACTATAAGAAGCCGGCAAGAGACAGATATGCACAAGACTCCATTTCCCAAACAAATTCCTCAGCTCCAAATCCCACATTCACTTCACTTTATCCACCTTCTGTACATCAGCCTGAACAAAATCTAACAAAGGCGCCAAATTCGCTTCTCCATGTTCTATTCTCACAGCGATCTTCTAACAGAATATACCTGCCTTGTATTCCAAGGACCAACTGCCTTGCACGGGAACAATGCAGCCACAAGCTGCCCCTAGTAAATCGACCCAAAATAGCCTGCACGAAGTGCACTGTGGTACTTGCTGAGGGAAACTAGTTCCAGTTACTGGTCAAAGTTGAATACATTACCAGAAGTGCCTAGCATCGGCCAGCTTAGCATTGTTCTCTCTCTCGCTCTCCCTCTCTGAAGACTGAACCAACCAACCTTATTCCTCATTTCCATCCTCGCGTGACCTTATTGTTTACATTAGCATCCTTGGATAGAAAAAAGAATCCCAAAAGTTGGATAAAAAGAATAAAACAATACCGTCCTGGAGAGGCTAACTTAGAAGTTAAGTTACTCCCATAGGGTAGTAGGACTGCCAAAAAATGATGAATGTAAGTTAGATACCGTCGGTGGTCCGGCTGGGCAAAGGCGACTTAGGGCTAAGGTCCAGGGGTGTATTCAACTTTGAATGATCCTTCAAGAGCTGGCGAGAAACCCGATCAGCCAACACTGACTGGCCATCATAAGTTTCCCCTAGAACTAGTCGCGGCCCCAGCTCGGACAATATGTTAGGCCCATTCCCAGGCTGCTGCATTCCTCTGAAAATATCGGTATCATGATATGATGAGCCATTTGAGTACATACCATTTGATGATGGCTTTGATATGTTTGCATAAGTGCCGTCTTGGAAGTAAACCGAGTGCTTCATGTGATTGAAAGGAATAGCACCGGTGCCACCTGTAAGTCGTGTAGAAGAGCCTGAGGTTGTTCTGGGACTAGATATTGGCGAAGGGGACATTCTTCCATTGAAATGTTGTGGAGACCTCGAATGCAGAAGAGGACTACCAATGGGCGAGACTGGGCATGATATGTTCCTTGGGATATGGATATCACTACAAAATTCAAAAGCTTAAATCATGTCAAAAGCTTAGTTCTGAGAAGAAATGTGTGCCGGTGCCTTGTTAGTGTTGGTGTGAGGGAGTAAGAGAGAGAGAGAGAGAGACCTGGCATGAAGGCCACTTCTGGAGACTCTAGATGAATGAACAGCAAGTCTCTCTGTATCCAAGGTAGGGAAATTTCTAGCTTGACTAATTCCCTGAAACATCATTAGATCCCACGATTCAAGAAAAAGGACTTGGCAATCTGTTTTTCAGTCAAATCTCACAGACGCGAAGTATTGAAAATTTAAACCAGGACAAGTTTATGAACATTTACCAGAGATTTCACCCCGTTGGTCAAAGCAGGGGGTGGATCTGTAGATTCAGGGCTAGCTAGAGATCTTTCCGAAGGTGTAGCAGATCTGACAAATGGATGGTCCAAAAGTTGTGCAGCAGTAGGACGATGTGATGGGTTCCTTTGCAAGCATTGCCTGACAAAATCCTTTCCGTCATCCGAGAGTGTATCCGGGATTGCAGGGAGATCTTTACTATTTCCAATCTTAAACATTGCAGCGACCTTAACAAACAGCAATGATTCCATTATCAAGAAGATGAAAACAACGGAGTAAATCAGATTCCACTACTTCTGTGTTTCAAGGCACACCAAGTAGAATAAAAGGCTTGCGTCCTATTAGGATTTTCAGAATCATGATCCACAGACTACTTACCCCTTCGAACTGGCTCCATGGTGGTTTACTTGTAGCCATTTCCAGAACAGTACATCCAAGACTCCATATGTCCACGGCAAGGTTGCAGCCACTTGAGTTTTTTATAACCTGTGAGAGAAGAGGGATATGAATAATGAGCACGATCTGTCAAGGGCATAGAACTTCGAAAAACAGAAGAAAAATGCTGACCTCAGGTGCCATCCAATAAGGGCTTCCCTTAAAAGATAAGGGACATGACTGCCCAGTGATCTGCAAAACAAACCAGGTAAGTCTAGAAGGCATGAATCCAATACACAAACAGTATGCCATCCATCCTATATCAATGTTTGTTCTTTTCTTACATGCTTTGCCATCCCAAAATCAGCTAGTTTAACACGGCCATTTGGATCCACAAGAATGTTTGCTCCTTTAATGTCTCTGCAAACCAAATGCCAAGGGGGAGTGAGCAATGTCGAAGCTCAGGGAAACTGACTGTAGCAGGCTAATAGATTGAACTTGTAACTTGGTTCACCTATGTACAGTGCTTTTGGAATGTAAAAATGCCAGGCCAGACAAGATTTGCTGGGTGTAGCTACGAATTGCCAGCTCACCCAACTGACCATAGTCCTGGAGAATTTTATAGATAGACCCACCAGATACATACTCCAGATATATGTATAGTTTGTCATCGACTTGCTCTGACCCATAATATTGCACAATGTTTGGATGTCGTAACCGGCTCAACAAAGCAATTTCCTGTTACAAAGCTCAACAGTAAGAACTTCCCTCTAAGCTATTCCAGATGAGAGGGGTGAAGGCGTAATCTACCAAAGAAAGATCACAGAGTTCAACTTACCTGCATTAATTGTTTGGCACTCTCGCGTGACTTAGCATCATCGGAAAATAAGGTCACTTCCTTCATTGCACACATTTCACCACTTTCACTAAGCAATTCAAAGGCATAGAATCAGATATCAATTTAATGGTTTTGCAACCTCAGCTGGAAATTCTAGCGTTCTTTATGCTGAAAAAATTCAAAAGTTCACATCTTTCATGCAACATATCAAATTATGACTAAGAGCTAGCCCTCAATCTGATTCTTTGAAGTAAAATTATAGATATGATTTTTTAGCATCATACCTGTTAAAGCCAACATAAACATGGCCGAATGTCCCTCTACCTAGTAGTTTCCCTTTCTTCCAGCGTGATCCAGGACTTGTTGGATTTTCCGCCCTTCCTGGACTTCTTGGCACAGATGGAGATGTGGCAGTTGAGTGGGGATGAGAGAAAGGAGACGAATTGGAAATGGTAACAGGAGGAAGTGGTAACCGATGAGTTTGTTGTTTTCCATCCTCAGGCCAGCTTGTCTGCGACTCAATAGTGCCGCTACCTCCTGCTCTGGGATGTATAGGTGTCACAGCACCACTTTGGACTCTGGAACTGGGTCCCGGGCTAGCCATTCGAGGACTCGGTATCGGAGAACATTCAGGGCTACCTCTGGTTTGGTACCAGAATAATTGGCCTGTCATGTCTCCTCCCATTGAATTTTGTCCAGAGTTGTAACCGGATCCAGGGCTCGAACAATGGCCAGATCCAAGCAATGTGACGTCGGTATAAGGCCTCCCAGCCCACAGAGCAGAATTAGCAGCATGATCGGTTCCAAAACCTCTCAACGGACTTCTTGAAGGACTTGACCGTGAACTGTCAGGAGCACTGCAGAAAGCACCATGATGCGGAACCTGCAGATTTGGCACATGACCTCGTAGAGGTCTCCTCTTGGGTGATGTGGGAGTGGTAGAAGTACACAAAGAGAGCTTTGCTGGTTTCTTCACCTCTCTTGGCTTCATAGTTGATGCAGTAGAGGTGTGATCCTTGAGCACCCCACTTCAGGATGAAAAGGGGAAATTTTTGTAACAGATAAGAAAAGGAATAAATTTACTACAAACAATGTTAACACATTTACAATATTCTCGCATGGAAATAACACTTGGCCTCACCTTGAAGGGCTGCTGACGGTTGTTCTAGTCCCAAGGTCACAGTCAGTTGCCCGAGGACTAGGTTGATTAAGATCAACAGGATCATCAATATCAGTTGAACTTGCACTTGAGACTGAAGCAGTGACCAAATCTCCATCTAAATCCGCCTGATTGGGTCTATTCCTGATGCATGCAGGTCTAGGTAGAGGCAAAAACGACTTAGGGCCTTTCTCCAACCTCGGTTTAGTGGTTACACCAAGCTCAGAATCTGCACGCCCCACAGCTGCAGAATGAACTCCAGGACGAGGAAGCGGTTGGGCACTAAGCCTGTCGGCAAAACTTTGACATCTAGACACATGTTTGGAAGGAGGAGACGGTGATCTGGACTCCGGCCGAGATTGTGCTCCCATCTCTGACACGGTGTCATTTAAATGTCTCCTGGAACCTCCTGATCTACTGCTTAATTTACCATCTGATGGACTCTTGAATCTCCGGTGCAATGTATCAATGAAACTTTCCTTGCTCCCTTTCTTCTTCACTTCTTTAGATGACGACTTCCCCCACCACGGACGCATGTTTCCCCACTTCCAGGAACCTAAGCTATCACTCAGATTAATGGTCCTAGTCTAATCACATTCACCACTAGTTTAAGGAAATCCACACCCACCAATGATTACAAAACTCAAGGGAGAAAAGAAAATGATTCAAGTTCACTGCAAATGTTAACCAAGAACCCAACATTCATCAGAACCGATGAACCTCCAAAGAGAGAGGTAGCAGGGCATGTTCAGCATAAGCATCTCATCCTAGAAGCATTTCCATATGGCTTCCACCCAAGGCAGAAACAGAATTGTGCAGCTAGGAAAAAAAATACCTCTTTAATACTCTCAGATACCGAACTGAAGCTCCAAATACACCCAACAGCCAAACTATCAAACAGCCCTCAATCCGGAAAGAGAAAAAGGGAAGTCCTAGATAGCGTTCATAATTCCAGTAGCCACAACACTATAGCGAAGCAAAAACCCCATTGCTAGCATTTGACTACAATAACTTCGCCTCCATCTCAACAAGTGATCAAAACCAGCACATACCCTTAAAATCCAGCCCTCATCCGAAGCAATTGGCTTCACTCAGTCATCCTGTTATTTCCACCCTCCCCTCTGAAGCCAAATAACCCATCACTATCGCAACCAACCTAAACAGGAAAAGCACAACCACCTCATCAGAAACAGATCTAAACCCCAGAAATTGAGAAGCACAACAAGGTGCAAAAGAATCACAGACGATCGCCAAACACCCCCGAAATGAACTGAACCAAGGCACTGTAAGCAGAACCCACCAAAACAGAACCGGGAAAAGCGGAGAAAGGGAATTTAAACTCATTTCCACATGCCTGAAGCTGTGAACCTCAACCCCTCCACTGAGTGATCGATCAGAGCGCGAAACTGGAGGTGGGAAGAGGGAAAGGCAATGCAAATCTTTCGTTGACAGTTGCAGGGTAACTCCAGAAATTAGAGAAGAATGGGGTCGAGAAGAAGCATTTGTGGAAGAAGGAGCTGCCGGGATCGCTGTGAATTGATGGGAGTTTGTGAAAAAGATTGCGGAAGGGAAGGAGGAGAAGAGAAGAGGTGCAGAGGTGGGATTTGATGAGAGAAAGTAGAGAAATAAATACACAAAGTTCATTATTGATTTATATTTTCCTTCATTTTTTTTTTCTTTTTTTGGTTCTGTTTCTTGGGGTTTTTTTCTGTAAACTTTTTGCTCGATTGATCGTTTTCCACTTCCCTTTTATTCTCTTTACAATTGTTTTCCAAATTCGATCCCTAATTTATTAATGCAAAAGCCAAAGCCAAACTACTTGGGTGGCATCAAGTTGAATTGTTGGTTTAGAGTCGATTGATTATGATTTTTAAGATATGGTGATGGAGATAGAAATATATAAGACGGGGTAAAAGTTTACACTCAGAGAATTTGACATGACAATCGGTGCTAAAATTTAACTTGATACTATATCTTTGAAATTTCTTACAGAATTTACATGTAATTTTTCATGATTTTGGGAGTTGAGAGGTCTATAGCCTCTCCTACGATCAAGGTGGCTCCAACTAAGATCCCTCAACAGTTAATGGTAAATAAAGAAATGAGTCTTTACGTGTTTTCCTTATATTAGTGCATAGAAAGGTTGGACCACGAATTCTATAAAAGAAATGTCTTAAAAAAGACCAATTCATGTCGAGAAGTTAGTTTATGCTTGTCTTTGATCTATTAATGCCCTGAATTTTACTTAACAAGATCGAACCTAAGAAATATTTTTGTCGCACGCGACTTGATAATTTTATATACAATTGCACGATAAATGAAAAGAAACGAGGTAGTATAAGTTAATAGATATTTGAGTAATTGTTACAACATATATTGTGTCTCATGTATACAATGTTCACTTTTCAGACGTGATTTTTAATACTAATGAACTAATCCAAACCAAACTTCACAAAATTATTCCAACAACATAGCACTCAAACAAATAGTATAAACGACCCAAAAGTATTGTTTCCTTTTCATGAGATGACAACCTAAAAACGATTTGGGTAATGTCTATTTTTTATCCAAACTTTTTTTAGATTGTTTTATATTATCCAAACCTATTAAAATGCTATTAATTAATCAAATCTTTCGTAATGTATCAAAATATTAGTCATTTTTACGTTATCGTTAATAATTTTGTAACTTTTTTCTTAGTTAAAATATATTAAATTATACAATGTTGACCTTCATAATTCATATGTCTTTTTCAAGTCAGTATCATGTTACCAAGTTAACATTTGGTTAATTCTTAGTATTTTGATAGGTTTGAATAATATAAAAAAATCTGAAAAAAGGTTTGAATAAAAAATAGATATTACCCTTTTGATAAATGAAGTACTATTTTCCTTATTCCAATGTTAAAATATTCGAGAAAATTCATTTTATAACCACTAATATGAACGCATATTGTTTTAATGCTAACGCCATTATTCAATTGAGAAAGACTATGGTGGAAGAAAATATTTCAAAGATTTTCCCACTATTATTTTAAGAGATTTTGCTAATCAAGTTACTCTTGTAGTAGAAACCCCTACCTTTTTCTTATCAATTTGCTCGACCCTTTTTAATAAAATATATCATGTACACGAAAAAAAAGAACACGTTTGGTATTAATGTTCGCCACATATATCCAAATTTTCAATAGTTTTGGGAATGTTTTAGTTGAAATCGTAAACGTCACAAGACACAACTATCTATGGGAGGGTGAGACATAGTCAAAATATGTGGTATAGAAATAAGAAATTGCAGCAATTCATATTAACTTGCATCGACTTTTTCGAGATCGAAATCAGATTTCGGAGGAGTTTATAGCTCTCACCTTGACACTTTCTCATATTTTCTCACCTATATTGTTGTACAAGTTATAATCTTTGTATTCGGGAGGGTTGTAGTTTCTCTTGAGCTATATGTAGGTTTTATACAAAGTTTCTTCACCAACACAACAAACATAATATCGTACGTGATTGAATATTGTTTTTGCCAACCATGTATCAGCATCGAATATGCTACTCCATCTCGTTACTTCCATCCTTTTGATATGATGTTATATGGAGACCCCGAATGGTTTATCTTTGTGATTATTTTACTAATGTGAATTCATAGACAAATATACCAAATATGTTTGACCAACAATATTATCATTTACCCAAAAAAATAATATATAATATACTTTCATTGACTTTTAATAAGGCCATAGAGTCCTTTAACCACAAAAGTGGGGAAAACAATAATAAAAATGTTGGTTTGTTCATGCAAGTTGACATTTACTATTTTGGTTTAATTTTGATGATTTCTATAGCTTTTAACTTTTTATTCTTTAGAGGATGCCTTTCTATCTCATTAATCCTTATTATGAACTGGTACAAAATGGAGGGTTTTCACATTTTCACACATATTCTTTAGCTGGCTAAGCTTGAATGGATGTTCAAGTGGGGATTTAAAAAAAAAAATTAGCAAATAAAATAGATCCTTATTATCGGCAAGTAAATGCAGGCTAAAACCAGAAGGCCCACACCGATAACCCTCACTAAAAAAGTAGAGGGCCAGGCTCATGGCTTGGGCTTCATGTGGGCCGTTAGAAACGTCAAAGTTAAAGTGGGCTTCTCCACGTGTAGGCAAATTGCAATGATGGTAACAAAAGGAACAGCAATTTACATTTTAGGAAAACAAAGTAGAATCATACACTATACATCAAAATACACAAGAGGGGAAGAAAGATCATCGTCGATCATCATCTTATAAGCAGCAAACCAACAGCAGTGATTACAAGGGTAGACGGCACACCGAACTTGAGGTGTTTCAAGAACGACAGATTGTACCCGAAATGCGGAGCTCGCCGAGCTTGTTCACACACTATCAAGTTGGCAGCTGATCCTAGCAGCGACAAGTTCCCCGCCACAGTGCTCACCCAAGCCAGTAGCAGCCACGCCTTCTTCTCATCTGCTGCTGATATCTCGGCGGCCGATGCAGCCACTCTGCCTCCCAGCAACAGAACTGCAAGCAAGCAGCACCATGAAAATCACAGTAACCAGATCATGATGGCGTGGGAAAAGGGTATAAAGGATGTTCATATTATGTATACCTGTGGGGACGTTTGAAGCCAAGTTTGAGAGACCAAGTATGACGAGTGCTAGGACCAGTATGCCAAGTGGGTGATCGATTTTCGCATAGGGTTCCATTAGTTCCCAAAGGGTGCTTGGGATTCCGGTTTTGTTGAAGCCGTCGACTGTTATGAACATCCCGCAGAAGAAGATCAGGAGGGAGTATGAAACCTGGTCAATCAAGTAAGATGTATGTTAGTAGTTCATCAGATGTTTGGAGTTAAGTAACAAAAATGGTGAATAGACTGAAAACCTTAAAGAAATGCTAGTGAAAATGAATGGTCAGGGACATTGATGTTTGTCACATCTAATCAGTGATTAGTTCAGTAGAGTCGACATGCCAAATAAGCTTGAAATAAGCTGGTGATAGGTGAGGCTATTCGGGATACTGTTCAATAGCAAACCTCATAGTATACACTGGCCCTTTAACAGCTAAACCCTATGTTTAGGATGGATGGAGAGACTTCAAGTAAAATGGGATTTAGCAGGTCATAAAGGGTTGTACCTTTTCGAGGCTAGGTCGGGCATCTTTGAAATCGAGTACCACAAGAGCAAGTGCAGCTGTGATTGCAGACCAAGACATGTTCAAACCAAGTAGCAAAGCCACCAACATCCCAATTGTGATGATGTAAACACCTGACTTCCACAGTATCCTCTTCCACTTGCTGTCGAAAGGATCACCATCCCTTTCTTCCAACACCACAACAGGAGAAGAACATCCATTCTCTTCCTTCTTTTGAGAAGTAGTTCCATCATCTGCAGCAGCTCCACTGGCTGCTGCAGGGTCACTCGATGCATTCGAGATCCTCCCAGACTCGAGATGCCTCCCGCTCAACCCACCACTGCGAATATCACTCTCTATAGACGAACTAGGGATCCTATTCCTCAAGGTCTCCACATGACCATTCACACCCAAGGGAGGAGAGCCTTGTAGTTCCAATCTAGAGCTCAAATCCTGAGAGTTCTGTGCGGAGTGATGTGACATCGTAGCTGGGGAAAACCGATGCGAAATGACATCCTCGTCGTCAATAACCTCCTCACTCGCATCCTCCAAATCCTTGGGAGCAGAGGACAGCAACTTCCAATACATACACATCAAGATTATGGCATTGACAACCACTCCCACCACCATGGCAGGAAGAATCCCCAAAACAAACTCTCCAAAAGTAATCTTACTCTGAACAGCTATGACCAGATTCTGAGGATTCCCAATAGGGGTGGCTGCTGAACCAATGTTGGCACTCGAAGCCAGCGCCAGGAGGAAAGGGTGAGGCGGCAAATTGTGCTGCCTGGCTACTTTGAGCACGAACTCGGTCAAAACGACACAAGATGTGTCATTGGTGAAGAATGCACTTGATAGAGCTGAGATTAGGCAAATCCTGAAGAGCAAGTCTTTAGGACCTTGGCTCTTGTAGGACAGCAATTTGCCTAGGTACTTGAACATGTCTGCTCTCTCCAGGTATACGCTGACTACCATGGTGCCGAAGAGGAGGCCGAGGATGGGGAGATCGATGGCGGCATATGCTTGGTCAGGGGTTATGACTCTGAATATGACCATTAGCATTGCTCCTAGAAGCGAGCCTGCTGTCCTTCCTATTGGGAGGAAAGGCACAGCTGGGAAAACTGCAAGTACCCAGAAGATTGCGAAGGCTGTTGAGCCTAGAACCACTTTGACCGTTGGTGCCATCGCCATTGCCAAGAAGGCGAGAGAATCAGCTCAACGAGACAATGAAAAAAAGAACGGCACTTTCTGAATCAAACCTGCATATAAAGCAAAACCCATCTGGAAAATTGATCATACAGTCGTGAAATTGTTGAAAGTAAAGCCAAATTGGAGCAACCCAAAACGGGGATCGAGTCAAGGTTAAGTTCAACCACACAAGAAAAAGTGGGCAACAGAAGAAAAGTCTCTTGCCTTTGGTGTTACTTACTTGAATCTGCATGAAGGAGGGAGGGCAGAGAATCTGGAGATCCAATTAGGGAAAAGTTCGAGTTCGCTTTTTCCACCTTCGAGGCAAAATGATTGATGGACTGAGTTGGAGTTCATATAATAAGCTGAAGATCAATGGTCGGCGGAGCTGACGCCTGACGGAAGCCCAGAAAACACGAGCCTCGTCGTGACACGTCGCCGCAGCTCAGCCAGCAAGCAGTCGCCGTCTTCCCGTCAGCTATAATATTAATCTTCACGGGTATAGCTGTAAGCCTGTACTGTACTATCCACAAGGGAGATTTGTTCTACCGATAGATGCCACTTATGTTTATAAGTTCTGATCCATTTCTTTCTTAATTTTTAGTTAGAAGTCTAGAATTTGAACAGTCACGAAGCAAGGGTTAATGGTGTTGCACTAATTTTAGGGTGAATAGAAATTTTCAAGTCACCATTTGTAGAAGGGGACAAAATGAAGGTCCCTGATGGATACCTGGTGACGAATGGATTGGCGGCGTCAATTTGTGCATGAAAGTATCAAATCCACTAAAAGGGAGGGGAAAGGGTGTAAAAAGTAGAAAAGTTTGCATGTAAACTAATAAACAACTCGATTAAATAGTATACCCTCTAGACTAGAACTCGCAATCGGGTCGGGTTGGGTAATTTTGGGTTGGGGACCCCGGTTACGGGTCGGGTCATGTTTGGTTGGCTGATTTCGGGTCAAATATTGACCCAACCCATTCAGTTTCGGGTTGGGTTACAAGTAATTTCGGGTTATGAGCGCTCTCAGAAACAATATCAAACATGCTTCATATTTTCTTAAAGAACACAAATCTTCACATATGCATGACAATAATTTACCTAACACATGTCAATTAACATATTCTCAAATCCTCCCATGTTAATAAAATGAAATACAAATTGCACAAATCGTCAAAAACAATCACAAGAGTAATACTACAACAAGAAACACATTATATTTGATTATCATTAAACTACAAACATGTCATTCAAATCCTAGTGATTTTCTTTTAACATCTCACCAATTTGTGAGTGATTTTATCATTTTGGGAGTAATAAAACGGGTCTAACGGGTAGGCTCACTAATCCACCCAACCCGACCCAAAAAATCACGAATTATCGAGTCCGAGTCATTCGGATTTCGAGTTATAAAAATTTCTACTTTTCAGACGATTTCGGATCGGGTCAGATTGTAATTTTACAGGTCTACCCAAGAGGCTAGCATCAGTTTCTTATTTTGCACACAATTTAAATTTGATTGTGGGGGAATAAACCTAATTCCTAGCCCTATGCCTACTATTATTATTATTATTATTATTATTATTATTATTATTATTATTATTATTATTACTATTATAAAAGTATAATATCCCTGTTTTTATTGGGTGGAAGGTTTCTAGACAAGCGGTTTCGAAAGATATTCAAGATAGTGTGTTTAAATTTTCAATGTTGTGTACATTTTTTTTTTAAATCTTACTGTTATAATTTGTACAACCGGATCTTGTGTAAAAGTGGATGTTAAGAAAATTGAGCTAATACAGTAATACTTGATATGTAGGTGATTATCCGACTGCATTGCCTCCTAACTAAAATATGAGTCGAATCGAGCTTATGAAGCTAGTGTATGTATATCTTAATGTGATAAAAGATAAAAGTAGTAAGTGTTTGTATCCGTCGATTCCTGCAACCGGCCTACCGCCAACAACACATCAGAAATCCATCTCATTTCATCATCGTCGGGGACCCAATAATATATAAGAAACAAAAATATAATGACTAGTAAACAAGGTTGTCAACCCGCGGGTCGACTCACTTTGATCCTGACCCGGTGAGAAAAACGGGCCGCACTTACCCGCCGGGTTGACCGCTATAAGGTACCGGGTTGAAGGTCAAATTGTGTCATTTTTTTCTTTGTTTTGCGAAATGCGCCTATTTTCCGATTTTTCTTTTCGCCTAACTCAATCTTTGGAATTCTAAGTGTGTGTGAATTTTCACTATATGTTGAATCTAAGTACGAAATGTTATTTTGGTGTAATATTATATGTTATAACTCATATGTTAGATGAGATTTGATATAATTTATAAGGATAAGTACAATATAATGACGTTTTCCATATTTCCGGGTTAAACCGGGCTAAAACGGGTGACCCATTAACCCTTTACCCACTGGCTCAACCGGGTCCGGGTCAACCCGCGGGTTGACAACCTTGCTAATAAGTAATATGGAATAATGGAACTATGAAAGTCTTTCTAGATTAGTGGTAAGCAAAAAGGAGATTGCATTCGTAGTTGCTTACGGAGTGGAAAATTGCAAATGTCATAGCAGGTATTAACAGAGGAAAGCAGCAGCAGAGAAGAGACTGGATTTGCAGATGATGTTCCGAATAATAACCCTACTTTTGTTTTTAATTGTGTCTTATAGTTATGCACATGATACTGATTTATTTATTTAAATAAGTTCCGACTCTGATCGGTTCAGCATTGCCAGAAGACAAAGTTGGTTTGAAGCAGGTTTGGGGATCCATAGGAATCGTCCATCGTCTGTACCAAACACTTAGGGCTGTTAATGAGTCGAACTATTCGTAAGTGGCTCGGTATTAAACTTGATAAAAGCTCGTTCGATTGAAAAAAAGGGGTCGGCTTGTTAATAAACGAGCCGAGCTTGAGCTCTACCTTGTTCGACTCTTGGAGCTCGTGAACTAGCTCGATTAGGTGGCTCATTGAGTACAACTCATGAACTGTCTCGTTTTGAGCTTACGAGATGTCCCAACATTGTGACTAGAGAGCCAACTCGACTACAGCTTATGAGAAAATCAATTTATATTTTATGAGTTAGTTTGTTAATGATGCATATAATTATTAAATTGTATATATCACCTCATATAGTGTTTAATACATTGAGTATATGTAAACAAATACGTCTCATGTGTCTCATATATGACATAACATTGGGTGATCACATGTATCACATATGGGCTAAATTATATGTTTGGTCACTTAAATTACATAAATTTTTCATGTTTGCCACCCAAATGACTTTTCTTTCTTATTCGCCACTAATTTTACGAATCGTTTCACTATTAGTCACCGATCGTCAGACTCCGTTAACTCAATGACATGTGAATTAAAAAAATAAAAAATAAACACCCCAACCCATCCTCTTCGTAAACACCCCCGAAACCACCACCGCCACCATCATTCCACAAGTTCGGCGGATCCCCTCCCTCGCTGTCGCTCCAAGAATGGGCACAAACTCATATTATGCTACCGTCTTTGGATTCCACGGATCCGGTAACGTCTACCAGAGCGCATTGGCCGTCGTTTTCATCCGTGAAGAGATGCCGAATTCCCATTTCCGAAACCCTTACCCCGATCTAATCTCGCGCCTCCCTCATAAAGTTAACAAAACTGTTTGCCACGTCATCAAAAAAACTTATGGATTTAACGGGGTCTAACAGAAACTTACGGCCGATGACTAACAGTGAAAGAATTCGTAAAGTTAGTGGCGAACAAGAAATAAAATTAATTTGGGTGGCAAGCGAGAAAAATTTATGTAATTTGAGTGACCAAACGTGTAATTTAGCCATCACATATGACATATAAATATTAGGGTATTTATATTATAAATTATTTTAGAGTTGAGCTCGAGCCGAATTTTCGATCTTAATGATATGTCAAGATTTAATAAATGAGCTGGCTCGTGTTCGACTCGACTCGACTCGGCTTGTTTATAAACGAGTCGAACATGAACAAGACAAAACTCAATTCGGCTTGTCTCGTTAACAGTCCTACCCACACTGCATCGTGATCGGGCCTCGACTTTCCCCCACCCCTTGCTGGCTTAAAGTGATACCAGCCCACGGTTCCGAGGCCCATGAAGATGGATTTCACGCCTGTCGGTTCTTCAGGAAAAAGGATTCAAATACAGGAAGGATGACTCTTAAACTGAGAGAGCACAGCTTCCATGCGACGCGGTAGACCAGGGAAGCCGAAAAACCATTCATTTTGATTATTACACATAATAAATGGATACTTATCCAGAATGATCAATAATATACTCTGGTCTCTGTACCGAAGTTCTAAATCTGTATACATAGTTCTAAAAATGAGATTGGGGAGAGAGAGAGACAGAAGAAAAAATGAAATGAATTTGCTCTATTACCTCCCACGCTTTTAATTAATAATCGTACCCTACAAAACAGGTTCCTTGAAGGCATTTGCAAGTATTTTGATCTGTGCAAAGCATGTATATCTGAATTGACACGGTTTGCCTTTCAGACTTGCATCTGACAGGTTGTAGTCAAAAGTACAGCTGAAATATAGCTCTTCATTCATGTATAGGGGCAGCAGAATTGGGAACTGTTAACTGACCTCTGGCTGTAGGATCGGGAAGAATGTCCAGCCATCGGCGGCAGGTTTGGAGTCCTTCCCAGCGATTGTCTCGTTGGCCCACCACTCCGAGCTGACAGCGGGCTTGTTATCGAGGGCTTCATCACCCTTCGAGCTATCAAAGTTGAACTCTTTGATCGGTCCGAGAGTGACCGAACGCTGCCTTCTGTAGCTGGGCTCCTCTTCTGCTCCCGCCGACGATTTGCCAGGTGTCTCGTTGAAGGTTTCCCCAACTCTCAAAGAGACTTCACCACTGTCGAAGTGGCTTTCCTCGGAATGGTCTAGGAAAGTTCTGTTTGATGCCATCGACTTGCTTTGCAGGCAGCGTGCAACGTCTTCGCCACTCAGCTCAAATGAGACTCGGTGATCGACTATGGTCTCGTTGGTTCTAGCACCATTTCCCAAGAGGGGAAGATGTGCGACTTCTGTAACCATGTTCTCAGGAACCACAGAAATTGGTGGAAGAGGTCCTGAGCCCAGTGTTGAATACAGACCACCACCGTCTGGAGTAGCAGTTCCCGAATCAAGTCTCGAACCACCTACTACCCACATCCCATCCGGAGTCGCTGTTCCAGACCCTAGCCTCGAACCCAACCCAACGCCATCCGGAGTAGCAGTTCCTGAACCAAGAGTTGGACCCACTACCCACATCCCATCTGGAGTGTTGGTTCCTGACCCTAGCCTGGAACCCAAACCCACGCCATCTGGAGTCACAGTTCCTGATCCCAGCCTTGAACCCAAACCCACCCCATCTGGAGTTGCAGTTCCTGAAGCAAACCTCGAACCACGACCCACCCCATCAGGGGTCACAGTTCCGGAACCCAATCTTGAACCCCATTTGCGAGTATTGAAATGCTCGAACCCAATGAGCTTAGTAGCATCCCCAGTACGGAACTCATGAACCGGGTGCCTATCAGGGAAAGGAGAACAAGTCCCCGAGTTCGAGATCACTGACCCTGGCGAGATGAGTTGACCACTGGGGCTTCCGGAGTATACTTGAGGGAATTCATAGTTGTAGAATCCAAACTTTGAAGTGGTTCCCCCGCTGTTTCTTCGAGCGCGTTCAAGAGAAGATGTCAGAAGCTGGGCAAATGGCACCTCGGGTGAAGAAGGCGTGGTGAATTGAACTGATTCAGGTGGTGGGGTGAAAGGAGCAGTGGATGGTTCAGTGGTGAAGGCAGAGAACACAGGTGGAGTGACGAGCTGAGTCTCATGTGCATAAGGGCCTATAGCAAACATGGACGGAGGTCCACGAGGGGAATAGGCATCGGCAGGAAGGGATTTCAAAGACAATAGCCCTCCTGGTGACTGAGTGACGGAAGGAGGCTCGGATTGAAGGAATGAAGCAGGGGAGGAAGGAGGAGCTATAAAGGGATGGACAACTGTGGTTGAGTGAGTTTGAATTTGAGTCTCGGTGGAAGAAGGTTGTGCTACTCTTGATGCTTCTGGCTCGGGTACAAGGACCGCATGACCGATGCGCTTGTTAACTTTCTGGGAACCAAAGCACCAATACATACTCCAACAGCCTTTCCATCTTCTTTTCTGTACCAAAGATGGCATATGGATAGAACAAAAAGGCAATGTTAGTACTTATCCATTCTCATTTCAATCCCCATATCCACTCTTGAAATAGAAAGCAGACGTATCTGCTATTCCTATGTCTCGAACACAAACAAGAAAGCAACGAAAAAGGAAAGGGAATTAGGTCCAATTTCAATCGGTTAGAGCAGTTATAACGACATGGGCAACATGCTGTCATCCAAAGGATTTTGATTACGATAGCTTTCTAACTCCATTAAAAACAACTTCTGTAAGAATAAAAACCGTAAATCATCTGTATTAGCTTCTGAATTTCACTAGCTAATGAAAGCCAACATCACTGGTCTCTTCATTTCAACCTATTTCGGGGCAATACCATGCGAGTTAAGGCTAAACCAAAGCGAATCCGCAACTTGAGGCCAAAATTTCAGAAGGAAGATAATCGTTCGATGAGCAAGCTCTAAATCTAAACTATCAAATCGAAATCGTTAAGCTCGGGAAGCTTAATAAATCCAATACAGATCCGGAATTTTCACTCTCAGCTATCAAACAGAAAAACGATCCGGTCAAAGAAGAAAGAAGCAGCCAAACAGCAGTGAAGAACTGCATCCCAAACAGTATTAAGAGCTACTCCCGGTGAAGTGAAGAAAAAAAGGAAAATCACTAATTCAGCAAAGCAGGTAGTTGCTCCCTCTATCTCCTTTCCAGCTTTAGCTTTTGACTTTCCCAAACAGAGAGACTAATCGGAATTACCAAGACAGAAAAAAGGTAAAAGCAAAGACCAAATTTCCTCGTCAAATTTTTTTCCCGATAATCATTGCAAGAAATCACTACAGTGGCCGTGAAGGAGAAAAAAAGTGAGAGGCAAGCTTAATCAAATATTACCGGAACGGATGGCGGCTGGACGCGGGACTCCGCGGAGACGATGGCGGTGGCGGCGGCGTTGACGGTGTCGATGGTGGTGGTGGTGGTCGTAGCGCCTCTCATCTCGGGATTCAGAAAGACGGGCTGCGAAGATGGCGTATCATGCTCTCCCGCGATTCGATCTGGGGAAATGGAAAGCCGCAGACCGACGAAACCGAATCCGAATCCGAATCCGCACCAGATGGAAACCAGAGCGAAGATTGAAGAGCAAGAAGAAGAAGAAGGAACTGTGAGCTATAGCATAAACACGGAGAGATCAAATCGGAAATGCTCTCTCTCAGCCTGTGTAATGAAGTTCGTTTGTTGCTGTTGGTTGAGTTTACGTTACAGCTCGCTTCTTTCTTCCGTTCTTTCTTTTCTCTCTCTGGCCGTCGCCTCTCCGGTCCTTATCTTGCAGCGGCCGTCCATTTCGTGAGATTAATAATTGCCACGTCACGCGATATGAGGAAGGAGATGACATGGACCCCACCACCACCACATTTCTTCGCGTATGCGGTATGCGCGCTTTTGTGACAGCATTTTCCAATAAAGTAAAATAAATAAATTATTATTAATCCCGTCCGTCATAGTCCGGATTAAGAGTTCGTTTGCTTGTTGAATTTGGGTCATGGATTTGGTATTCAAATCCCAAGTTTGATGGATTTAACATAAGTCCATTGTTTGTTGAAGGATGCTAAATCCGTGGGGTCCACGAATTTAGTTTTTATTTTGGGAGCAAATTTGATAAATTTGATATAATTATCTCGTTTTGAGTTGAGTAATTGAGGGGGTGAGAAACTCGTGTGGTTTGATCGTGAGATTGCTGCAGTTGTTGCGGGTAGCGAGTTGCTTTCGGTACGCTGAACCTAACCGGGGGGCAAAAAAAAAAAAGGAAAGGGCAGACAGAAGGTGATGGGATTGGGGAGGGAGGGGAGCGCGTGGGACTCGTGACCCTGCTCATTCCTTCCTTGCTCTGCTGCTCACCACCATTGATTAGTTTTTGAGACAAATAGAAAAGGATGGGAAGATCTGTGGTGATGTAAATATCTAAGCGGGGAAATCACGACCGTTCAAGTGGTTGACTTTCCGACGGAATGGAGGTGAATAGTAGTTTAGTTTGGCTCTGTTGTAGCTTTTGCAGCAATAATTTCTGGCTGGAACTTTTAGATATGTACTTTTAAAAAAAAAGCAGTTGAGCGTTTGGCTGTAAAACTATTAGAAGTGTTTTTTAATATAAGAGGTTGTGTAAAATGACTATAAAGGACTTATAATATAGAATATGAATAAAAATTTTAAACAATAAAAAGTAGTCAAAATGGATCTTGTTAGATTTCTTTTATATTAAATAATATGATTTTATAATTTGTTTAATTTTTAAAATGATATAAATGAAGGAAATTATATTTTCTGAAATAAAATTAAAATATGGTAAGGATAATCTTGTATTTTCAAAACACCTTTTCGCAGAAACTCCAAATCGGAGCTTCTGCTTTTATTTTATAAAAACGCTTTTCGGCTTTTCAAAAACCGAGCTTTTACAGGTGTTTGGCTCTGCCTCAACTTTTGAACCCAAAAAACACTTCTAAAAGTCGGACCAAACATAAGGAGCGGTAGAATGGGAAGCGCTAGATCGGGCGGCGGAGGTGTCAGCTTTAGCCAAATGGAAATATGCGGGCGCAAAATTAATTAATTACTAGCTAATTTCCAAATACTGCTGCCTATTGTTTTTGCCATTTTTTTTATTTATAACTTTTGTTTTATTTTTTTTGTTTTATAATTTTGTAACTCTTGTTTTTTTTTATTATCTAGAAAATCCTACGCACACACCACATTTTGTGATGTGGGAATCAGATCGAACTTGGGGGTCACTTGTTGCAATTTTATGTGCCAATGGGGCTCGCCCCGAGTAGCCAAATGTCTCGGGAACACTATATGGGGCTTCGAGTCGCATCAAATTCAAGGTCTCATACATCCCAGGACGACCTACCCCACGGCAGCATTGCTAGCCTGTCTTACCATTGGCAACTCTTGTGTTTGGGCAGTGATGATTTTGATATTCTGAAGAGATGATCTCAAAATTCATGTTAATTATGAAAATGTTATGGATAATTCTATTAGAGAATAGAGAGAAGTCATATGGCATGCAAGGATGTATTTGTTGTCTCTGGGACCGGTTGCAGGAAAAGTTAGGATGATGACACAAAGTATTGTTAGTGGGGCTGAAAGTTTGGTGCCGTTATTTGGAATATATCGAATATCGTATTGAATTTATCATTATTTGGTATTATCGAATATCAGCTTATTTTTTAGGGATTGAGATTGAGATTCATTTTGCAGTGCTCTTGGGTATTCGGGATTATGGGATTAAGATCGGTATATACCGGAATACCGAGAGTTACCGAAAATTAAAATTAAAATGAAATACAATACACAACTTTTGGTCATTCCTTACTCTTTCACAACTTAGAAGCCCCCATCCAACTCGATTTTCACTTTCCAGATTAAGTCACTCTCGTCCCTCACATAATCTCTTGTTATTTTCATAACACCAAAAAGCAAACACTAGTATTAGTCGTCTCTCAGCTTCCAATTCGTCAAATTAAAGGTTACCAATGACAAGAATTTGAGATGTCACCTCTCCTCCATTCTCTTTATCCATATCCTAACTCTAGGGAAACTCAAGACTCTTTGCTTAGTCTCTTTGTCTTAAATTAAACAATGAAATCTCGTTAATATAATTAATTATTAATCGCAAAGGTGATTAATTTCGTATTCGATAGTACCGATTGAGATACCAAAATATTTAGAGATTGAGATTGGGATACCGAAACTAGTTAGGGATGAGATTGTGATTGATTTAAAGATGTAATTCGGTATTCAAGATTTCAATATTTGGTATTAGAATACTGATACCATACCAATTTTCACCTTATTATACTTACTTTAGTAGAAAGGACCAGACAGGTAGAGTAACAATTTTTTATTAGTTGGCCAATTTTTCTCTCCGTTAACGTTTCTTCTTATACGTTAGCATAATTGTAAAACTTTGGGTTGTTTATGTAAATATAGATATTTGCTGATGTAAATATTATCAAATGTATTGTTTATTAATTTTTTTATAATGTTATTATTTTATTTTCTCTTATATGTAATATGTTTTTTTTGTTTGTTGTGTTTCTATCTTATTAAAGTCAATCGTGAAAATAAAATCTTTTTTTTTGTTGAATAAATTTATTTTGCAACCATCATATCACATATTATTTGGGTGTTATTCGTATATAGTACTTCTTTATATTCTTTAATGATAATTTACCTTAACTTTCTTTACAAATTATAACGGGTCAAGTTACAAAATAGTGGATTTATAGACAAATGGAGAATGGTCAATATTAGGTGTCTGGAAAAAAAAGATGGCTAAAATTAATAAGTTGCGATAAAAAATGCGGCATTTGAGTTTTTCCATGCAACCTAATGACTAGTTTTTTTCGTCAGCAAACGAGTTAAATGACTCAATTGAGTCATTTGATACCAAACGACTCGTATAAGTGTTATGATGCCCTCGCGCCAGTCAGTTGTGTGTCATATGCACGAAAGTTGAGCCTTTCGATTCAATAGCGAGAAAGGTGAGAGACAATAGAAGGGAGAGAAAAGCAAGCATGTCGGGTACGGGTGGTCAGCAAGAAAGACATACCCTATCCTTCTTTTCTAATCATTCTTGGACATGTTTATAACACGAGATCAACTATTCTCTCTAAACTGTATCTCTTTTACATTATATTATGCTTAATACTCAGATCATTCGCATCTCTCAATGAACAATTTCCAACTATAATATGTTCAGAAATAGTTGGAGACTGCACTCTTCTCTTCAATCATGTCATGATTGATGGTTTGCACGTATTTGGGGAGGAGATTCGGCTTCCTTGCCCGGAAGCAGCAGCTTGGATGCTTGCAGAAATTCAGCCTCGGACTGTGAAGCAAAAATGGCTTACAGCACATCTTTTTTGTTGTTGTTATTTATGCTTTTCTGGTTAGTAATGTTTTTTTTTCTTGTAATTAGCAAAAAAACCAAAATCGCAATTGTGGCGTTAATTCCCCTCCTTTTATGGCATCTTTTCGAGCGTCGTGTAAAAGTGTGCGCACGTGTGGAAGCCAGGCAGGCAGTATCAACCAAATTAATTAAATAAATAAATATAAAAAAAGACTTCCTCTCCTCTTACTTTCCCTTTCGTTTTCTGTATGAAATATGAATGAATAAAAAACCTTTTTTTTTCTTCTTTCTTCTTTTCTATTCCTTTTACAGAAAAGAGAAACTTTGCAGTTTGCACGAGTGGATTCCCTTTCTCCTTCTCCTTCTTCTTCGTCACCATGTTATCCATTTGCTCTGTTTTGTGGTGAAACGAATTGAACCACTTGAAAAAGGGAGCCTTTTCGTTGATTGAAACACTACTACTCAGTACTCACTCCAACTTTAACCTCCTCTAAACCTTTTTCTTTCTCTCTTAAAACCCTTTTACTATGATTGAGCTTTAATAATCCATACCCTTTCCCCCCCTCATGCGATGAGCTATTCAATCCGTCGAAAACTAAGCACAATTTTACTCTCAAAGAGAATTATTTGTGTTCCAATCATCCTTGCACGACCATTGTTCAATGAAAAACATCGGTTGGTCAATTTGAAATTTCAAAGCAAAACTAAATCATTTAAATTTTCTACTGACTGACACGACAATTTGATCCCATTGCACCAAAATAGGATAAATCAGATAAATCGATCCACTACAATTCATCATCGCCAACAACACAGTTTAAAAGAATGAATAGAAAAATCAAACAAATCTACCTATCAAGTGGGAGTTTGTGGATTATTCTGAAATTAGATCTACAACTTTCAACAATAATGCCTACTTCGTTTACAAGCATTAAATCACCTTATTGTGTATGGTCCGGCCCAATGCTCATCACTCATTGTTTACGGCCCGGCCCAAAGGACTGCCCGAGTACAACTTTTCACTGGGCCTAAAGCCCGATACGAAAAATGGGAGACGAACATAGCTGATCCGATTCTGGAGCAGAGAGTGGCTTCATTTCATTTCATCTTTCTCCAATCTCCAGTCCCGGTCTCCGTTCTTCTCATTACCAAGCAGCAGTTGATGAATCCCACCGTTTCGAATATCCCATTGTTCCCATCTCCCACTCCTTACTCGACATCATAATCCCACCGGAATAGTTCGTTGTAATGGCGATGGCGACTCTGATTTCAACTCCAACCACTTCATTTTCTACTTCCACAAGAGCAAGATCTCTTCTCCACCCTTGTTCTCCGATTTCCTGCTGCAAAGCTCCCAACTTTGGCCTTTCTACCAAGGTACCCCAACTGGGTTCGTGGAATTTGTCTCAATGGAGTGGATTGAAGCAGCTCGGCATCTCAATTACTCCAAAGTCTCTGCATAAAGGTAGCAAGTAGTAGAGTGTTTCTTAAGTTGGGTGTGCTTTTACTTTCCATTTTAGCTTCGTAGTGATTGGGAAATGATGCTTTTGAAATGTGGGGTTTTCAGAAAGGAAAGGGAGGTGTAATGGCAGGGTAGTTCGTGCTTCTTTGTTCGGAGTTGGAGCTCCGGAAGCTTTGGTCATTGGAGTGGTGGCTTTACTGGTGTTTGGTCCCAAAGGTCTTGCCGAGGTTAGTTACTGTTGAATTCCTCTTTTGTTATTCTCTAGCTGCAAGTTTGAACTGGAAAACGAATGAGTTAATGAAGCTTCTTTGTAAGTCTAGGGAATCATCAAACGTAATTGTCGCCTTAGTTCAAAGTAGGAGGAAAGAATGTGGGATATAGCAGCTATAGTTTACATTATGGAAATAGAGAAGAAAGGAAAATGGTTCTGGTATCCTTACTTTCGAGCTTCTTATTACGCAGGTTGCCCGCAACTTGGGCAAGACTTTGCGGGAATTTCAACCTACCATTAGAGAACTCCAGGTAGATAGTGATTAACCTCTGTGGTTTTACCAGTATAGTGTTTTCTTCACTGCTGTTGTGTTAGATATACTATAGTGGAATCACTTACATCTACTAATGTAGGATGTTTCTAGAGAGTTCAAAAGCACCCTTGAGAAGGAGATTGGTCTTGACGAGATAAAAAATGTTACACAAACCACGAATTTCTCAAACAAAACACCTAGTGCTCCTCCTCCTGCTGCTTCACCACCCTCTTCATCAGTTACCAGCGCTGCAGATTCTACAGCTCAAGCCGAACCCAGTAAGTTCGCCCTCGTAACTCTTCATCATCCATTTTTCGCATTTCTGTTATCATTACAAGAGCATAAGCTTGCACCTGTTTTCTACTTTGCCATTGTCAAACCAATGGGTTCGAAATTTAGCACTACCTTGATTGAGTGAGTCGACTGGTCAGAATCTGCCAGTACTTTCTGGAGACTTTCTGCCGAATACTTCCTTGGTTGGATAGAAAAGCAAATGGTATCATTGATATAATGATATTGACATCTTAAGCAAGAGAGAGAGAGAGAGAGAGAGAGAGAGAGAGAGAGAGAGAGAGAGAGAGAGAGCGATGTAAAATCATGGTTCTCGTCTTTGCTAGTAGTTCTGATCTATATAATCTCAGCAGTGGTTGTACATCCCTGAAAATTACAGATGGTTCTCCAGCCCCAAGCAATGCATATACCAGCGATGACTTGTTAAAAGTCACAGAAGAACAGCTCAAGGCATCTGCTAGCCAGCAGCAATCGGAAACACCTGCCCTTGATAGCCAGCCAGAAGCTAAAGTCGCAGAAGAGCAGCCAGAAGCATCTGTTGCTCAACAACAAAAACAACAAAAGTCGACGCCTTCCACGCCAGAGAGCCAAGTAGAAGAAGCTCAAGCTCAACCCACAGGTCAGTAGTAGTGCATGACAAAATCACTCTATGGCTCTTTTCCCATTTGCTCACAATCTTGTTCTATTACCTGACAGTCAAAGAAACTGCAGCTGCCTTGTCGCCCGGCTCAGCAAAGCCTGAAAGCGAGACATAAGAATCCTCTTGGAATTGATGACAATGCTCGTAGCCAGGTCACCACGAAGTCCTAGAGGAAATGATGCCCTGCTTGGTATCTGGTCTTGTAGTTAGGATAGAGAAGAGATATATGCAGCCAGTGAAAAATCTTCCTTAAGTCTGCTGAAGATGTAAATTACAATTTTGTTGTAGGAAAAGTGGACTTGTTGCAAGGTGTAGTACCTTGTTCTTGAGGGCCAGTGTTATTTTTGTCTCTTTTCTATCCATTTCAACATACCAAATCATCCCAAATTGATCCAAGACTGCATACAGGCATCTCGAATCAACTCAATAAGGATCGGCATCTGTTTGTAAACATATTTGATCTGATTCGATACAATCCGAACTTTCGGAATCTGACCAAATTGAACTACCTTTTGGTCCAATCTGAATCGATCTGGACGTCAATTATTGATCAGAACGAACTTGAAGTACCTTCGGTGCAAATTTGTTACGATCTAGGCGTCAATTTGGCTTCTACCGTGCCATGCTGATACACATTCTGCTTGCTCTCTTTCATTTATATTTCTAACTTGGAGAAAGAATTGCACAGAAAAGTTACAATTACAACAAAAGCCTGGCGTTTTTGTTACAACAAATTCATCGGTCTGTGAGTGTCAAAATCTAGGTACTCTCCATTAGGAGGGCCACTAAATCCATACATTTCAAAAATCTTCTCATCCGGAGGCGCCATATTCATACCTTCTCCCCCTCGAAACCCTCCTTCCAAGGGAGGTGGTCCTGCCCATGGAGCTGGTGTCGAAGGGTTCGAACTAGGCGCCTCTTGGTTCATCGCAAATCCCACTGGATTCTGCAGCGAGTTGGCAACAGGTGGTCGCCTGCTGGACGAATTAGCAGCTGTTAGAGAAATCGAGGCTGATTGCTGCTGCTGGTTCTTCATTGGCGACTTTGGCCGAAGCGACTCTATATCTGGCGTGGTTACTACCAAATGCGGTGCCTCTGGGGGAGGGTTCCGGCCACCACCTCCTTGCCAGACTTTTCCGTCCTTGTCGGCAAAGTTCTTCACATACGTCTGAGAAAGGGTAAAACAGATTTCTTGTTTAAGGGTGAACGATAATAGAAGATTGGAACATCAAGTGTTATGATGAATGGTGTTTGTACCTCAGCACTGAAATTTGATGATGATAGTTCTTTACCAACTGTCAACCAGCCAGCTCTGATGTTATGATCCTCACCGAAGAGTTCCAGCCTTCTTCGGCCGAGGGAGAAGTGCTCTATGATTCGATACATATCTTCAGGCTTCTGAGTTGAACCTACAACTTGAGTGGAAAAATACTCGTTAAGGCGTCATGTCGTTAAAAATCCTCACTAAAACTACTTGTTAAGGCAACATGAGTCCATAACTCTTATGAGTTTTAAGATTCTAGACGGCAAGCCTTGTTCGATTACATGAGTCCACAACTCTTACTAGTAAAATCTAACTACTTTTCACGATCTAAAATTAGGTGAGAATCATAACTTGAATTTAATCAAAATCATCCAATTTCATGATACAACTTTAATATTACAGTGCTTTTCAATTCTCCTCTTCAGCAGCTATGCAAAAGAAGGGCACTCAATCACAAAAGAAAGCAGTTTCCACTTTTCTATGCAGATTCTCCAAATTTTGGAGGGCATGAAGTTGCAGGGGCAACTAACCGTATTGGGGTTCTTCAGCAATGATTACATCGGTATCAATGTTGGCGTGTATTATATGGCCATCAGTACTTCGGCGAACTGTTCCTTTAATCCCCATCAAGCAATGTTCCTGGATTTATCAGTGCGAAAGGACTCAAGTTTTAGCAAAGGTAAAGGGACAGTTATCTACAAAAAGGCAAAGCATGACATTGTTACTAACCTTTGAGTGCTGAAATAGGGTATGAGAATCATGTCGCAATCCTGGTGCTGCATTACTTTTGTTGGTTTTCACCCAACAAATATCCTCACATCTTCGGAACCCCCACTAAAGCACAATGGTGAGAAACCCGCTATCAGCTATAGAGATGTAACAGTTCAACATATTCTATTGATTCAAATCTCTGAGCTAGTACCTTTTTCAAACATTGACGACCTTGTTCAAGACCCACACCATCCCCCACCCAAAGGAAGAGGAAAGACGGTGTATCTGCAATCGCCTATACAATGGAAGACAAATATTTGAGATGAGATAGCAGCATTTATCAACTATAATCACCATGAGATACTAAGACGATAGAGACATGTGATGCCAATACCTCTATCTTAAGATTCAAAATTTCTTCAAATGTCCAATACTCCATATGATCAGCAACACCAGGAGCACGATGAACATACTCCTCCCATGGCGGGTCTACCAAAATAACATCAAACTTGGTCCCAAACAACTCAGGGGAGAGCTCAATTTCACGAAGATCGCCTTGTAAATACATGGGAGCAGATGCAGCTTTAGCCACAATCTCATCCTTCTTCTGTATAAGCTCTCTGAGTTTTGGATAATCCTCCACAACATTAGTTAGCTCCAGCTCCCTAATAAAATTCTGAGGTCGCATACCAGTATCAACAAAATTCTGGGAGTAGTCATTTTGCTCACCCCTCGAAGGAGCCTTACCAAGAGGCCCACCACCTCTAGAAGGTGCCCAGCCCCCAGGGGTTTTATCTGGTGGAGCCCCCCGTTCTGCTGGCCCTGAAGCATTAAAGGCAGGACCAGGCATATTACCAGGCACAACTCCTCTTCCAGCTCCTGCCTGATTGAAAAACATAGCAGGGTTTGATGCTGGAGTCCCTAAATTAGGGTGGAATCTAGGGCCTGAAGGTCCAGGAGGGATAGGAGTTAAAGAAGGTGGAGCAACAAGCAAATTCATGTCAACTCCACGAGAACCTGGCCAAACAAGAGGTGGTGAAAATGATGGGATAAAAACTCCAGGGGGGATCGGAGCACCTGGAGCTGGTGACATACCAGGCCCAAGCGGCTGTAATGCACCAGGAGGAGGAGGCCCAAGTCCAAAAGGAGATGCCATTATGGGCAATGGAAGTCCAACCTGTTGATTGTCTCTCCCACCGGGTCTCCCTCTTCCTCCTCTGCCCAGCCTATTTCCTTTTACACCCTGTGGAAGAGCTCTGCCAAAGGAACCATGATCCTGGTTTCCATATGGAGGTTGTGAACCACCACGACCAGAGAAAGTGGCCTTCTGGCCTCTTCCTTTTCCTCCTTGGCCTTCATTGTCGTCTCTCCATGAAGTAGCATCCTGCATTGATGTAGGATCATCCCCATATCTCTCTCTAGAATCCTCAGCTGCAGATCCAGACCCATATGAATCATGCCTTCTACCCTCAAAATTGGTTGCTGGTTTTGTGTCATGACTAGTCTCACTCCTCCTAGCAAAGTTGGAAGCAGAATCTGGCCGTCCATAATCGAGAGGCTTGGTTTGGATCTCTATAACATCATAATTCTCGTTTGAGATGCCAAAATTCGATGAGGTTTTTACAGCTTCACCTCTGTTTCGACCATGGGGCCTCTCATTGTCAATCCTTTCCCGACCATGTCTTGGCTGCTCCCAGTCTCTCCCACGATCATACATAACATCTCCATCTTTTGAATCTCTGTCATTACTAATTGGTTGCCTTCTTTTCCAGTTATCTTTAGAAGATTCCCGATCTCTATTCCGGTCACTCCAGTTGTCATCCCTGGTTTTTGTTCTATCATCCCTGTGATTATCTTTCTCATTGTCTCGTCGTCTGGCATCAGCATTTCTTTCATTCCTCTCAGGCGTCCTAGACCTGTTAGAACGGGGTACTTCTCTTGAACCCTTCTCTCTTGTCCATACATTTCCATCTTCCTCTAAATGGGAGGATCTCTCACGGTTTTCAGTAACATCCTTACCAGAAGAAGACCTCTGCTGCCTATGCTTCTCAGTTTTCTCACGACCCAACCTGTCCTCACGACTGGCAGGACTACTTTTATTATCTTCCTCTACAGCTTCTGATCTGTTTTTGCTCTTACTTCTTTCAGCATCAACTCTTTTATCATCTTTGCTGATGCTTTTCAAACTTTTCTCGCTGCTCACATCCACATTTCTGCCTTTGGTTTCACTTTGTTCAGCTTTCACAGAAACACTTTTCTCTTTGGGGTTCTCATGCTTAGAATCAGAAGACTTGCCCACTCTCGTGTCAGCATTTTCATTATCTTCAGCTTTCCTATCAGGATCTGATTCATCCAATTTCTTCCTTGAGGTTTTCCCCTGTTCAGAAGAGCCGTGACCCTTCTCTCGACTGCTCTCTCTCCTCTCAGAATGCTTTGCTTCTTTATCCAGTGCCTTCTCATGTTCTCCATCCACCAATCTTTCATCTTTGCTTTTACTTCCACCCTTAGAACTTTCATGTTCAGAAACCTTTGAAGTCGACTTCCTTCTATCGCTCTCATCAGGACGAAGCCCGTGTGCTTTACCTCCAGACTTATCTCCCCTAGTTTCTAACTCTCCATCTTGGTACCAGCTACTCAACTTCTCCAAGCTACTCTCTTCTTGTTTCCTCTTTGCTTGTTTTGCCCTCGACTCTTTCCGAGCCTCGTAATCATCCTCATCACTCTCAACCTTGCTAGAGCTGCCACCACCTGACCTCTTACGGCTCTCGCTTCTGTCCCCACCACCACTTCTCCGCCTCCCACTGCCATCCAATCCATCACCTTCATCCCCATTGCTCAACTTTCTAGACTTACTTGACCTATGCTTCCTTTTATCACTTCCCTCCATATCTTCATCATCTCCTGCCCTATCACTCTTTATGTCCGAACTATCACCTACATCTCGCTTCGAATCCCTTCTGCCACGTTCAGGTGAATCCATCAAATCCTGCAAATAGCTGCACCACTACTTTCAGTAGAAACAACATACATACACCCTTCCGACTTTCAATTAATATATCCCTATTCAAGAGTGCAACTCCGTATACAACGAGATCTTAATCGAAATCAACAACCTTTAACTGTTCACTGGCATCTAGAAAGTCAATAATATTATAGAAATTGCTACCCTTTAACCTAAAGAAAACCCACTAGGATCAAGCACTTCTAATTCTTACCCTGCATCTACACACCATTATGAAAAAATGTTGAATAACTATAGAAAATTCCAAGATTGCATTCTCGCGAAACAGGAATGAGCACCGCTAGTGAATCCCAACTACGCGAGGATGCAGATTGACTGATAGAAAGCTCCACAGCCCTAGCCCCTACTTACTTCTGACGGCTTCAATGAAGGAAGCTACAATCGAACAAGGAGAAGGATGGCTACACGGCGAGAGATTCATTGGGAGACCGAATGGAAGTCTGGGAAGTGGAGATAGATGAAGTTATAGAGGGGAAGCGTACCTGAGATATGCGAATCGGAGAAGAAGGAGGGAAGTGGAGAAACCCTAGAGTAGGCGCCGAAGCAGAGGGCTTATTCAGCAGGTCTATAGCAAGTTTGCAGAGTTTTTCTTGCTCTCCCAACAGCCAACGGGGAGATGGGAGATTGTCTCGCTCTCGGGAAATTGTTTTTTCTTCCTTCGTTTATTGTCTCGCCGACGGGCGACGAAAAATAGATTTTTTTTTTTCGAAAGTCGAAACTCAAAATAAAAACACTAAAACAGTGAATAAATTGTATCATCAAAGAAAATATATTCGTTTTTTTCCCCAATATTCGATTAGGGGTTTCAATTTTTTTAATAAATGAGGGGTGTGGATTCTAATAATGTCAAAATACAAACAAATACAACAATTTATTCTGAGGTTCGGGAAAAACATGGGCTCCAATAGAAAGAGAGTGGTCTAAAAACGCAATAGAATTTGTAACATAGTTTGCCTCACGATAGATATTTTCATTCCAACTTGCCAAGGCTTTGCTAAACAGCGCCTGATCTTCGCCACATATCTATAGTGGTTTACCTCGACGAGAGTCGTTGCAAGTGTGTTTCCCGAGTGGTTTCAAACCATGCACAATCCCATAAAGCTCTCCACGAGTGATAGAAACTCAAACCTCAAGATTCATGAAAAAATATTTCGAGAAAGCAGTCATTGTCTCCACTCACAATGCCACCATATGTTGTGCTTGAAGGGGAACGAACAATCGTGTCGTTAGTGCTCAAACAGACCCGATCCTGTTATAATAGTCGCTAGTAACCGATATGTCTTTGTCGGAAGTCCCTTGCCTCCATATACTTGCTTCTTCTTCTTCTCAAAATCAATGCATATATGCTCCTTTCATATATTCTCCTTTAATTGTTAACCATGACAGAGACAAGGTCTCGTCTAATTTATAGTCCTTTTATGAATTAGATTGTAGTACAATTAATTCACAAAGATTTGTCTTTGTGAAGTCTTTGCTTACCATTCATCCTTTCAATTTGAATTTTGTTGAAAAGTATCCTTTCACTTGTCAAAACTTGCGAAGAACACGATTTTTAAACATTTTTTTTGTGCATTGTCCAAAATATATCCACGATGTTACACTATCAACAAAAGTTCACCCTAATCAACCATCTCTCACAAACTACCAATTTTATTTATAGGATTATTAAAGTTACAGAGTTTGTCATACGACATAAACATTACCATTACCAAAGACGAACTAGAAAGAAAGAAAAGAAACCAAAATAAAAGCTTGAACATTACCAAAAGGAAAGAAAAGAAAAAAGACACACAGATTCTCTCTCACTCCTCCCCCAACTTTCTTTTTTGAAAGACTCACTCCTCAAACTTATTTTTGGTACACTTCAGTCCCCTGGATAAAATGGTATAATAAATAAGTGTCACAAATTATACCCGCGTTATCCAAGTACTAAACACACAACCAAGGCTTAATCAACCAACGGTAATCAGCACCTCGCGATCATCAGTCCATTAATCATTAATTAATTACCATTAACGGCAATCCCCTCCTCGATTAGAAACTCCCCGTCCTTCTCCAGCTTCTCCATGGCCCCACTCTCCAAGCTAATCTCCACGTCAATCCCGCCTTCCTTCCCGCGGTACAGAAACACCATCCCGTCGAACCGGTTATTCGACCCGCTCCGCACGCTCTCGGGCTTCCCGAACCCGAAATCCACGTCGTAGACCCGGAACCGCGGCGAGCTCCCGACGGCCACGCAGTTCACCCCGGCGTCCTTGTACTGGAACACCTTCGGCGCCGCCTCCCACTCCTCGTTCCTCCCGTCGATCGCCTTGGCGTCGTGCTTCTCGATCGCCCCCTGGATCATCGCCGCCCCGAACTCCGGCGGGTTGCCCGACAGCATCCCCGCCGGCAAGACCGTGAAGATCGCCTGGATCAGGTTCCCGAAGTAGCTGTCGGGCATCGCCGGGTCGACCCGCTTCCTGCAGTCGACGAAGATCGTGAACACCGTGTAGTCCTCGGGTTTCAGATCCCTCGCCCGGCTGACGTGGCGCCAGATGTGGACCCCCAGCGACTGGAAAGTCGAGAACGGCTTCGATCCTCCGCCGTCCGGTTGCGGGGTCGAGTTGACCGTTGACTTGATCTTGGCGATGGCTGATTCCGGGAATTTGAACACCTTCTCTCTGAGGATCTTGGCCGGAGCTCCGGAATCGATGTTGGGCTTGGTGAGCGGGTCCGGCGGGGAGAGGTCCAGCTTGACCCGGGTGTTGCGGGCCTTGGTCCGCTCCAGGAACGGCGGGATGGAGATGGAGCTGGACCCGTTGCAGATCTCGGCCCATGAGCCCATGAAGTGCCATGTCGATGTCCCGTCCAGGATCGCGTGGTTGAACGCCAGGCCCATCGCCAGCCCATCGCTCAGCTTCGTCAGCTGCACGACAAAAAAAAAGAGAGGGTAAATTTTATTGCACCGGAAATGGGCCCCACACAATTTACTACCAATCAGAGTCCCGGTGGGTCCACCAAACGGGTGATTAAATGAGACAGTAATGACGGAATACGACCCATGCAGAGAGTTTCCACATTTACCACAGATCGGCGGTCAAAATTCAGAGTTAATTCAAGTCAGTCAAACACACGGTAATTCTTTTTATTTTTTGCCTACGATATTTTATACTATAAATTCAACCATTATTCAATTTTCCGATCCGACGTGGTAGGATACAGTTTCTAAAACATTGTTTTTTTTACCTGGACGGCGAGCAAGGGGCGGTGGAGGCCTTCGACGTTGAGGACGCCGGTGTACGGAATCAAGTCCTTGAACGACGAGGTACCGTCGTCGGCGATAAGGTCGGCGACGGAGATCCCGTCGGCGGCGGCCTCGGAGAATTCCACGCCGGCGCCTTCCATGTCGTCGTCGTACTCGACCCTGAAGACACCTTCGTCGTCCTTCCCCAGGCGGCCGGCGAGCTGGTAGAAGTCGTCGAGGACGGTGGCGAGGCCGTCCTTGAGCTTGGCGGCCGCGTCGGCGAAAACGGCGTCGGATTGGTAGATGAGGAGCTTCTGGTTGTAGTAGAAGGCGAGGTAAGGGAGGTCGAAGGTGACCAGCTGGCACTCGGTCCTCCCGATTTTCTTGGCCGGCTTGACTAGGGTTTTGGAGGAGATCTTGACGGCGGCCATGTTTGGCTAGTGAATAGGGTGGGAAACGGAGAAAGGGGGAAATGGAGTAGGTATGGCGGTGGTATAGTGAAGTGTGTGTTTGGAAGCTAGAACAGTGATAAGAAGGGGTGCTTTTTATAGTTGGGAATGGAGGGAAGATGTGGTTGAGGGGATTGAGAGGAGGAGTTGGGCATTTATGGTTTTCATGAGAGCGGTTGTGAGAGCCATTAATGTCTGGTTTTTTCCTTCATTGAGTGATTGAGATTTTGAGGGGAAGCTGGCGAGGAAGGAAGAGAGAGCATTTTGGGCGGTTACGATTAACTTCTTTTTTTCCTTTTTCACGCCAAAACAAAATAAAAAGGAACTTCTTTTTTTTCCTTGGGAGTTTCTTTCATTTCTCCTGGTCAACAATTAAAAAAAAAAACTAGAAATTATTTCCAGTCATTGTTTTGATTCATTGAGAAGTTGGGAAGAATTTTATGTTTAGAGTTCGAAATAGATTATAGACGTAAGTATACAAATTCTATGTATATTCTTTCGGAATTGAAAATTGGGTTTAAATTACCGGAACAAAACGGTTTAATATATTGTTGCTATCACTTGTAGACATATTATTATGCCAATCAAGTGAAAGTAATGTGGTCTTGGTTTCTGATCAGCGAGTCGGGTTTCGGGAGCGAAACGGCTGAATTGTCTCAGATTCACGGTGTATGGACTTTATATTGTACGTTTGTTTGTCTGTTTTGCGCCTAGTCTGTAAACTTTTTTTTTCAAGTTGGATTAGATAAACCCATCCGGAAAATGGACTATATATATATATATGGAGATACATATTACAGAGAGATTGAGAAGGTAATATATGTATCTCCTTAAGTATAGTGAAAATTACTCTCTCATGCCGTGGACTAGTTAATACATATTATGTTAGTGAATTACACGTCAGCCTCTGTGTTCTTTACTTTCGCGCATTGTCGATTTTCCAATCCGTTCTAACACATAGTTTCATGTGATTGGGTTGTGTTATATCTTTTTGTTCCGAACAGATTTTCAAATTCGCTCAAGAATAATAAGTTCATCTCGATAATTAGAACTATTGGGAGATATATAGATCTATCATTGTTCCGAACTTTAAACGGTGAAGATTTGAATGCAAGAATTTCAATCATGACCTCCCAATCCCATACCATATCGGGAAAAAAAAAGGGGAAAAAAGAAAAACTAGCTCATCTCAATAACTCATACCCAATTAGACCCAAATCTTATACCATTATTATCATTTGGTTGAGCCTCCTATATTTTACATCTTTCAATCAAAGCCCAATTTTACCTGAGCAGCGGCATCATTCATCCATCCATCCAGGGGGAGGAAATTACTCACCTAAGCTAGCTGCTGCCGGTTCAGATTTTGAGCTGGCGAAGTAAATGCAATGCCCCATAAATCACCTCAAAAGTAGTGTTTGTTTTCCCAACGGACCAAAGCAACCCTTTTCAGTTAATGTCTTATGTGCGGCAAATATTGCTGGTCCTTCAATTCTCTGTACCGTGGAGTAAAAATTTGTTAGGCAAAGACTTCCAAAAAAAAAAAAAAAATGTTAGGCAAAGATGCTTGTGGCTAATACTACGATCTTAATCGACCGATAAATGCTCGTCGATGATAACCACATAACGTCTATGATATGTCGTCCATCTTGATAAAAAAACAGATAATATGGTAAAAACCAAGGGGGGTAAAAAAGAACAGACCATGTAGTTTGCGCCTAATTTCGGGTAAGATAGACCAGATCGAAGAACATACCACATTGAAAAAGGTTGACAATTTGCCACCATAAGCAGTGCAGAAGATAAGCCCTGAGACGACCCCAAAGCAAATAATAATTCAAGCGCTGTGAATTATGGAGTGGGGTTGTTCCCTCAAATTAATTGCGCCCGCCATTTATTGTACTCGCTGCCTGGTTACCAAATTGGTTGAATTGTCCGCACTCAGTAGTTCAAGAGCAGTGTAATAGCGTTGTAATAATTAATCTCAATGGACAACAAATTGACCCAAAATTAAAGTCCCGATTTGTGGTTGGAACCCGAAAGAAAAGAAACCCTCTCACTTCCACTCAATCGTAGTGATGCAATGGATCGGGTTGTGCGCGAATAGTGCATATCCATTACACTATCAAAATTAGTTAAGATTTTACGTACCCACATTCATATCTATACAAGATTTGAGTATGAAATCGAAATCATGCTAATACTCGTTCGGGTTTCGGGCATTCATGATTTTTTTTCCGTAACTTCAACAAACATGTTAACAATTACATGTATATTGCATTATATGAGTGAAAATACAACAATAAATCCCTAAATTAGTTGAAAATAACATAATTTCATGAAAATGTTAAATATGTATAGAAAATATCAAATATGATGAGAAAATAAAGACAATTTCTAGATGAGATACATACACAAAGTGGCAGAGGAGAGGGGTCCTAGGACCCCACTTGAGAAAAAATAGGGCATCCAAATCTTTTAGATATGTATAAGGTTTAGTATATATGATCCTTCGAATTTAGGTCCACATACTCTCGTGGATGTTAGCTGACACCAGTCAACTCAAAGTTCATTAGATACCCAGACTTTAGGTTTCGGAAATTTTAAGGACCCCACTCAATTCAAAGTCTGGCTATGCCACCACATACACATATGTATAATCGGGTGGGTTCGAGTTGGATAGTAAAAAAATCATACCAATCAATTACACCCAATATTAGGATTTGAGTTTTACCCGTACTCACTAAAAATCTTTCGAATTCGAGTTTCAACTTACCTGATTAGGTCTGATTCAGGAAAATATATCCACGGGTATGAATACTTTTGCCATCCCCACGCGCATGTAGGCCATCTGCATACTAAATACTTTTTTTGGGTGTTTTAACTATCGTCGATATTAGTGATTAGCACCTCATCACAATCGATCTTACAAAATAATAGCTAAATAGTCACACAATAAACTTTCATTTTCATGATTCATAGAGATCAATTTACTGATTTTTCATAATAAGAAGATGATGCAATCAATCACCACATTATTGCCTTATAATTGAAATAAGCATGTTAGACATTGTTGGATTTTGGAATGGGCTTGCTTCCAGGCCCAACAACTCATCAAAGCTCTATGGAGCAACGCCAACCCTATAAACAACCAATTTCATTTTTTTTTTTTGTTGAGAAACACCAATTTCATCTTTCATTATCGAGAAACTAGAGATTACAATTCTAGTATCCCTAATCCCTATGAACACTAAACTGTTCTCTATAGAGAGGACAAATGGTATAGGATCTAATCGACTCTCTTTAAGCTTTATTACTGATGTCGCTGCTTTGAAATGTCGAGAGAAGGTACATGTATTTATTTATGTTTATAGCAAAAGAAGAAGGTAAAAAGAAGAAAAAAAAGCACTACTTTGTTAGAATGTTCGGTGCTGATGATCGGTTGGGTTGAACCGGACCCAAAATCTCCTTCACAACAAGGTTTCTAGCTCGGTTTATAGTCATGAAGCACAGATACAAATGCTCCTCTAGCTCATCAAGCTGCTGGCTGAAACCACACTCGCTCTTCTTGAGCTCCCGCCACACCTCCCCCTTGGCGGCTCGAACCCAGGTCTCTCCTCCTCGCTCGAGCCAGAACTCCACCGTCCCGTGCATGTGCTCCAGCTCGTCGCTCAGACGAGCGACGAGCTGGCTTATGGTCTCCAGATCCCGGCTCAATATGTATGTCCCCTTCGCAGCCACGTCCAGCTGGGACGCCACCTTGTCGAGCTTCCCGGTCGAGACCAGCTCGATCGAGGCGGTGGCGACCACGAGGCTCGGAGCGGCCACGAGCAGAGCGAGCGCGTGGGTGGCCACTATGACCGTCAGCGAAGCCGTGAGAGCCACGAGGAACATGGCCGACCCGTGCTTCAGCCTGGATCGAAGCCGCAGGCTGGTTTGAGCCCTATCGCGAATCGACTCGATCGGCTTGAGAAGCTCCGAACAGTTGGCCCGAGCGGTCCGGACCCGGGTCGAGGATGGGGCGGACCGGTCGAAAGGGTTTCCGGAGCCGACGAATTCGGTCAGTTGGGTCAGCATCACCCGAAACTGCTTCTCGGGCGGGTAGGTCGAACCGGTCTGATTGAGAGCGGATCTCAGGGTCCGAATCCTGGTTCGCACCCGGTTGATGTCCTTGAGCAGCGACCCGCAAGCGCGTGAGGCATCGGCCGTCTCGGCGAAGAATTGGGCCAGGAGTGATTGCGCCGAGGAGGGGATTTGGGCCGAGGTGAGGACCCGAGTGACCGTGGGCTGGTCCGGGTCCAACAGGTGTTCGACGAAAAGCCTGTAGGAAGAAAGCCGAGCTGCGGCGGTGGAGGTGGAGTCGACGGGTCCGCCGCCGCCTTCGGAGACTGTGAAGACACGCGTCCAGAACTCGAGGTAGGATTCTGTTCGAAAGGCGTTGGCGTATTCTTCGCGGACGTCGACGTCGGAAGCCGCCGCCGCCGGCCGGTTGGGTGGCCGTCCAACTCCAAATGCTGTAAATAAATCGGATCAAAAATATTTCTAGCACTAGCAGTGTTTGATATAATTTGGAACATTTTTTTGGGGTGGAAACCGAGATTTACCGTCGAGCGAAAAGAAGTTGGTCAAGCGGGAACTGTGTTTTTGTTTCATTGCGAACCTATGAATATGATCTGTTAGCAGGCAGCCAAAAACGACGTGTTGTAAGGTATCGAAATGATCGAAACGACAACTGGAAGTGGAAATGAAGAAGCGAGAATTCATGTAAATAAGTTTCTGTACATGCAATTACCTGATTGTTGAAGGGCCGGCGGGAAAATGATTTCGAGGGAGGAAGAAGGGAGGGCATGGGGATGTTTTTATACTGTAAAATTCAAGTGGAAAGGAAAGGATATATATATATATAAGCATATGCTTGGGAGGGACGACGGATCACTTTGCTTGTAAGAATTTGGAAAAGAGAAAAGAAAGTAATGAATTTGCGGCGGACTGATGAAGACATATGCTTAGAAGATATGTCATATATGAAAAACATTTCTTCAATTCGACTCAATAACGAGGTGGTCCAATCAATTTGGATGTGATTTTGTTTACCACTTGATTAACCAAAAGGTCAAATAAGTTTTCAATTTTGGACAATACTAAAGTGGAATAATGTTATGTTTGATGAATAACGGTTGGTCTGTGTAGACGAAGGTACATGTATGTATGATAAGTCTGAAACTAGGACACTCAAATTGTAATAGAGTCATTTGATTCACACTCTTCACAAAGTATTGAGTTGTAGAGAATTTCTTATGATAAAACTATAATTACTTAGGTTGTAGGTTTAATAACGCTAAAACAAACTTAGAAGTTTTTCGCAAGAAGAAGAATTATAGTTTGATTGTCTGTTGCGTCATGTGCCTCACACATCTATTTATAGTGCTGAATCTATGCATTTTTTTTAATGAAAGTTTGTCCTTATCTGTGAAAATACAACCGCCACTAAAACAAATGAATGTGTCCCTTCATGAAATTTAGAATACTTGATTTGGTCGGCCTAACCTCAAATTGGTTGGTTGGTCCAACTCTTAACCGATTTTGACGACGAGCCAACTCATGGTGCGTCACTTTGTGGAACTCAGTCAAGCAAAAAGTACATAGAAAAAAGTTCTTCATTGGTGTTACTTGTTAGCTGATCTCGTAGTGTATTGTTGCATAAGCAACCTGTAAACCGGACTTTCATTCCTCTTTCGTTTCAAAACCCAATAAGAAATTCAGCTTCTTCGAAAGTTTTTTGAAACTCAAATAAAGCAGATACTAGTTAACATTAGAGTTGATAAAGTACGTGCCACAGTATGATATATGTAACCATATCACCACTATTTGATTTCAAATGGGTAAAGCAAGATCCAGAAATACGTTTCCTCCCTTAGCACAAAAATAAAAGCACTATCCCTCTCGAGAATTTTGGGATCAACATCTTGATGAATTGTTACCCACAACTCAAGGGTTTTGCTTGTAACTCACAAGCGAGAAAAAGACGTTGGTGTCTATAAAATTTTAACTTTTTAATTGGATACGAAACTAATGCCGAACTTACATATTTATAGGCTGAGAAAAGCCTAATATGTAACCTAATCCTACCCGAATATCCACTCCTATTCGGCTACCCCTTCCCCAAACACAAAAGGAAAACTTAAACGAAAAGGAAAAACACCAAAGCCCAATCCAAAAATACCCACGAGCCCAAATGTAAAATAACCTCAGCACATCTCCTAATGAACTCTTCTTACCTAAATGGGAATGACATGAGAAGTCTTTTTCAAAACCGAGCCCCCTATTCTAGTAGTAAGGCATGCTCTCGAAACGCCATCTATTGTTCTTGTTTCCAGCGATCAACCATTTCAGAGCAATCTGGTGATTAGTCTATCCCACACACACATTGTTCGAGGGACCCTAAATGTTGTCGGAGCAAAGGATCGTCAACAAAGACGTTCTAGTGCGTTGTAAATTCTTATCCAAGACTTGAGCTTGCTCTATGATTGTACTGAAACCCTACATGCACATTTGCATGTTTGAAATCCTTCTCAACAAAGTTTACCTACTTATCTACTCTCACTTTAGTGATTTGGGATCATCCTTATGCTATGACATGGATGGCTGCTGGCTAGAAAAACTATAATTAGCTGTGAAGTCTAATAAATACAATTTTGGACTTTTTGTTGTTGAGAGAAACTTCGGCTTTGATTTTGAAACCCTAAAGAAAACTTGTCCACTCAGGTAGACAAAACGATTGGGTAGATTTGGGCCTCATAATAATTACTATTCGAAAGCCCAATACAAATAGAGACATATAGTGTGTCAGCCCAGCCCAGCCCATCTCTATTTCTTTCTCTCTCTCCTTTTCTTTTTATGAAAGCCATCTCTATGTGTTTTTAATTGTTAAAACCAAAATAATTAATAAAAATATGAAAAATCAATATATCAAACACCAAAGAAATACTTACGGAATAGTTAGTGGACTAATTAACCGTAGTGGAAAAGTCATATGTTTTTTAGATTTTATGTTTTTGTACGTTTTTTGTTTACAAAGATACATTAAATTATTTTGGTGTAATTGATAATGATTCATGTATTTGTTAAAAGAGATCATGTTTCAAATATCAGGACTGGTGTATTTTTTCACATTAATGAGAAATAAGTGTAGAGAAAAATATACCATTACTATTTTCGCTCTCGTTAGAGAAAATTTGAAATGCTCAAAAACTGTCACCAACTCTGCCATTATATATTTGTAGATTGTTATAAATTATAATCTTACTATGGGAGAAATTTTACAATGCTATATAGTATTGGTGCTATAGGTTTTTGCCTTTATGGTACAATTTAAAATTGTAATTTACGTTATGGTACAACTTTAGATTGTACCTATACTTTTTGTACAAATTCTTTTATGGTACAACTTGAACTTGTACCTTTATGTGATGATACAACTTCAAGTTGTAAAGTTGTACCATAACATAATGATATAAATTGCTTTATGGTACAACCTAAACTTATACATTTAATGTTATGGTACAACTTTGAGTTGTACATTAAAGCACCAGTACTATATAGCATAGTAGAAGTGCTCCACTCTCAATGTCATCACACAGTTCTTAGAGTGAGCGTTCTGATCCCTATGAAAAACTGTGAATGCAACAATTGGGGCAAATATAGGAGACACTTATATTATTTTGTCTCCGACAAAACTATAATAAGTAATTTCGGGGACAAATTCATAAAACTGTCTCCATAGATTAATTAAGTAGTTGCATAATTGATAACAGAAACACATGCAGGCACAGTTTTATTTCTTATTGGTTAATTGGTAGGTACCAATGAAATACACAACAACAACAACAACATAACACAGGCAGATGTACGTACATGCATGCATGGCATACGTACGTGCATGGAAACAAGCAGAAGATCAAACAGAACGGAATGACGTACGGCAACGGCAGCTATGGAAAAGGAAGGGCTTAGTATGATGCTTAGGTGAAGGCAGCGAGAGCGGCCCTGAGGTTGGCGATCTGTTTATCTTTCGCCGCGAGCTGGTCGTCTTTCTCCTTGGCCTGCTTCTTCAGCTCGTCGCTCTCCTTCTTCGCCGCATCTTCCCTCGCTTGGGCCTGCTCTTTCAGCTCCTGGATCTCCTTCTGGGCCGCTTCTTCCCTCTCCTTGGCCCGCTTCTCCTTCTCCGCAGCCTCTTCCTGCAGCCTCTTGTTCTCCTTCTCCTTCTCCTCCAACTCCTTCTTCACCTGGGCCGAACCACCACCACCGGCCCCCTCCATCAGCTTCCCCGTGGTCCGCTCGAACCGGTCCCACGATGTCCCGACCGGGAGCGGGACGGTGACCCCGTGGTTGGACCACTCGTAGAGATCGTTGAGGCGGTACAGGAGTGCACCCGGCTTGAACCGGCCGTTGTCGGTGCCGCGGTTGTGCCACGTGAACATGAATCCTTCTCGGTTGATGTTGAGCTGGCGGCCGTAGAGGTTCTGCCAGAGCTGCTCCACCTTCTGCGGGTTCAGCGCCGCCCCGAAGACTTCCAGCTCGCGGTGGCTGCAGTACTTGTTGTTCCCGATCCGGGCCACCATTGTCCATTTGGTCTTGTTGTCGTTCAGATCCTGGGTGTTGATGTCCGGGGAAAACGGTCCCGTATTCACCCTGATCGTGTGGTCGACCAGACCCAGCAGCCACAGATTGTTGGAGTCCATCACGAACCGAGACATTTTAAATTTTTTTTTTTGCTCTCTTTATTTCTTTCTCGACCAGAGTAGTAATTGATGTGTGTTTGGAGTTGAAGATTAGTGCCTCCTATTTATAGCAAAAAAAAAAAAAAAAAAAAAACATTGCGCTTCCCTTTCTTAGTAGTTTGCTTAGTTACGACTAATAACTAGTGTGCATGTGATCCAGCTTGTCGCGTACTTAATAGAGTTGGCGTCGTGATACATGTGTATAAAAGTTTGCAAATCTGACTGGATGTTGATGATAACTGATATGCGGAGACCAAAAAAGGCAGGATACGAAATGAAAAGCGGCTTCTACTTCTAGAGCTGCACAACACGAGCTATATATGATAAGGAACATAATAATTACTACCAGTGGTAAGTGGTTGGTGAATTATGATATATATGTGATGCACCTGTCCTAATTATCATGGCACTTTGCCCATCTCTAATATGATAATGACATATGGGTTCAAAAACATTTTTAGGCTAATATTTTAAAATTTCAGAGTTAAAACAAATAAGATAATACTATAAAAGATACATTTGGCAAGGATTTTGTAGCATAGCTCAAACTGCCCTTTGTAGCCATTTCCCAAATCATCGTTTTGACGGTATGTTTCATGGATTCCGATACCACTGCCATGGAGTTAATAATTATTAACCGATTTTTGTATTCACACAGCTCGTCGCTCTTTCATTCTATTCCTCATAAATTGCACCAAAAATCATTCAAAATTTACTCTTTTTTTATTTTTATTTTGGAGAAGTGAGGATTTAGAGATTTAGAATTAGTGTTTAGTTTACAGTTTGGAGTTCATGGTTAGGGTATAGAATTGAAGGAATAGGGCTTAGGCAATGTATTTATTAGTTGGTGATACTAAACTATATCATCGTATTATACAAATGTTTTTCAATTAAAATACAAAACTCTAAGTCTTAAACATTATTTTTGAGTTGGTGTATATACCGCACACCACATGCATACTTTCATATATTCACGTGGTTAACAATATAAAAATTACATCTTTTTTCTTCTTTTTCCAAGGATTTTGATTATGAGCTATAACTAGTTCTCCTCGGGTCCCGTGCGTAATCACTTATTATTATATATTCACGTGGATAACAATACATTATTTACATGATTACATCCTTTTTTTCTTCTTTTTTCCTAATAATCACTAGGAAAGGTGTCAACTGTCAACATTATCAGTTCCACAAGTACTTGATTGTGCATGATAGTTATGATTATAGTTATTGATATGCACATTTCACGTGGTTAACAACACAATGATTTACATGATTACATTCCCCTGCCAAATGGTTAATAATTAATAATAACAACAACAACGATAAGGAAACTGCCAGCTGGCGCGGGTGTGATCATCCTACTATAAATTGGACTCACAGCAAGCGGTGCTTCAAAACCAAACATTAACAGTTAATTCTTCACCCACAACCAAAGCTGATAAAAAAAAAAAAACAATAATGACGTCGCCTGACGCTCCCTTCGTGCTGGACTCCAACAACCTGTGGCTGGTCGGCAGCCCCGACGGCACGATCGCCGTGCTCGGCGGCCCCGACGTAGCGTACCTCAACACCCGCGACGTCACCGGCGACGTCAGCAAGTGGGCGGAGGCGGCTCGCATCGGCCCCGCCACCACCCACCGTTCACTGGAACTCTTCGGCGTCGTATTCAGCGGGCAGAAGCTGGAGGAGCTGCGGAAGAATCTGTACGACCACCAGGTGACGGTCAACAGGGAAGGATTCATGGTCCAGTGGCTCAACCTCAGCGGCGGCGGCGGCGATAATAAGGAGCCCAACGAGGGCAGCCTCTACCGCCGCCTGAACGACCTCTTCGACTGGTCCAGCCACGCCGTGAAGGTCCCCGCTCCGGTCCAGACGGAGTGGGACCGGTACCAGCTCGGCAGCGGGGAGCTGATGGCGGAGGTGTCGGGGCTGGCCCAGCTGCCGGTTGTCGTGGTGGAGCTGGAGGAAGAGAACCAGACGCTTCGGGACGAGAAGGACGTGGAGATCCGTGAGCTGAAGAAAGGCGGCGGCGGCGGCCAGGAGCAGTCCGCCGCCAAAGATAAGATGATCGCTGCACTCAGGGATGCTCTCAAGCTCTTCCTCTAAATCGATGGAACTGCATGCTGTGTTGGGATGAATAGCTTTGAAAAGCTATAATAAAATTCCTAATTAATTATCCATCTTAATTTCGTATTAAGATGCTATCAATAATAGAACACATAAGATGCTGTCGTTCCGGTTTCATCCCTATCCCATGCTTGCTGAATCTATCTATCTGTGTGTGTAATGTGTTGTGTATTTAATTGGTAGCATGCATTGCTGAGTTGCCAATTGATTAATAAAAAGTTACAAGTGTCGTTTTGTTAGTCTCTGGGACCGTTATAAGCAATCGGATCGGATTACCGACAAAAGAGTATGGTTTTCCAGGATAATAGAAGGTACTTTTTCGGCTAAATCCTAAAATACCCAAGTTACAAAAATCAATTCTCACAATACATCATTTCAAAAAATAATTCTCAAAATACCTAAGTTTCCCAGAAGCAAAGCCTAGAGACGACCTAAAATGACCCTGGACGAGATGCAACATGATGGTGATGAGCTGGATCTTGCATACAGTGGATGAGTTGATTTGCAAAAGTGTAAGAAGCCTCAAAACTAAAGCAGAGGTATGGAAAACTCTCAAATTAAGATATGGTCACGGGGATTTGATTAGGATAGTTGAACTCGAAGAACAACTATGCAATTTGAATCAAGTTTCTAGTTGTGATGTAGGCCACTTTGCTAGGCAAAAAAGATTGACACTTCCTTCCAGCAATTCAATCACAACAAACCATTTGAACTCAAACACATGAATATTTGGGGTCCCAATTCCAGCAATTCTCATGATGGTTTTCGGAATTTTCTGACAAAAAAAAATGAAAATGAAAATTGTTTCTACTTCTAGAGCTGTGCACAAGACACCAGCTCTATTTAAGTTTGAGCCTCTTGATAAGGGTCATTGTTACTGACGATGGATGTCTAGTTAAACTCCTAAAACATTAATCTTTCCTACATAAATTGCCTACAATGTTACTGATCTTTTCTTTTATATATGGAAATGTATGCGGAATTTATAACAGAAACACACAACCACAGTTTTATTTCTTATTGGTTGATTGGCAACTGATCATCGGTAGCCACCAATCAAAATACACAACAACGACATAACACAGACACCTTCAGGTGTGTACGTACATGCATGCATGAGATACGTGCATGAAAACAAGTACGTAGAGGAAAACAGAATACATAACAATAAGAACAGGAAATAGAAATCTCAAAGGAACGGTGTGCATGAACGGAATGATAACTACGTAGTTAGAAGCATTATGAATTTAGGTGAAGGCAGCGAGAGCTGCCCTGAGGTTTGCGATCTGTTTGTCCTTGGCGGCCAGCTGATCGTCTTTCTCCTTGGCCTGCTTCTTCAGCTCGTCGCTCTCCTTCTTGGCCGCATCCTCCCTCGCTTGGGCCTGCTCTTTCAGCTCCTGGATCTCCTTCTGGGCCGCTTCTTCCCTCTCCTTGGCCCGCTTCTCCCGCTCCGCAGCCTCTTCCTGCAGCCTCTTGTTCTCCTTCTCCTTCTCCTCCAACTCCTTCTTCACCTGGGCCGAACCACCACCACCGGCCCCCTCCATCAGCTTCCCCGTGGTCCGCTCGAACCGGTCCCACGATGTCCCGACCGGGAGCGGGACGGTGACCCCGTGGTTGGACCACTCGTAGAGATCGTTGAGGCGGTACAGGAGTGCACCCGGCTTGAACCGGCCGTTGTCGGTGCCGCGGTTGTGCCACGTGAACATGAATCCTTCTCGGTTGATGTTGAGCTGGCGGCCGTAGAGGTTCTGCCAGAGCTGCTCCACCTTCTGCGGGTTCAGCGCCGCCCCGAAGACTTCCAGCTCGCGGTGGCTGCAGTACTTGTTGTTCCCGATCCGGGCCACCATTGTCCATTTGGTCTCGTTGTCGTTCAGATCCTGGGTGTTGATGTCCGGGGAAAACGGCCCCGTATTCACCCTGATCGTGTGGTCGACCAGACCCAGCAGCCACAGATTGTTGGAGTCCATCACGAACCGAGACATCTTTTTCTTTTCTCTCTTTCTTTCTCGACGAAACTACTAAGTAATTGATGCTAGTGAATTGTTAGCTTGTGAGAACGATGATCTGTGAGAATTTGAAGAATCATTAGTGCCTCCTATTTATAGCGATCCAAAACATTACCCTCCCCCTTCTTTGTAGTTAATTTGCGTAATTTCATTAGCGAACACATTGCTTGACTTTTTTATGAACCCGGCCATGATAATCGAGTCCATAACGTACGTACTCTTCTTCACGGTGCCCACCGTTTGCTTATTAATTTATATGGTTCAATATATTCACGTGGTTATAACTAATAACTAGTGTCTAGTGTGCATGTGCATAAAAGTTTGCAATTCTGATTGGGTGCTGACTATTACTCATACGCAGTGACCCCAAAAAAACGCAGAATATGAAATGAAAAATGCTTCAAAGTACTTCTAGAGCTGCACAATAACTAAGGTTTCATCTCAGACGTAGCAAAGAATTCATCTTAGGTTTCACTAATAACTTTTGCATGTGATCAGCTTGACCTTTGCGTGATTAAACTCTTACGTTTTATTATATTATTGTATATATATTACATAATTTCACGTGGTATATAATCACTTATTATCATATGGTTACATAGAATCACCAAATACTTCTAAGGATGTTATAACTTATAATTAGTAACATGTGATCCAACTATTCCAACCTGTCTTCGGATCGCGTGCTTAACCTCTTATTATTTATATTAATATATAGTACTCATATATATGATTTTGCATTTGTTTACGCTGCACTCTTTCGTCGGTGTTTTCTAGTGCATATGATTGTTCATTCGCGGTATTCTAAAGGAAGATCATGAATCCTTACTCAGATAGAGAATTCTATTGGATATGGGCCAGCAAGCCCATCGACAACAGAAGGACCCCCAGTGACGCCTCACACTCGAAACCTTCCGCGTCTCATGTTTGCACACTGTTTGATTGCCCTTGTAATTATACCCTAGTGACAATTGATGAAGGGTATAAGTATCAGTGTAAGGCCATCGGCCATAATTAAGAAAACCTAATAAAGAATCAGTCGTGAGCTCTCTTCGAGCTCATCGTGGAATAGTCATGTTCACACCGAACAGGGAAACCACGTAAAATCATTGTCGTGTTCTTTTCCGCACTATCAAATTCATTGAATTCAGAATGAGGCTGCTCCACTCGAATACGAGGCGCCCATTTAAGAGATATAGCATACATATCATATTCAAGGTATCATGGTCCACTAGTGAAAACCCAGTGACCCAGAAGCCTCCGTGGGAAAACCCAGTGAAAACCCTAGAATATAAAATGAAATATGCTTCATATATACGTACCAAAGAATTCATCACTAATAACTATTAACTAGTGCATGTGATCAGCTTGTCCTTGGATGGCGTGATTAAACACTTAATTACTTTTTATTTTATTACTGTATAGTACATATATATTCACGTGGTTAACAATATAATGACTATAGTTATTGATATGCATGTGATACATGCATGTGCATATATAGATTTTGCGATTCTGATTGGATGCTAACTATGATTGATAGGCAAGTGACCAGAAAAAGCGGAATATAAAATGAAAAATGCTTCTAGCTTTTCAATTTGATACGACTCAAAATCAGTATTAGTACACTAGACCAAGGTTTTTTAGTGAATTATGATATGCTGCACCTGCACTTTACTTATCTCTAATGTTTCAAAACTAACCATAGTACCATGGTGGTATAAGTAAATATCCCTTGATTAATGTGACCTATAATAGCATAGCATGTGTGGTTCAGAAACTTTTAATCCAAAATTATAATTAATCTTTCTGTTTGCAAGTGGAAATTTACCAAAATGGATTTGGCCGTCAGACGGTCATTTGATATCTCTGGGAGCCATACAATGACCGATCCAGAACAGCATAGACCACTGAGTCGTATTTGAAAAGAGGCATAAATGATTGGGTCGTAGCTCGACGAGTACTGAAAGAATGCCTAAAATAAAAAATTTACAAGTGTTATATTAGCTTTAGATCCAAAGGAGGGCTTGGCGGTGGCCTGTGGGCGGCCCTCTGGATCCACTGGAGCCATGTCAAAGTGTAGGACTCGTTCAATAATTCCCATTCCGTATTTTGTGATTTTGGAAACATAAAATGAAATCTAGGGAAAAGAAAAGTTGTAATTTTCTAGGAATGATTCCTTAAAATCTGACACTGAAAACCTATTTATGTAGGATTTTTAGTGAATTTGAAAACTTCAATTTCTTTAAAATCTGATATTAAAATGAAATTTTTTTATTTGAAATACCAAGGAACTCTTTTTCAATGATTATTTTGAATAAGCTAAGTAATGGTAACGTCATTACTTTCCAAACTCCATGTCTTGGTGCATGCTTTCAATGATTGATTTTGAATACATATTATTTTGTAATTTAGTTATTAAGTTAGAGTACATTTTGGAAGGTTTCATTTAATTCAATTATAAATGTGTTCCAATCATAATTTGAGACAATATTCCAAATATAGAAATTCATTTGAAAATGAATTTCACACAGTAATTCATTTCCAATTGAAATGAACCATTGATTCATCTGGATTCGAATAGTGGATAAGATACAAATTATATCTGATAAAAAGAAAAAATTTAGGCAAAAGAGAAAAAAGGATTAAAAATCAATTGTGAGTAATGTCATTCAAATATTGCACATCATTGAAAAAAGTTTTTTCGTTGAAAGTATGAGGAAACGGATTTTGGAAATAGGTGAAAATAACATTTTGTCGTTTTCGAAAACAACAGGAATTTATCACTTTCCGTTTACAAAGTTGGAAACGAACGAGTTAACAGGTTTTCTCATTTCTTTTGCCAAATTTATGAAATGAAAACAGGAAACAGGACATGAATATGAAAGTGAACAAGCCCTTAGTTACATGATCCGCTAAACGAGATTTCAAGGGAAAAATTAACCACTGCATCGAGGAGGAAAATGACTTTGAGGATAGCCGATGAATATTTTCGAGGTGGAATATGATTTTCAGGCACGATTAAAATACTTTTGCAAATCTCATTCGAAGTTTGTTGAACTCATTACTCTTTGTGATGCCTATGAGATGATGTCTAATGCATAACTTTTTTGCTTGTGGTCTATACAATTGTTGGAGATTAACAAAACGGCAGTTGGAATTTTATTAATGTAATTGGCAGCTCAGCATGCTACCAATTAAATACACACAAACAAACAAACACAGGGAGATAGATCACCACAATTAAGCATCACGCATGGGATCGATACATTACAGACAGCTTAAGAAAATATTAAAAAGTCCAATCTATTATTATTATTATGACTAATACTGTAGGCGGATAGGAGGAGCTAGCGAGGTGGTGGAGGACGGCCGAAACGGAGCAGCAGCATGCATGCAGTTCCATTGAATTGAATTCAGAGCAAGAGCTTGAGAGCATCCTTGAGAGCAGCAATCATCTTGTCTTTGGCAGCAAGCTGATCCGTATCTTTGGCGGCAGACGACAGCTTACCGCCGCCTATCTCCTCGACCTGCTTCTTCATCATCAGCTCTCGGATCTCCATGTCTTTTACGTCCCAAAGCGTCTGGTTCTCCATCTCCAGCTCCTCCATCGCTCCCCGCAGCTGGGCCAGCCCCGACAGCTCCGCCATCAGCTCCCCGGTCCCGAGCTGGTACCGGTCCCACGCCGTCTGCACCGGAGAGGGGACCTTCACGCCGTGGACGAACCAGTCGAAGAGGTCGTTGAGGCGGCGGTAGAGGCTGCCTTCCTTGGGCGCCTTGTCGTCGCCGCCGCTGAGGTTGAGCCACTGGACCATGAATCCTTCCCTGTTGACCGCCACTTGGTGGTCGTAGAAATTCTTCCGCACCTCCTCCAGCTTCTGGCCGCCCAACACGACCCCGAAGAGTTCCAGCTCCAGGTGGGTTGATGCCTGGCTGGTCCCGATGCGAGCCGTCTCTGCCCACTTGCTCACGTCGTCGCCGGTGCTCGGATACGCCACGTCGGGGCCGCCGAGCACGGCGATCGTGCCGTCGGAGTTGCCGACCAACCACGAGTTGTTGGAGTCCAACACGAAGCGGGCCTGAGACGAAGTCATTGTGTGTGTGTTTTTTTTATAATTATTTATTTGCTTTGCTTGTGTGATGAATTGAATTTTAGTGTGTGGTTTTTGAACCCCGTACTGCGAGTCCCATTTTATAGAAGAATTTTATTTTCCATTTCATATTCTGCAATCTTTTTTTTTTTTTTTTGTGGGGGGACTGCGTATCAGTAAAGTCAGCATCCAATCAGAATTGCAAACTTTTATGCACATGCACACTAATTAGTTATAACCACGTGAATATATGTCCCTATATAATAATAATAATAATAATAATAATAATTATTATTATTATAATTAAGCAAATGGTGGGCAACCGTGAAGAGCACGTTACGGACTCGATCATGATTTTCCGCTCAACTCATGATACAGTTTGGTGTTGAGAAATGAGTTATAAGAATACGAAGCCCACCGATTGTTTATTAGTCCAACTTCGGTTAGCTGATTGGTTATGGCCCATGTACCGTAGGTTAAGTGCTGAGAGTCTTCCTTCTTCTAAGGTTCTCGTGCATGAGAGTTGAGACGTAAAATATGAGGGGGTTGATGTGACTTGAATCGGACAATCAGTCGCTACGATTGGAATAATTGGGGGGTTCGGGTTCTGGGTCTGGTCTGTAACCATTTTCTTTGTCAAATTGGATTAGATTTAGACCTACATGGAGAAGTGTAAATACTTATCATCTCCTCTCGCCCGTGGACTAGCTAGCTAACACACATCGTGTTAGTGAACCACGTAAATCGTGTGTCGTGTTTTTTATTCTCGCTTTCGTATTCTTGCTTTCTCGATTCTGGCAATTTTCCGATCCGTACCGGCGCGTTTTATAACGCCAGGAATGAGATCCTACCCCAAACAAAATCTGTGATCATGATTATGTGGATGTTTATCTGAGAGCATGAATTGGGAAGCATGAAGCGCCTCCTTAATGTTGTAATGAGGATGTTGAGAAATGAGATTGATAGTGATACGAATAACGTGATGTGTGTGTATAATAATGTTATATATGTGCAAGTCTATTTGTTATTAATATATAATGGTCAATTATGCACCAAAGGGGGAGTAGAGGAGTAGAGATGGTAGTAAGATGCCACATTGGTTGCTGGCAAGAGGCCTCAACGTTGAGCGGTACGAGGCTCCAATGTTGTGCGACATGAGTTCATCACATTGTTATTATATTTGATGCAATGTGTGTGTACATATATGAATGATGGAATGTAAAGCGAAGGTCGTAATGGCATATAGTACCGTGATTATATTAGTTTTGATATTAGATTATGGCTTACTCATTGAGATGACTCACTGAGGTCAACATTTCCCCCGGATATTAAGAAGCATATGTGATTCCCCCCGACTAGAAAGGACCAAATTCTCCGACCAGGGATCATAAGGAAGCGACCGAGGAATGGAACAGAAGAGCCCCCAGTCCGGCGGATCTTAATCCGCGATCGGGGATCTTAAGGTGTGCGATCGAGAATCGGGCACTGACAAGTTCAACGTACCTTTTGTGTTTAGGGTTCTTTTCCTTTTCTAGTTTTTTTATTAGTTTTAGTTTTCATGTCCTATTTAAAGGCTTAGACTCGAGTTTTGTGGAGACTTTTGAAGTTTATTGATTTTTCTCCTTGTTCATCGAGCGTTTGGCTAGTGAATTGTGCTTTGGTAAAATCCAACTCCTACTCCTGTCTTCTTGGAGCCTATATTGTCTCAATTTCCAGATGTCTTTGCTGCTCCTACATCCTTGCCTCCTTCTCAAGCTTTTGACCACTCCATTTCCTTACTGCCTAACACTAAGACTATAAACATCAGACCATACCGTTTTCCCCACCATCAGAAGGCAGTAGCTGAGAAATTAGTGGGGGAGATGTTACAATCAGAATTCATCCAAGAGAGTCATAGTCCCTACGCGTCACCTGTTCTGCTTATTGGGGGAAAAGATGGAATTGGCGGTTCTGTGTGGATTATAGGGAGCTCAACATTGCTATCATAAAAGATAAGTTTCCTACTCCCCATATTGAGGATTTGCTGGATGAGCTTCATGGTACCGTTATCTTCTCAAAATTGGACCTGCATGCCGGTTACCATCATATCATAATGCGGCCAGAGAATCAGTATAAGACTGCATTTCGTACGCATTAGGGCCATTATGAGTTTTGAGTTATGCCGTTTGGCTTAACTAACGCCCCTGCTTCGTTTCAAGATTTAATGAATCATGTGTTTGGGCAGTATTTGCACAAGTTTATTCGGGTATTCTTCGATGATATTTTTGTCTATAGCAAGACAGCAGAAGATCATGAAAAACACCTTACTATTACTCTGCAATTGTTGCGTCAACATCAGTTGTATGCTAAGGAGTCGATGTGTTCTTTTGGTCAACCTCAGGTGGAATATTTAGGCCATATAATCAGTGGCGAGGGTGTCTCTACTGACCCGAGTAAAATTGATGCGATGAAGGATTGGCCACGACCTCAGTCTATTAAAGGGTTGCGAGGTTTTCTGGGCTTGACAGGTTATTATCGCAAGTTTGTCAAGCATTATGGTTCTATTAGTCGACCATTGACTGATCTCCTACGCAAGAATGGTTTCACCTGGAATGAAGTTGCAGAGGAGGCATTTGTTGCCCTGAAAACTGCTATGACTACAGCCCCTGTCCTTGCTCTGCCAGATTTTACTCGGCAGTTTACATTGGAGACTAATGCTTGTGGAGTGGGTGTGGGAGCCATCCTTTCACAAGGGGGCATACCCTTGGCTTATTTCAGTTAAGCGTTATGTGTTAAGAATCAATGTCTTAGTACATATGAAAAGAATATTTGGCGGTGTTAATGGCAGTAGATCACTGGCATCATTACTTAGAAGGAAGGCCATTCACTATACTTACAACCCACGAGAGTTTAATTTAAAGTTCTTAATGGGACAAAAGGTGCATGATATACAGAAGAAAGGTTTGGTCAAGTTGATGGGTCTTGATTTCCAGATCAAATACAGGAAAGGTAAATATAATGGTGCAACGGATGCTCTCTCCCGAGTGTTTGACGACGAATTAGAAGAAGGGAAGTGTGGAGCCCTGACTTCAGTGCTTCCAGAATGGTTGATTGAAATCGAAAAAACTTATATTGATGATAATGAAGTGAAAAATTTAATAGCTGCAACTGTTGTTCCATCTCAAGGGCCCTCACTTTGGTCTTTTTCATCTGGTATACTGCGCTACAGGGGCGCTATTGTAGTGGGGTCTTCGGGAGCTATGCGTCCCAAACTACTACATCTTTTCCACTCCTCCCCAGTTGGGGGGCATTCAGGAGCACATGTCACCTATCAACGTATTAAGTCTTACTTCTACTGGTCGGGTCTGAAGGCGTGGCATCTCCTGGGTTGTGTGATGTGTGCCAACGATGTAAGGCAGAAACCGTGGCATCTCCTGGGTTGCTACATCCACTCCCTGTTCCGTCATGAGCTTGGAAGGACGCGAGCATGGATTTCGTGGAGGGTTTGCCACTTTCTCATGGTAAATAAATACTCTTGATGGTGGTCGATCGGTTTACAAAGTCATCACATTTCTTCGGACTGAAGCACCCATACACAGCTACAGAGGTCGCTCAAATCTTATTCGACGGCGTCTTCAAGTACCATGGGATGCCTTCTATCATAGTTTGTGATCGCAATGCAACCTTCACAAGTAATTCTGGACTGAGTTCTTTCACCTTCAACATACTGATATTCATTACTCTACCGCTTACCACCCACAAACTGACGCCCAGACGGAACGAGTTAATCGATGTCTGGAGGATTATTTGCGTTGTATGACTTTCCACATGCCTCAAGACTGGGCTGAATGGCTTACCCTTGCAGAATGGTGCTACAATACCCACTTTCACAGTAGCCTGTTAATGTCTCCATTTGAAGCGTTGTATGGTTTCCCTCCAGCTTTCTTTGGGCTTGCAGATCATCTCTCTTCTTCAATGGGTGCAGTCAAGGAGCGTGTTACTCAGCAACAACAGCTTGTTCAGTTGTTGACTCACAACATTACTCAGGCACAAAATCATCAGAAACAGTACGCTGATAGGAGAAGATCTAAGCGGATACTTCAGGTTGGCGATTGGGTGACGTTTGCAACTCTATCGTCAAGGTTCGGTGGTGGGTAGACAAGGCAATAAGCTAGGACCTCGTTACTTTGGTCCTTATCGAGTCCTTTCTCGGGTTGGCAATGTTGCTTACAGATTGGCATTACCAGAGGATTCGAAAGTACATCCAGTCTTTCAAGTGTCACAACTGAAGTTGTGCAGGACCATAGTACCTCCAACTGCTTTCCATCTTCCAGAGACTGATTCCAGGGGGATTCTTAAGCTTGCACCAGCCCAGATACTTGCAAGGAGGTTTGTTAATCAGAACAACCTGACTGTTACACAAATTCTGGTTCAATGGACGTATCAGATGCCTGAAGAAGCTACATGGGAAGACTTGCATGCAGACCTTCAAGCTTCAGTTTCCATCGTTTCCGTCTTGATGATGTTCAGCTTGAGGACAAGTTGTTTCTGAAGAGAGCGGGTTTGCAACAAACCTGTACAACCGGCATAAGGAAGTGACGTGTAAAGTGGAACCAAGTATAAATAGGAAGAGTTATCTGTATTTGGCGATCTTTTTGGAAGAACAGATTACCTATAACTACTTTACTCTTTTGGTTAAAAATCAATAAAGCTAGAGCTCTCATTCCCCTAAACTCCGTCTTCTACCTTCTTTCTCTTCTCTTCACCAGATAATCTCAACCCAGGTCCTTACAGGTCCAAAGATAGGCTGGATCACATGTTACTAGTCATAAGTTATGCCATCAATAGAAGCAAGAAGTGATCATTATATGTAACCAGTGGCTGAGCTGTGTTATCACTTGGATGGGTAGAATATATTTTCCAATAGGATGGGTAAGTTTAAAGGCAATACTCATTTGCCCATCCAATAGGAATATAGGATTAGCAGAGCCTCGAGTTAGAACAAAAAGGGGAAATGAGTTGCGCCATATCTTTAATTTGCCCAGCCCCAAATCTCAATTATATAATTGATTGCATTTAAATTCCTTTTAGCGTTG